AGGAGCCAGGGGAGGGGAGGGGCCAGGGGAGGGGGAGGAGCCAGAGGGAGGGGAGGAAGGTGACCAAAGGCGCAGTCAAAAAGAAAGGTCTTCAGCAGAGACCTGAAAATAGGAAGAGAGGGGGTGAGGCGAAGGGAGTGAGGAAGGGAGTTCCAGAGCCTCGGGGCATAGTGATGAAGGCACGGCCGCTGGGGGTGGAACGGAAGTTTCGGGGGACAAGGAGGAGGCCAGACCCGGAGGAACGAAGGCATCGGGCACTGTTTTGAGGAGAGAGGGGTGCAGAGGAGTGGAGGGATTTGAAGACAAGAAGTGAGGATCTTGAAGTGGATCCTCTCTGGGACAGGCAGCCGGTGCAGTCTGGCCAGGACTGGGGGGATCGGGGAGCGGAGTTTGGTGCGGGTGAGAATGCGGGCGGCAGAGTTCTGTACAATCTGGATTTTGTGGATGGCAGTGGAGGGGAGGCCGGCGAGGAGGGAGTTTGAATAGACCAACCGAGAGGTGACAAAGGCATGGACCAGGGTTTCAGCGGCTTTTGGGGAGAGGTATTGGCGGAGACGGGCGATGTGTCTGAGGTGGAATAAAGCGGTGCTGGTGAGGGACCGGATGTGGGGAGGAAGGATAATTGGGGTTGAACTTGAAGCCGAGGTTGCATACAGGTTCGGAGAGTTTTAGGGGTCGGTCGGGTAGGTGGAGGAGGTGAGATCCGTGAGATTTCAGATGTTGACGAGAGCCAAAGAGTATGGCTTTTGTCTTGTCAACGTTCAGCTGAAGGAAATTTGCGCTCATCCAGCCCCTGAGGTCTGACAGGCAGCTGACAGAACATCAGGGGACTGGTGGTCACAAAGAGGTGGAAAAATAGAGTTGGGTGTCGTCCGCATAGATGTGGAAATGTACCCCATGTCTGTGGATGACATCCCCAAAAGGGAACATGTAGAGCAGAAAGGGGAGAGGGCCAAGGATGGATCCTTGGGGTGAGAGCGGGAGGAGAAGCCGTTTGTGCAGATGTACTGCTGGCGGTTTGTGAGGTAGGACTTGAACCGGGCGAGTGCGGTCCCACTGAGGTGGATGACGGAGGAAAGGCGGTAGAGGAGGATGGCGTGATCGACTGTGTCGAGGAGGACAAGGAGGCAGAGGGAGCCCTGGTCACAGATAGAGAGGATGTCGTTTGTGACTTTCACAAGCGCAGTCTCTGTACTGTGGGCGGAAACCGGACTGGAGGGGTTCGAAGAGGGAGTGGGAGGAGAGGTGTGCGCGGAGTTGGTTGGCAACAATGCATTCTAGGACTTTGGCGAGGAAGGGCAGGTTAGAAATAGGGCGATAATGGCTGGGGTTTGAGGGATCTAGGGAGGGTTTTTTGAGGAGGGGAATGATGACAGCAGTTTTGAGGGGGGATCCTGATCCAGAGGAGAGGGACTGGTTGATGACTTCAGCCAGTAGTGGGCAGAGGAGGGGGAGCTGGGTGACCAGCAAGTTGGTGGGGAGGGGGTTGAGGCAGCAGATGGTGGGTTTCATGGAGGTGATGGTGGGTGAGAGGGAGGAGGGAGAGATGGGGAGGAAGTAATGTAGGATGGGGTTGGTGGTAGGAACAGATGGTGGGGAGGGTGAGGGGGGCGGAGAGGGGGTGGTGATGGGTGACAAGAGGCAGGTGGATGAGGCTGCCTGGCGGATGTTGTGTATTTTAGGTGAAAAGAAGTCCATGACATCCTCGCACTTGGCATTTGATATGAAGATTGAGGGGCCTGAGGGGGGGCACGGAGGAGGTGGTGGGTGGTGGAAAAAAGGATTTTAGGGTTGTGTTTAGCCTCCAAGATGATGTTGGAGTAGAAGACCGTTTTTACGCGTGTCAAAGAACGGCGGTAGCTGTGGAGATGTTCGAGCCACAGTTGGTGGTGAACTGTCAGGCCTGTTTTCTGCCATCTGCGCTCAAGGGTTTGGGTTTTTAGGCGGCGGAGATGATTGTTGTACCAGGAGGATCTGGTGGGTTTGGAGATGGTCCTGGATTTCAGGTGGACGAGTGAGTTGAAGGCGGAGGAAAGGCGATCATGGAGCAGCTGGACGGCTGCTTCAGGATCTCCGTGGGTGGAAGGCCAGAGGGACAGGATGTTTGATGATGTGAGTGCCTTTGTGAGGGTCTCAAGGGGTAGCTTTTTCCAAGGGAGGTAGAGGATGGTTGAGGGCTTGGTGGAGGAGAGAGGGATGTGAGAGGAGGAGATGAGGAAGTGGTCTGAGATGGCCTTGTCCACTATGCTAAGGTGAGAGATGTCAAGGCCATTGGTGATAACAAGGTCAAGGGCATGACCATGGTTATGGGTAGGTGAATTTATGTGAAGGATGAGATTTAGGGAGGAGAGGAGGGCAGTGAAGTCGGCAGAAGTAGTGAAAGGGGAGTTTAGGTGGAGGTTGAAATCGCCGATGATGAGCAGGTGTTCGGAGCAGAGGGACAGGGAAGAGAGGAGAGATGTCTGTGTGGAAAGAGCCGGGGGACTTAGGGAGGCAGTAGACAAGGAGGATTTTCAATGGGAGAGAGGGATGGAAGAGGGTGAGGTAACCCAGCCCAACCCAAACAACCCAACACGCTCCCCAGCCCAACCCAACTCAGCCAACCCAGCCCAACACAACTCAGCCCACCCAACTCAACCCAATCCCACTCAACCCAGTCCAACCTAAACAACCTGCCTCAATCCAAACAACCCAGCCCAAAACCCTCCCCAGCCCAACCCAAACAACCCAGCCTAACACCCCCCTTAGACCACCCCCCACCACTCAACCCGGCCCACCCCAACCCAGCCCAACCCAAACAACCCAGCCCAAACTCCTCTGCAGCCCAACCCAGGACCAATGCTTCCCCCAGCACAGCCCTCACCACAAACCAACCTCCAACCCAACCCAACCAGTCAGTCACTCAGCCCAACCCGGCCTAGGACGAAACAACTTGTATTTTTACAGAGCTCTTCATGTACGGTGGGTTCTCTGAAGCACTTAAAAAGGTAATCCTTTACTTTTCCGAATGAGCAAACTGTTCAACTGTTTTCAAAACTTCCTGTGAGACAGCTCTGTTCTCACCCTCAGAGCCAAAGTGAAAGTGGAGCAACAGAAATCTGGGGAGGGGAGTGTGCACATTACCCTGACTCCCTCCAAACCCAATGACTTGTGGAGTCCATAATTGGCAAACAGGTAAGGTAAACATTCCAGGGATTCCTGCACTTTTCAAGGCTTGTGGCTATCAGCAGAGCTTCAGCTGCCTCGCTGGCTCGGGCGCTCTTTTGGCCTGACTGACCTGTCATCTGTGGGAACCCAAACAGCGGCCAGAGAGCAGTGAGGGCCTGGAACTCCGAGACTGTGCGGTTAGCAGTGTTTCACACTCACACACAGGCCAGGGGGAGGGTCGGCGGTGAGCGGCATTTCACACACACCGGCCTGGGGGAGGCTGTGCAGGAGCCGGGCTGAGCGGGTAGTTACCATTAGAGCAGACGATTTCTTGGAGGAACGATCACTGATATGAGAAAACTGGCCTAATGGCCTCCTACAGTGACATCCATTTATATAATTAGGTGGTGACCCGGCACAGAACAGGCATTTCGGCACAGCTCGTCTGTGCAACCCTTATACTGCACACCAGCCTCCACACCTCCTATTCCCTCTATTCTCTTTCCCCTCATGTCTGTACTCACCTTTCTCTTAAACACATCACTTCAACCTGACGGTGAGATCCGGGGCTGGGGGTGGTGCAGACAGGCACAGCCTCTCTCATCCTGGTATCACCCCCCCCCCAACTTAGCTATTCAGAGAAATCAGATTTCCATTTGATGAGGATGGAGCCAGCGGTTCAGCCAGACAGCGTTGGCAACAGTAAGGCCCTCACTGCCAGATGGTGAGAAGTGAGAGAGCGCTGAGCACAGGATTTGTGATCCCTCACTCCGTGCTCTACTCAGAACCGTGCAGAACCACACACACACACACTGTTAACAACAGGAAAGAGATTTACCATAGAATTTAATCTTAAATTAATCTCATGTCTTTATTCCGCAATTACATTCCAGCCTGTAACAAATTTCTGAGTGTGTTATTCTATGCATAACCTATCCCCCCACCGATTAGATAGCAACTTGTAACTCACTCCCAGCGTATTTATTCTATATATAATATCAAGGCCTTGGTGAGGATACAGAGATTTACAAGAATGATACCAGAGATGAGGGACTTCAATTGCATGGAGATTGTTCTCCTTACTGCAGAGAAGGTTCAAGGGAAACGTGATACAGGTTGTTCAAAATTATCAGGGGTTTTGATAGAGCAGATGGGGAGAAACTGTTTCCTCTGGCCAGTGGGTCAGTAACCAGAGGATATGGATTTAAGATAATTAACAAAAGAACCAGAGGAGAAGAGCATTTTTTTACCCACAGTTGTTACGTTCGGGAATCCACTGTCTGAAAGGTTGGTGGAAGCAGATTCGATTAATAGCTTTCAAAGGGGAATTGGACAGTTAGTTGAAAACAAAAGTAGGTCAATGGGGTAAGAGCAGGGGAATGGGACAAGTTGGTAGCTCTTTCAAACAGCCGGCACAGGCACGATGAACTGAATGGCCTCCTTCTGTGCTGAAAGATTCTGCAACCGCTCCTCACCCCCCTACCCCGATTAGATTCCAGATGGTAACTCACTTTTGGGTTTGTTGATCTGTATATAACCTTCTTGAACCCTTGGATAGGCTCCAGACTGTAACTCACTCTTGAGGTGAGGTGTTTTGTAATTACACTCCTCCCGAAACCTGGTTTAGATTCCAGTTTGTAACTCACTGATAAACCCAAATAAAGGCCAGAGGCAAATAACAGCTCCTCCACCCCCAACCCACTCCAGGTTATTTTTCTTTGTGACTTTCCAACATCTCAAACCCGACAAGGAGACTTCCCTTACAGGGGTTACCAGAAAAAAAGGGAATGAGAGTAAAGAGCTCCAGTGGGGGAGCGAGCACCAGCACTGACACGATGGGCTGAATGACCTTCTCCAATGGTATAAACATTTATAATTTTATTATAGAATTTTATATCTGATCCCTTGCCAGCTTCCTATGTTGTGTAGATTGTTCCGTGGGGAGGGAACTGTCCTCTCTGAGGGGGCAGGAATACCCCCTGGCAGTGCTGTGGTATATACATAAATATTTACATGGGTGTGGTGGAGTGATGGCTTGACAGTACTGTGTGGGTGGCTGGAGAGTGTCACGTGGGTGGGGGGCCGTTGGTATAGCGTAACATGGGGTAGAAGGAACGGGCAAAGTTGTTGGCAAGGGCACAGCTGTAGTCGTCCTCGCCCAGCGGCAGCAGGCAGGACAGCAGCAGCAGCAACAGGATACACAGCTGGAGAGGGAACGCCGCTCGCAAAACCCTGGCCAACAGCGAACGGGCAGCTCCTGGCACCTCCCGGCTCCTGGGGGAAACACAGCATTAATCTATACTAATAAAACAACTTTGTCTGTCTGTGCGCGTGTGTCTGTCTGTCTGTGCCCGAGTGTCTGTCTGTCTGTGTCCGTGTGTCTGTCTGTGCCCGTCTGTGCGCGTGTGTCTGTCTGTGTGCGTGTGTCTGTCTGTGTCTCAATAACCAATTGACATAAAGACACGGTGTATACCTCACTGGAAAGGTCCTGCTTCTGGGAATGACATGTGCATATTTGTTTTTGGGTATGTCCTATGATTCAAGAGTTATGACTTAAAATGTATTTCAGTTTTGCGTTTTTCTCCAGTTACACCAGGTGGGCGCCGAGTCAAAGTGGCGCTGTGGCATCATGTGTCAGAGAGCACATATGTATGTACCCACTCACGGCAGTTACATCTGGTGTCCGCGCTGGCTGACCGTGGCACTGTAGCATCAAGCGACACAGAGCACACACGTAGCCAAGCGGCGGCAGGAACAAAATAAAGAACCCACACAAAGCTAAGCGCACCAACAATAAAATTACCCTTTTAAAGCACCTGTCATGTCAAGTAGTCGTCCCAGTTATTATAAATGATACATTTATATTTATGATTATGACGCTGCCGAAGCGAAAATCAAACCTTTCAAGGATAAGTAAAAATTGCAGACAAAAGAGAAAAAGCCCATTAAATGAAACTGAAGAACAAAGAACAGTTGCACTTCAATGCTGAAAGGACTGCAACAGAATGGCAAAATGCCCATTCAAAGGACAGCACAGCCATGAATCCTCCCACAGGAGTCCTCCCAGCCGAATATAGATAAAGATGAAATGTCTGTCTGTGTGTCAATCTAGATTCCATATTGGATCCTTTGGTTGCAAGCAAAGCTACATTGGGTACAGCTCGCACTATATAATAACCTGAACCACACAGCATTAATATAATAATCCTTGCATTCGATATCAAGCCTGATCAGGTTTTCGAGACGTCTCAAAACACTTCACAGAATATACTGTAAAGTGAATCGACTCAATATTTTGTGGGTGGAACACGGCAGCCAACTGCGGACAGCAGTGTCCCACAAACAGTCGTGGAGTGAGCGACCAACCAATTTTATTTGGGGGATTGTTGGTCAGGACACCAGGAAAGAGAGAGAAAAACTCCCTTCTCTTTTCGAATGGTGCATCCATCTGAACAGGCAGACGGGATCTTGGTTAACATCTCATCCGAAGGATGGCATCTCTAACCATGCAGCACACCCCAGCACTGCACTGGATTACAGTATGTGAATTCAAGTTCCGATTTGGGACTTAAACCAACAAACTTCTGATTCAGAGGTGAGAGCGACCACACACCGGGCACATACACAGAGAAGCAGAGTTCAGGAGAGAGAACGATCTCCCAACTGGGGGGGATGGGGGCAGCGTGACCTTACCTTCCTCCGCTCGCTGTCTCCTCCATTCTGCGCGCTCTCCCTGTCGCCTGAAAATAAACATCCAATAAACATTCGTCAGAAACCAGCACGTCACTGGTCAGCCTGTACCCCCTCGCCTGTGCGCCCTTGCCTGTGCCCGCCCCCTTCGCCTGTGACCACCCCCACCTTGCCTGTGCCCGTCCCCCCCTCGCATGTATCAGTGACTGAGATCTGCTGTGTCAGTTAATGAGTGAGACCTGCTGTGTTAGTGTCAGGGTGAGTTGCCGAGTGCCGGGGTTCAGGGAGACTTACCATTCGGTGCTGGAGGGGGGTGCTGGTTTTCGGGGACAGGTGGGGGCCATCAGAGAAGTCCAGCTCAGACATGGCATTGCCGGGACCCATGTCCTGGAAACACAAACATTACACAATATCCACACCACTCGACACCTTCAATACAATCTCTGTAACTTGACAACCGCTTCACAGCAAATTCACAGGCATCTTTACCGTTCACCTGAACACACACACACATACACACAGGACCGCGGTTTAATGTCTGACAATGAAGCTCTCCCCCACTGTGAGCTCGAAGTGCTGATGTGGGGCTTGAACTCAGAACCTTGTGACTGAGAGGGCGAGAGTGTGAGTAACCCCAAGAATCGCAGTGATTCCACAGCTCATGGGGTCGAGGCAACAGGCCACAATGACAAGTGCACTGCTCACAGCACAACCCAGCGGTATTGGGGTTTGGGGTCAGGGGGCTGGGACAGCTGGGGGCTGAGGGCTGAGATGCTAATGCCTGCGGCTGAGGGCTGGGGGCAGGAAGCTGAGGGCTGGGGCCTGAGAGCTGGAGGCTGATGGCTGGGTTGAGGTCTGGGGGCTGAGAGCCAGGACAGTGAGGGTGTGAGTGGCTGAAGGTACCAGTTGGAGGTTGATGCTGTGCAGGTCCTCAGCCACCTCCCGGAGCAGCAGCTTGAGCTTGTTGCTGATGACATGAACTTTCTCCTTGGCTTCGATACAGTCTTCCCCGTCGGCAGTGACCAGCAGCTGAGACGCCATATCCTGAAGAGCCTTCACCTGCACCTGTCTCTCCAGCAGCTCCCTCTCCAGGCTCTGTGAGCAACAGCAAAGCTCAGAGAGGATCTCTACCAAACCAGACCTGTGTGCCACCCACCTGACCCCACCTCACTCACCAACATCCATTAATAAAGCACTTCACACAGGCTCGGGTCTCCAACAACACTCCCTCCCTCCCCCCCATATTGAGAATAATATAATAAGAAATAATCCTTGCATTCAATATTGCGCCTTATAATGTCTTTGAGACTCTTAAAGCACTTCACAGAATATACTCTCAAGTGAATTAACTATATTTTGTGGGTGAAACACAGCAGCCAATTGCACACAACAGTGTCCCAAAGACAGCTATGGAGAGAGTGGTTAAATTATTATCTTTTTTTAAGGGAATATTACCCTCGGAAAAGCGATCTGCCACCCAACTAACAACCGGGTTCCTACTTACTGCTAGGTAAACAGAGGCGTGTGGAGTAAGGAAACTTGTCTAATGTTTCGCCTGCCGGGAATCGAACCCAGGTCCACTCGCTGATGAGGCGAGTGCTCTAACCACTGAGCTACAGACTCCACAATGCACAGGAAAAACTTCATTCCCTTTTATAACAGTCACAGCCTCACCCTCCCAGCCCTGCCCCCCACCCCACCCCCCACACACTCACCATCAGGTCGTGACGATGCTGTGCCAGGGTGTGACTGTCCAGGCTGGGGTCAGACACACACACGGCCCCACGCCTGGCCTCTGCTCCCGCCAGCCACACCAGCAGCCCATGGGTGGTCAGGTGGAAATCCTAGAGGAGGACCACAGAGAGATCATGAGAAGAGGTACAGACCCCGCCCCTCGCTGAGCTGGGAGCACTCCCACAGTGTGCGCCAGTGTGTGTAAACCCACTTCCTGTCACTCTTCAGTGTGAACTGAGCGGGACCAGCGAGTATGAGTTGAGTGTGAGCGGCGAGTGTGAATTGAATGTGATCAGTGAGTGTACCTGGCGAGTGTGAGCGGCGAGTGTGAGTTGAATGTGAGTGGTGAGTGTGGGCATCACTGGCAAGTGTGAGCTGAGTGTGAGCAGCAAGTGTGAGCTAAGTGTACCCTGTGAGTGTGAGCTGAGTGTGAATGGCGAATGTGAGTTGAGTGTGAGCGACGAATGTGGGTGTGATTGGCAAGTGTGAGCTGAGTGTGACCAGTGAGTGTGAGTTGAGTGTGAGGCGAGTGTACATGGCAAGTGTGAGTGAGTACCTGACAGGCGAGCAGTGCGGCCTGCAGGGAGAGCTTGCTGGCCTCCAGGCTCTGGGAGGTGCTGTTCCACATGTGGTTGACATTGTGGAGCCGCTGGTGCAGGGCCCCGGCCTCCTCGCTCTCTGTCTGCAGGAAGTCGCGGCTGCTCAGGTTCACTGAGATGACGATGGCTTTATAGTTATCAAACGCCTTCTGGATGTCCTGAGGAAGTGAGAGGGTCTCAGCACACACTTACAGACACAGACACACACCTGTCTCTGCCTAATCAATACAGTCACCTCACCTAATGGTCTACCCACTAATGGCCGGCTCACTGGTGGGGTCAGTGGTTTCTCAGCTTCACCAGTTGGGGCACCATGAAAGAGGCTGATTGGTGAGCTCCGACTGTAACCCCCTCCCCAGAGGCTGGGAAGCTCATTGTTCAGAACGGGGATGTGGGGAGAGAGGGGAATCGAGCTGGTTGTCTGACACACGTATAAACCCATCAATGCCCTTATGGAAATCCTCACCAGACAGAGCTCCACATGTGTGTGCCACCTACACAAGGAAATGTTCCTGCAGCCGGTGGTGGACTGAGCAGTCTCTCCCTGGAGGGTTGCATTGTGCTTACTTAAAATTCAGGAGAGTATCAGGCACAGCCAAGGCTTGGGGATCCCAAAATGTGCATTGGGTAATTACTGGAGTCTAACCAGTTAAACCACTGAGCTTGCCATTGAGAGTACTGTCAGCAAGCTTTCCTGCTGCCTGTCCCGCTAGCTGTTAGAGCTATGGCTTGCAGGGTTAGCAGGAGCTGAATGGGATGACTCCTTGCTCCCAGTGGTCCTGCCCTTCCAAGTCCTGCCAATGCGTCAGGGCTGGGCTATCATCAGCAGTGCCTTGGAGTACCTCGGAGCCGCCTGGCTCAGGAACTGGACTGGAGATCATCACGGAGGATAGGCTCGATTCTGACATCCCTTGAGCCAAGCGTCACCTTGGATCCTTCTCAGCCCCAAGGAGCCTCCCCTAACTGCTGCTCTACCATGCTCTCAATATTCTCTGCTGCTCTTCCCAGCCTCGCTCAGCTCCTGTCCCGTCTGCTCAGCCCTTCACCCCATTTCTCTCCATAAAGACGGTGCCTCTTACTCGCAGTCTCCTGATCTTCTCCTCGATGGTGTGGATGCTGGTGGCGGGTTCCAGGTTCTTTGCTGGTGTCAGGTGGGGCTGGATCTGAGCAAGCCAGGTGGAGATGTCCTGCAAGTCAGAGTTCAGCTGCTGCCATTGCTGGAGATCGTGTTTGACACGAAGCTGTTTGCTGACCGCCTGGGCGTGCAGCAGCTCCCAGCGCTCGATCACACCTGCACCAGAGCAGGGACTGTGGGTTAGTGTCAGCGTGGGTGAAGTGTCACTATCTGTGTTAGAGACTGGGCTGGTTTGGCTGTGCTGGGTTGGTCTGGGGTTAGTCCGCGCTGGGTTGGGCTGCGCTGGGCTGGGCTGCGCTGCGCTGGGTTGGGCTGCGCTGGGTTGGGCTGGGGTTAGTCTTCGCTGGGTTTGGCTGGGATTGGGTTGTGCTGGGTTGAGCTATGCTGGGTTGGATTGGGCTGCGGTTGGGTTGCGCTGGGTTGGGCTCAATTGGGTTGGATTGCGCTTGATTGGGTTGGGTTGGATTCATAGAATCATACAGCTCAGAAGGAGCCCATTCGGCCCATTGTGTTTGTGCTGGGTTGCCCTGAGTTGGGGCTGAGCTGGGTTGGGTTGTGCTGGTTTGGGGCTGAACTGGATTGGGTTGCATTGAGCTGGGTTGGGTTGGGTTGGGTTGCATTGAGCTGGCTTGGGTACTGCTGGTTTGGGGCTGAACTGGATTGGGTTGGGCTGAATTGAGCTGGGTTGGGTTGCGCTGGGTTGGGTTGTGCTGGATTGGATTGCGCTGGGTTGGATTGCGCTGGGTTGGGTTGAGCTGAGCTGGAGTTGGGTTGGGTTGTGCTGGATTGGGTTGAGCTGAGCTGGAGTTGGGTTGGGTTGTGCTGGGTTGGGTTGAGCTGAGCTGGAGTTGGGTTGGGTTGTGCTGGGTTGGGTTGGGTTGAGCTGAGCTGAGCTGGAGTTGGGTTGGGTTGTGCTGTGCTGGGTTGGGCTGTGCTGGATGGAGCTATTAACAATAGAGCCTCCCTGTCCACCTCAGCTGCCATACATCTCACCTGGAGCCGGTTTCTCCAGGTTGCTGAGGTGCACGAGTCCCGGTGGTTGAGATGTCTCCTCGTCCTGCAGGATGTCTGATACTCGCCTGATGCTGTCGATGCTTCCAGAACACTCAGACAGGAGTCTGACCTAAAAATGACACACGGTGTGAGGAACAGGATCAGACCACGAGGAAACCATCATCACATCTCACCGTCTCCACACTGTCTCCCTACCGGGCCTCCCACCACCTGCACCCTATCTATGTAGTCCTGTAGGTCAGTGGTTTGAGCACTCGCCTCACAAGCGAGAGGACCTGGGTTCGATTCCCGGGCAAGGGGCGAAACATTGGACAAGTTTCCTCACTCCACACGCCTGTTTACCCAGCAGTAAGTAGGAACCCTGTTGTTAGACGATCAGTGGATTGCCTTTCCGGGGGCAATAATCCCTCCAAAAAAAATAATAAATAAAAGATAATAATAATTTGGTCACTCAATCCACGACTGCTTGTGGGACGCTGCTGTGTTTTCACCACAAAATACAGTCAATTCACTTTACTGTATATTCTGTGAAGCGCTTTGGGCTGTTTCAAAGATGTAATTATGCGCTAGATCAAATGCAAGAATTATTATTCTCCCACCATATGCCTCCTCCCCCCATTATATTTCCCACAGATTTCCCCTCCTGAGTGCTCCGGCACTGACACACTTACATATCCTCTGTTGTAGCCGGTGTCGGAGGCCTGGCCGGGTGGGTAGCTGAGGGTTATCTCGGTTTGTTGGGCCTGACACCTGGTGCCCTCTGTCTGGCTGCTGGGCTCCCACCGGCCCAGAGAGAGGCCAGAATTCACTGCAAACCAAACACAGCCGTCACTCTCCATCACCACAAACACACAGCACTGACAGAGTGCGGCTGTGCCTCTCTCTGTAAGAGGTCATTCACTCCGATTCCCCCCCCAACACACACACATGCGCCTGCTCACACACGCACGCACGCCCCTGCTCACACGCGCTCATGCGTGCCTAATCACACGCACGCACGCAAGCTCATACACGCGCGCATACACACACACAGCCTTTTACATTTTCCTCTCCAGATCTGTCTAATTCCTATAGAAGATGACAGATTCCGCTGTAACCCTTCACGCTGTCCAGTCCTGAGCCCTGGGTGTGAAACCATCCCGAGGTCCCTTGAGGTGGCCTTTTTGCTGATTATAAATTGATTTAAAATTGTTTGATGCCCGACTGACCCAGCGAGTTCCTCTCCGGTTACCCATCGTTTTGAACAGCTCTCAGAGGTACAAACAAGTCTTGCAGAGAGATCAATGCATTTCCGCAACTCCACAGTCACAAGTTACCATGCAATGGACAGAGTGAAATATCAGAGGGAAGGAATGCATGGCTTAGCCTTGCCTCACTTCATGCAACAGAAAAAGCAGCTATAAACGTCCCAGCAGGCAATGTTATAGCTCGTGGGCCAGAGTGAGGAGGGCAGAGGGGAAGTCGTGCATTACAGGCAAACTGTGTGACAGGAATTAATATGAGTGAGGGAGAGAGTGTGGGGGACAGGGGCGTGCAGGCCAGTGGGGGTGAGCAGGGAGGTGTTGGCATGGCTGGTAGGTGTGAGAATGAGATGATGGAGGGAAGGAGGGGGGGGTGGCATGCGTGGCAGGTGCCTACCAGCCGATGTTCTCAATGTGCTTTCAGTCATTTTAACATAGGCCTCGGGAGTTTCTGTGATTTGCATATCTGGAAAAACAAGAGCAGGAACATTGAGAAAGGTAGCCAACGCCAGAGCAGCCCACCCCCGTCCCCATCCCCACACCTGTGCCGAATACATCCTGACAGCACACCCTGGCCTTGGGGCCAGTCACAGGCGAGGCTGAAACTCCAGGCTGAGGCACCACCCTACAGATTCGCTGTTCAGGTGAGATCCTATCTGTTGGTTCAGGTGGGTAGGAAAGATGCCAGCACACTATTGCAAATGTTAAAGAAGATTTCCCCCGATGTCCTGGCCGACAATCCCACACTTCACCAGCATTTGCCTCGCGGTGCCAGCATTCATTCAGTTACTGTGGGGAGGGTGGGGAGCAGGTGGGAGGGGAGGGAGAGTAACTTGAGAGGCTGCCTGCCTGAGGGCGAGGGACAGGAAGTGCATTCCCCCCCCCGCTAACCCCCACTTTCTTCCATGATGGGATCCCGGATGGTGGGGGAGTGGGAGATGTACAAAATATTACTTTAATAAACAGGCAAATAATAGTGCGAGTGTCAGCCCTTCCAGTATCAGTTTGTCCTGTCATCTGGACAGAGGAGAGATCAGAGCAGGCCGGACAGCAGGCGGGGGATTGTCCTGATCAAAGGCTCCTCTCTGGCTCAGGCAGCACAATCCTCTGCCATTGCTGTCACTCTGGCCTCCACACATCAAAAGCCTCAGATTTAATAAACTCTCCAGCGGCTGGGCCGGGCTTGATGTGGTTTGTGCTTTTCTCTGGGTGTGCGGCCTGGCCAGGTCAGCCACCATTATAGGCAAGCCAACCGTCTGATCGTCATCCCAATATCCGCAGCAAGCCAGAACCGGTGGGGGGGGGGGGGCTCCGATACCCCAGCCCCATCACAGCACAAAGATGCCTCCGAATACAGCAGCCAGAGCCCAGCACAGCTCACTCCTCACTGTGATGCAGTAGACAATACTTCACCTCTCTCTGTCTCTAACCCGTGCTGTCCTTGATCTGGGAATGTACATGGACAGTGTAGAGGAAGCTTTACTGTGTCTCTAACCCTGACCTGGGAGTGTACATGGACAGTGTAGAGGGAGCTTTACTCTATCTCTGAGACTGGCGGAGAGAGAATAAGTGAGAAAGAGGAGATGGGATAGAAGAGAGAGACAGAGGGTTGGGGGACTCTGGGGCTGTGGATTGAGTCATCCGGGTGTCTGACACATATGGATACCCATCACCGTGCTTAAGCGTATCCAAACCAAGATGAGAATTTCATGTATCCCACCTACACATGGAAATCCCAGAGATAAGATTGTTGGAATGGAATGTGCTCTCTCTCCCTGGAGGGATGCATCCTGTTTACCTAATTCCAGAGGGTATTGGGCGCAGGTTGGCAACAGCTAAGGCATGGGGACCCAGAGTGTGCATTGGAGATCACCCCTAGTTGATCGTTCGACATCTGACAAGTGCGGGTTTGAGCCCTCACTGAAGGAGATGGTAATCAGGAAGCTTCCTGGTGGGCAACACATCTCAGCAAGAAATGTGTGAAAGCATTTCCACATCTTCCTGTCCCCAGCTCAGGCACAAGTCCCTTCCCATTGAATGAAGGTTCCACCACCACCACCAACAACAACAAGAAAATTACATTTGTATTGTGCCTTTCTCACGTCAGGAGAACATCCCAAGGCACTGGACAGTCAGAGTTTCGGACCCGAGCTGGGGGTCAGCCTCAAGAGGTTCCTCATCAGATATCTGCCTTCAAGATGGCTTGACGTGACAACCACCCTGATGTTCCTCTCACTGTGTTGCTTGCGTCACAATAGTGACACCTAGAGGCAGGACCTCCACATGGCATCAACAACACATTGAAATTAAAAACCCAGAAAATGTTTGATTCTCACTGAGAAATACTGAGTTCCGAGTGTCCAGCTACACAACACTGGGGCTCTCTACTCTAACCCTATTCCCTACTCTCTCCCCATCGTGTCTGGGCTGGTGCTCACTCCCCCACTGGAGCTCTACTCTAATCCCATTCCCCTGCTCTCTCTCTCTCCCCATCGTGTCTGGGCTGGTGCTCGCCGCTCTCTTTCGTGTACTTTCTCTCATGACAAGCAGGGAATTTGCGTAGTCATGCCTGGATGTTATGAATGCATGCATGAGGGTCTTGGTGACCTGTGGTGTGAGACAGTGGTGGAACCGGTGATGTTGCAGAGGTGGAGAACGACGTAGTGGGTCATGGCATGGATGTGGGGGATGAAGGACAGTTGAGGATTGAACAGGTCGTCGAGGTTCCTTATTGACTCCGTGAGATGGAGAGTGCATCCATGGAGGGAGACACCATCAGTGCCCAAGTTATGGAGACACTGACGGGAGCCAAACAGGAGAGCCTCGGTCTTGTTGACATTCAACTGCAGGAAATTTGCTCTCATCCAGGACTTGATGACCAACAGCAGTGGGGGAGTGAGCAACACTGAGGACAGCAGTGGGTCCTGGAATCGAGGGTGGAGGCAGAGAAAGAGTTGGGTGTAATCCGAATACATGTGGAAGTTGACCCCACGTCTGCGGATGATGTCCAAGGGGGAGCATATAGATAGTGAAAAGGAGAGGGCCAAGGACAGAGCCCTGAGCGACACCACGTGACAGTGCAGGGGTTGGAGGAGAACCCATTAGTGGAGACAAAGTGGAGACGGTGGGAGAGGTAGGATTTGAACCAGGCAAGGGCAGCTCCGTGAAGATTGAGTTGAGAGGAGAGGCGGTGGAGGAGGATAGAATGGTCGACAGTGTCAAAGGCAGCAGAGAGCTCGAGGAGGACAAGGAAGCAGAGAGAGCCCTGGTCGCAGATGTTCAGGATGTTGATAGTGACTTTGACCAGGGCTGTTTCTGTGCTGTGGGCAGCACGGATACCTGATTGGAGGGGTTCAGAGGGGAAGAGAGGGAGAGGAAAGAGCGAAGCTGGGTTGCAACGACACATTCCAGGGTCTTGGAGAGCAAAGGGAGGCTGGAGATGGAGCAATAGCTGGAGATCCAGGGAAAGGAAGGATCTCCAGCTATCGTCCCATCACCAACCAGGGTCCAGAGAAGGTTTTTGGATAGGGTGATGACATCTGTTCTTAGTTGTCTTTGGCCTGGGGCTGGGAACAGTGCCAGTGGATAAGGAGTGGTTTATAATGTTGGTTAAAAGAGGGGCCATGAGGTGGAGCTGGGAGGTAAGGAGAGGGGTGGGGATGGTGGTGAGGGAAGAGGGGGAGACAGGGTCGAAGGTGTACAGGGAGGGATGGGTGGGGGCCCGGCGTGAGGGGGAGGTGGTGAGGGAGTAGTTGTGGGCGGGGAGAGGAAGCCAAATAAATCCCCTTGATCTTGGATTCAAAGAAGTCCAACAACTCGTGGCAGTTGGAATTGGAAGAGAGGATGGACGAGGCGCGGGAAGGTGGATGGAGGAGGCGGTCAGTGGTGGGGAAGAGGAGCCGTGGGTTGTCCTTGGCCTCCAAGATTACCTTGGAGTGAAAGGATGATTTGGCGGAGGCGAGGGTGGAGGCAGGTCTTACTGTGGTCAAACCAGATCTGCCGATGGACCTTTAGGTTTGATTTGGTCCAAGTGCGTTTGGTGGCCTTGGGATTGGAGATGGTGGTGTACCAGAGGCACTTACGGGAGTATGAGGCAACAACAACTTGCATTTACATAGCACCATTCACACAGGGCAGCGCCACTCACACAGGGCAGCGCCACTCACACAGGGCAGCATCCCAGAGCGCTTGACAGCGGCGGAGCATGATCCCAAGCCGGGGGGGAGGTGACCATAGGCACGGTCGAAGAGGAAGGTCTTCAGGCACAATCTGAAGATGGGGGAGGAGGGGGCAAGGTGGAGGGACAGAGGAAGAGAGTTCCAGAGTTTTGGTGCGTAGTGGCTGAAAGTGCGGCCACAGATGGTGGAACGAAGGCAACGAAGGACAAGCAGGAGACTGGAGCCAGCAGAGTGGCGGCATTGGGTAGCGAGTTGGGGAGTGAGCATGTTGGTAGGGAGAGGTAGGGAGGTGTCAGGGCTTGAAGGATTACAGTGCCAGTGTGTAGCTCAGCTCATTCATCTCCTCCATGTGCAGCACAGCCACGCTCAGTGCCAGCATCTGCCGCTGAAACCAACAACTGTTACTGGCACTCACCGGGGCAGCTCTGATAGAGACACTCACAGGGACATTCAACCCAGCACACCCCAACACACACAACCCTACACACACACCCCAGCGCCCCCACATCACACACACCACACACACACCCCAGGGAAGCCCCAGCCCAGGGCAGCCCCAGCCCAGGGCACACACACGCCCAGGCACACACACCCCAGGGCATTGACCCCACCACACACCCCGATCACCCTACATCCCAGCACCGGCTATAGGAACGCGATGTGGACAAACCTTTGTGGTGTCCAGGCTGGCCCCCTCCCCAAGCTGTTCTGGGGCTGAGCCCACCGATCCCCTCATCTCCTCCCAGCCCTCAACCAGGGTCTTCAGTGTCTGCAATCGCTGCCTGAACTCATCGGCCCGCTCCACTCGCTCCTGTCACACAGCACCAATGGCCAGTCACAGAGACAGAGAGAAAGACATAAAATCCCCTCCCTCCTCCCATCCCCTTCCTCCACTCCCTCACCCCCTCCCCCGGTTCCCTCACATCCCCTCCCCCTGCTCCCTCCCCCACTCTCCTTCCCATTCCCTCCCCTCGGCTCACTAGCCCAGACTGCTCTGGAATACTGCAGCACTCGGGTGAGGTCAACATTGGGCCTTATGGTGGGGGACTGCGATCTGGAGCAGAGAAGACTCTTCATACCCAACAGTTGGGGGAGGGGGGGGGGTCAATTGCAGCCCTGATTGACAGCCTGGGTCAGGGTCCCTGTGATCGGCCCCCAGCTCGTCAACACCTCCAACAACAACTTGTATTTACACAATGCCCCTCAGGCAGGGTAGTGTCCCAGAGCGCCTGACACTGGTGGAGCACGACACCGAGCTGGAGGGAGTGGTAGGTAACCATTGGCACGGTCAAAGAGGAATCTCTTCAAGCGCGACCTGAAGCTGGGGAAGGAGTGAGATGGAGAGGAGGAGCAGTGAGAACCGGAGCTGGGATTAGTCACGGTTGGACACAGTACCTGGATTTCGATGCCCTGAGCTGCAGGCTGTGCCGCAGAGCGCCTGCTCTCAACGAGAGGTGGTCCCGTTCCTGTCCTAGTGCCTGGGATACCGATCCCTCCACCACCATCCTCAGCTCCTCTGTCACGGCTGAAAGTAGCCCCACCTCCTGATCAACGCTCCCTACAGTGTCCAGCATCGCCTGTCACACAATCACACAGAGTGAGGACAGTAACCCCACCCCCACATTAAATCTTGCCCATCGTGCCTTCAGCCACTACACCTGAAACTCTGGAGCTTTCTGCCTCAACCCCTCCGCTATGCCCCCTCCTTGCCTGTCTTTGGATGACACCTTAAGACCTTCCTCTATGACCATGCCTACATACTTGTTTGGTCAGGGTACCAAGGGATACGGGGCAAGGATGTGTTATTGCAATTGAGGTACAGATCAACAACAACAAACGACAAATTTCATTTGTATAGCACCTTTCACATCGGGAGGACGTCCCAAGGCGTTCTATAAGATGAGCCATGATCCTATAGAATCCCGGAACAGCTGAGGGGCTGAAATGATCTCCTCCTGTTCCTATGTTTCTATTAGAGATGCAAACAGTGTTAGCGTCTGACCTGGGTGTGGAGGAATCGGGCCTCGAGGCTCTCTCTGGTGCTTTCCTCCTCTGCTGGACCACTGAGCAATGGCGCACACACCTCCTCCTGGCTCTGCAGCCTGGCAGCAGCACTCTGATACACAGTGCTGTAACGCTGCCACGTGTGGAGCAGAGCCCGGGCCAAGCAAAGATCCTCTATCACATCCTGAGCAACACTCGCCCACCTGGCAGCCATGAGAGAGAGATGTAATGTGTGTGGTGTGTGTGTGGAGGGGGGCGGGGGTGTGTGGAGGGGGCGGGGGTGCGGAGAGGGGGCGGGGTATGCGGAGGGTAGGGGCGGGGTGTGCGGAGAGGGGGCGGGGTGTGCGGAGAGGGGGCGGGGTGTGCGGAGAGGGGGGGCGGGGTGAGTGGAGGGGGGGCGGGGTGAGCGGAGAGGGGGGCGGGTGAGCGGAGAGGGGGGCGGGGTGAGCGGAGAGGGGGGCGGGGTGAGCGGAGAGGGGCGGGTGAGCGGAGAGGGGGGCGGGGTGAGCGGAGAGGGGGCGGGGTGAGCGGAGAGGGGGCGGGTGAGCGGAGAGGGGGCGGGGTGAGCGGAGAGGGGGGCGGGGTGAGCGGAGAGGGGGGCGGGTGAGCGGAGAGGGGGGCGGGGTGAGCGGAGAGGGGGCGGGGTGAGCGGAGAGGGGGGCGGGTGAGCGGAGAGGGGGGCGGGGGAGCGGAGAGGGGGCGGGGTGAGCGGAGAGGGGGGCGGGGTGAGCGGAGAGGGGGGCGGGGTGAGCGGAGAGGGGGGGGGTGAGCGGAGAGGGGGCGGGGTGAGCGGAGAGGGGGGCGGGTGAACGGAGGGGGGGCGGGTGAGCGGAGAGGGGGCGGGGTGAGCGGAGAGGGGGCGGGGTGAACGGAGAGGGGGCGGGTGAACGGAGAGGGGGCGGGTGTGCGGAGGGGCTCGGGGTGTGCGGAGGGGCTCGGGGTGTGCGGAGGGGCTCGGGGTGTGCGGAGGGGCTTGGGGTGTGCGGAGGGGCTCGGGGTGTGCGGAGGGGCTCGGGGTGTGCAGTAGATGGTGACACAGGCCGCTGGTTCTGGCGACACTTACCTGGTGCGGGTGACCTGAAGCTTGTTGTCGAGTATGTGGTTGAAGGAGGGGCACACGCGAGCCTTCAGTGTGCCGATGGCCGCTGTGTAGAGATTCCAGCTGCCCTCTGCCTGCTCCAGCTCCTCCTGCACAGACTGACAGCGCACACACCAGCCATTTGTAACTCAAATTGCACACCACCCACCCTGGAACAGGCCCCGCCCTTGGGTGCTCAAAACACCCAGTGGACATGTCCCACCCAACCCAGGGACAGGCCCCACCCAACTTAGAGACGCCCCGCCCGGCCCGGGGACCAGGCCCCGCCCGGCCCGGGGACCAGGCCCGGCCCGGGGACCAGGCCCCGCCCAGCCTAGAGAAAAGCCCCGCCCAGCCTGGGGAAAGGATCCACCCACCCCACGGAGGCCATGCCACAGTGTGAAGTGGTGGGGGTTGATGCTTACCTGCAGTGTCTCCACCCGGGTTTGCACAGCTGGCAGTGAGCTGCTGAGGGGCTGACTGTGCTGCAGTGAGTACTTGGCTGTCAGTATGTGGCTATCCAGCTGTTCAGTGGCCGCCTCATACAATCGCCACTGCTCCAGCACCGACCCAAGGCTCAGCCTCAGCTCCTGAACCTACAAACCAGACAGAGAGGTCAGGAGGCACAGCCAGCGAGCGGGATTTGGATCAGCCCTGTGTGAGATCAGGAGCCCTGGCTCACCGCCACCATCCACTCAACAGCAGATAGCAGGAGCCAAGACAAAGACGGGAGAGAACAAGGTGGAGGAACCAGCCAGACAGGGACAGGCTCAGCCACCTGCTGACGGGATAGCCTGGCTGAGGCCTCCTGTTAGGTACCATGGACAGAGATTCCAAGGTTTCAAAATCGAAGCATCAGAGATCTGAAATTCCATCTGGCCTCAGCTTCAAGACCTTTGTCTTACAACTGAAGGTGTGTGGGTTTGGGAGCTGGTTGCTTTCTGCAAACCGAGGAGAACGGCTTCTACACTGAAACTCAACCCAGTGTTCCAGAACTTCACAATCTACATTTTACTTCAATCTCTTGAGTCTCAGAGAGTGTGGAATTGCAGAACCTCAGGAGTGGTGCTCACAGCATTTCAGAGCCTCAGGACCCTGTCTCTCTCTACCTGTTGCTCCAAGCTGCGGTGAGCCTCGCGCAGCCCCTCCAGCTGCTCTGTGACGTGGCTCGGGAGGTCCCCCTCGGTCCCCAGCAAGGGATGAGCCTGTCTCAGCTTCTCCACCTCCATCTCCTTCAACTTCAGACACTCAGTCAGGACCTGAAGGCAGAGCAAGGACACTGAGAGGGCAGAAGCTTCAGAACCTAACATTGGGTCATGCCATGACACACAAGGTGCAGTAAGAGCTGCAATCCATCATGGAGTGTTAGGTGGGTTAGAAGATTGGGGGGTATGTGGGGGGATTGGGGGTAGGTGGGGGTTGAGGGGTGGGGGTGGCAGGTAAGTTGAGGGTTGGGGATGGGGGGGTACATTGGGGGTTGGGAGTATGTGGTGGTTGAGGGGTAGTGGGGGTAGGTTAATAATAATAATTCTGGCATTTGATATAACGCTTTTCACGTCTTCGAGACGTCTCAAAGCGTGTCACAGAATAATAATAATAATCCTTGCATTTGATATAGCGCTTTTCACGTCGGGAGGACGTCCCAAAGCGCTTCACAGAACACACTGCAAAGTGAATTGACTGTGTATTTTGTGGGCGAAAGGCGGCAACCAATTACGCACAGCAATGTCCCACAAACAGTCATGGATTGAGTCAGGTTGGGGGTGGGAGGTAGGTAGGTGGGGGTTGAGAGATAGGTGGGCTTTGGGGTAGGTTGGGGGTAGAGGGGTGGGGGTGGGCGGTAGGTTGTGGAGGTGGAAGGTAGGTGGGGGGTGAGAGGTAGGTGGACGTTGGGGTAGGTTGGGGTAGAGGGGTGGGGGTGGGCGTAGGTTGCGGAGGTGGAAGGTAGGTGGGGGGTGAGAGGTAGGTGGGCGTTGGGGTAGGTTGGGGGTAGAGGGGTGGGCGGTAGGTTGCGGAGGTAGAAGGTAGGTGGGGGTGAGAGGTAGGTGGGCGTTGGAGTAGGTTGGGGTAGAGGGGTGGGCGGTAAGTTGCGGAGGTAGAAGGTAGGTGGGGGGTGAGAGGTAGGTGGGCGTTGGGGTAGGTTGGGGGTAGAGGGGTGGGCGGTAGGTTGCGGAGGTGGAAGGTAGGTGGGGGGTGAGAAGTAGGTGGGCGTTGGGGTAGGTTGGGGTAGAGGGGTGGGCGGTAGGTTGCGGAGGTGGAAGGTAGGTGGGGGTGAGAGGTAGGTGGGCGTTGGGGTAGGTTGGGGTAGAGGGGTGGGCGGTAGGTTGCGGAGGTGGAAGGTAGGTGGGGGTGAGAGGTAGGTGGGCGTTGGGGTAGGTTGGGTAGAGGGGTGGGCGGTAGGTTGCGGAGGTGGAAGGTAGGTGGGGGTGAGAGGTAGGTGGGCATTGGGGTAGGTTGGGGTAGAGGGGTGGGCGGTAGGTTGCGGAGGTGGAAGGTAGGTGGGGGGTGAGAGGTAGGTGGGCGTTGGAGTAGGTTGGGGTAGAGGGGTGGGCGGTAGGTTGCGGAGGTGGAAGGTAGGTGGGGTGAGAGGTAGGTGGGCGTTGGAGTAGGTTGGGGTAGGGGGATGGCGGTAGGTTGCGGAGGTGGAAGGTAGGTGGGGGTGAGAGGTAGGTGGGCGTTGGAGTAGGTTGGGGTAGGGGATGGGCGGTAGGTTGCGGAGGTGGAAGGTAGGTGGGGGGTGAGAGGTAGGTGGGCATTGGGTAGGGGGGGTAGAGGGGTGGGCGGTAGGTTGCGGAGGTGGAAGGTAGGTGGGGGGTGAGAGGTAGGTGGGCGTTGGAGTAGGTTGGGGTAGAGGGGTGGGCGGTAGGTTGCGGAGGTGGAAGGTAGGTGGGGGGTGAGAGCTAGGTGGGCGTTGGAGTAGGTTGGGGTAGAGGGGTGGGCGGTAGGTTGCGGAGGTGGAAGGTAGGTGGGGGGTGAGATGTAGGTGGGCGTTGGGGTAGGTTGGGTAGAGGCGTAGGCGGTAGGTTGCGGAGGTGGAAGGTAGGTGGGGGGTGAGAGGTAGGTGGGCGTGGAGTAGGTTGGGGTAGAGGGTGGGCGGTAAGTGCGGAGGTGGAAGGTAGGTGGGGGGTGAGAGGTAGGTGGGCGTTGGGGTAGGTTGGGGGTAGAGGGGTGGGCGGTAGGTTGCGGAGGTGGAAGGTAGGTGGGGGGTGAGAGGTAGGTGGGCGTTGGGGTAGGTTGGGGGTAGAGGGGGGGTGGGCGGTAGGTTGCGGAGGTGGAAGGTAGGTGGGGGGTGAGAGGTAGGTGGGCGTTGGGGTAGGTTGGGGGTAGAGGGGTGGGCGGTAGGTTGCGGAGGTAGAAGGTAGGTGGGGGGTGAGAGGTAGGTGGGCGTTGGAGTAGGTTGGGGTAGAGGGGTGGGCGGTAAGTTGCGGAGGTAGAAGGTAGGTGGGGGGTGAGAGGTAGGTGGGCGTTGGGGTAGGTTGGGGGTAGAGGGGTGGGCGGTAGGTTGCGGAGGTGGAAGGTAGGTGGGGGGTGAGAAGTAGGTGGGCGTTGGGGTAGGTTGGGGTAGAGGGTGGGCGGTAGGTTGCGGAGGTGGAAGGTAGGTGGGGGTGAGAGGTAGGTGGGCGTTGGGTAGGTTGGGGTAGAGGGGTGGGCGGTAGGTTGCGGAGGTGGAAGGTAGGTGGGGGGTGAGAGGTAGGTGGGCGTTGGGGTAGGTTGGGGTAGAGGGGTGGGCGGTAGGTTGCGGAGGTGGAAGGTAGGTGGGGGGTGAGAGGTAGGTGGGCGTTGGGTAGGTTGGGGTAGAGGGGTGGGCGGTAGGTTGCGGAGGTGGAAGGTAGGTGGGGGGTGAGAGGTAGGTGGGCGTTGGAGTAGGTTGGGGTAGGGGGATGGGCGGTAGGTTGCGGAGGTGGAAGGTAGGTGGGGGGTGAGAGGTAGGTGGGCGTTGGAGTAGGTTGGGTAGGGGGATGGGCGGTAGGTTGCGGAGGTGGAAGGTAGGTGGGGGTGAGAGGTAGGTGGGCATTGGGGTAGGTTGGGGGTAGAGGGGTGGGCGGTAGGTTGCGGAGGTGGAAGGTAGGTGGGGGGTGAGAGTAGGTGGGCGTTGGAGTAGGTTGGGGTAGAGGGGTGGGCGGTAGGTGCGGAGGTGGAAGGTAGGTGGGGGGTGAGAGCTAGGTGGGCGTTGGGGTAGGTTGGGGTAGAGGCGTAGGCGGTAGGTTGCGGAGGTGGAAGGTAGGTGGGGGGTGAGAGGTAGGTGGGCGTTGGGTAGGTTGGGGTAGAGGGGTGGGCGGTAGGTTGCGGAGGTGGAAGGTAGGTGGGGGGTGAGAGGTAGGTGGGCGTTGGGGTAGGTTGGGGGTAGAGGGGTGGGCGGTAGGTTGCGGAGGTGGAAGGTAGGTGGGGGGTGAGAGGTAGGTGGGCGTTGGGGTAGGTTGGGGTAGAGGGGTGGGCGGTAGGTTGCGGAGGTGGAAGGTAGGTGGGGTGAGAGGTAGGTGGGCGTTGGGGTAGGTTGGGGTAGAGGGGTGGGCGGTAGGTTGCGGAGGTGGAAGGTAGGTGGGGGTGAGAGGTAGGTGGGCGTTGGGGTAGGTTGGGGTAGAGGGGTGGGCGGTAGGTTGCGGAGGTGGAAGGTAGGTGGGGGGTGAGAGGTAGGTGGGCGTTGGGGTAGGTTGGGGTAGAGGGGTGGGCGGTAGGTTGCGGAGGTGGAAGGTAGGTGGGGGGTGAGAGGTAGGTGGGCGTTGGAGTAGGTTGGGGTAGAGGGGTGGGCGGTAGGTTGCGGAGGTGGAAGGTAGGTGGGGGATGAGAGGTAGGTGGGCGTTGGAGTAGGTTGGGGTAGAGGGGTGGGCGGTAGGTTGCGGAGGTGGAAGGTAGGTGGGGGTGAGAGGTAGGTGGGCGTTGGGGTAGGTTGGGGTAGAGGGGTGGGCGGTAGGTTGCGGAGGTGGAAGGTAGGTGGGGGCTGAGAGGTAGGTGGGCGTTGGGGTAGGTTGGGGTAGAGGGTGGGCGGTAGGTTGCGGAGGTGGAAGGTAGGTGGGGGGTGAGAGGTAGGTGGGCGTTGGGTAGGTTGGGGTAGAGGGGTGGGCGGTAGGTTGCGGAGGTGGAAGGTAGGTGGGGGGTGAGAGGTAGGTGGGCGTTGGGGTAGGTTGGGGTAGAGGGGTGGGCGGTAGGTTTGCGGAGGTGGAAGGTAGGTGGGGGGTGAGAGGTAGGTGGGCGTTGGGGTAGGTTGGGGTAGAGGGGTGGGCGGTAGGTTGCGGAGGTGGAAGGTAGGTGGGGGTGAGAGGTAGGTGGGCGTTGGGGTAGGTTGGGGTAGAGGGTGGGCGGTAGGTTGCGGAGGTGGAAGGTAGGTGGGGGTGAGAGGTAGGTGGGCGTTGGGGTAGGTTGGGGTAGAGGGTGGGCGGTAGGTTGCGGAGGTGGAAGGTAGGTGGGGGGTGAGAGGTAGGTGGGCGTTGGGGTAGGTTGGGGTAGAGGGGTGGGCGGTAGGTTGCGGAGGTGGAAGGTAGGTGGGGGGTGAGAGGTAGGTGGGCGTTGGGGTAGGTTGGGGTAGAGGGGTGGGCGGTAGGTTGCGGAGGTGGAAGGTAGGTGGGGGTGAGAGGTAGGTGGGCGTTGGGGTAGGTTGGGGTAGAGGGGTGGGCGGTAGGTTGCGGAGGTGGAAGGTAGGTGGGGGGTGAGAGGTAGGTGGGCGTTGGGGTAGGTTGGGGTAGAGGGGTGGGCGGTAGGTTGCGGAGGTGGAAGGTAGGTGGGGGTGAGAGGTAGGTGGGCGTTGGGGTAGGTTGGGGTAGAGGGGTGGGCGGTAGGTTGCGGAGGTGGAAGGTAGGTGGGGGTGAGAGGTAGGTGGGCGTTGGGTAGGTTGGGGGTAGAGGGGTGGGCGGTAGGTTGCGGAGGTGGAAGGTAGGTGGGGGGTGAGAGGTAGGTGGGCGTTGGGGTAGGTTGGGGTAGAGGGGTGGGCGGTAGGTTGCGGAGGTGGAAGGTAGGTGGGGGGTGAGAGGTAGGTGGGCGTTGGGGTAGGTTGGGGTAGAGGGGTGGGCGGTAGGTTGCGGAGGTGGAAGGTAGGTGGGGGGTGAGAGGTAGGTGGGCGTTGGGGTATAGGTTGGGGTAGAGGGGTGGGCGGTAGGTTGCGGAGGTGGAAGGTAGGTGGGGGGTGAGAGGTAGGTGGGCGTTGGGGTAGGTTGGGGTAGAGGGGTGGGCGGTAGGTTGCGGAGGTGGAAGGTAGGTGGGGGTGAGAGGTAGGTGGGCGTTGGGGTCGGTTGGGGCTAGAGGGGTGGGCGGTAGGTTGCGGAGGTGGAAGGTAGGTGGGGGTGAGAGGTAGGTGGGCGTTGGGGTAGGTTGGGGTAGAGGGTGGGCGGTAGGTTGCGGAGGTGGAAGGTAGGTGGGGGTGAGAGGTAGGTGGGCGTTGGGGTAGGTTGGGGGTAGAGGGGTGGGCGGTAGGTTGCGGAGGTGGAAGGTAGGTGGGGGGTGAGAGGTAGGTGGGCGTTGGGGTAGGTGAGGGCAGAATGAAAGGTACCTGACAATCTGTGAGTGTGGTTAGCGCCCCCTGGTGGCTGGCGGGTCTCTGCAGGCTGCTCAGATGCTCTGCCTGTGTCTGGAACCAGCTTCGCAGTGACTGCACTTTGTTCTCATAGTCCCTCCAGGCCTCCAGGAGCCTCTCCAGCTGCTGGCTCTGTATCGGGAGACAAGTGGACAGAACAGAAATTAACACACTCACTGAGGATTTCTGTTGATGGCAGTGTCTGCCTCCTAACTCTTCAACGTTAACATAATAATAATAATCCCTCCAAAAACTAAAAAACAATAATAAATTGGTCATTTTCAATCTACGACTGTTTGTGGGACATTGCTGTGCGCAATTGGCTGCCGCGTTCGCCCACAAATATACAGTCAATTCACTTTACAGTGTGTTCTGTGAAGCGCTTTGGAACGTCCTCCCAACGTGAAAAGCGCTATATCAAATGCAAGGATTATTATTATTATTATTATAATAATCCTTGTATTTGATATAGCGCCTGATCACGTCTTCGACACATCTCAAGCGCTTCACAGGATATGCTGTAAAGTGTTATGACTGTATATTCTGTGGGTGAAATGTGGCAGCCAATTGAGCACAGTAGTTTCCCACAAACAGTTGTGGATTGAGTGACCAAATTATTATTATACAAATTATTAGCTCACCCGCTGATGCAGGGCTGTGGTTTGCTGTTGCCACTGTGCGTTCAGGGCACCGAGGCTCTCCGCAAACTGTGTCCTCTGGTAGCGGTCGCTCTGCACGTCCAGGCTGCTGACCTGCAGCACCGACTGGTTCACATAGTCCACCGTCAGCTGCCGGAGCTTCATCTCAGCCTCGTGCTCCTGCAGGGAGAGAGTACACAGTCAGGGCAGCACAAGCACCCGCTGCCCAATGCCTGACACTGGGCACATTAAATACAGCAACAGGGGGCGAGTCAGATCTTTTAACCTCATCTCCCTGCCTTTCCCCATACTGCTTGTTTTTTTTCCAGACTGCACAATTGGCAGCCGCGCTTCGCCCACAAAATGTGCAGTCACTACACTTTACAGTATATCCTGTGAAGAGCTTTGAGACGTCTCAGATGTGATAAGGCACTGTATCAAATGCAGAGATTATTATTATATACTCTTTATTAATAAGCCAGCGCCTTGGGACGTCCTCCGTATACAAATGTAATCTTGTTGTTGTTATAAACTCCTGTGGGTAAGCAGAGGGTCGCGTATCTCGCTGAATTAACCGCCCTAACTCCCATCTGAAGATCCTGCCTCCCTGTTAAGGATCTCTCTGCCAGAGGAAAGTTAGTTGTCCATCATCCAATGTGTCAATTCCCTGTATTATTTTTACACATGTCAATCATAGCACACAGCAAGCCTTGGCCTCTGCTGTAAGCAATTTATCCTCAGCTGCAGCTTCTCACAGCTATACCCATTTACGCAGGTAATAATCTAATGAACTATCGCTGGAGGCTAGCCAGGACCAGTATAGAACTTTCTGAGATCAAGCAGCCAAATCCAGCTCAATATACTTACGGAGGTCAGACTAGAACTCTATAAAGTCTTCAAACACAGCACAAACTTCCGGCTTTTTACCTTCCAGACCTGCTTATAAAATCTCCCCATAAACACACTGGCCCGTTTCCAAATGCTTAAAGAAATGAGGTTAGTGTGTGTGCAGTGTTATGGTTCTGATTTCACGTAAAAGCTGTGAGCTTCTCTCATCCAGCGTTCCAGTGTTTACAGCCTTAAACAGCCTTAAAGACTCTGTCCCTTTGTCCCCGGCCTTACCCTATCCCTCTGCCCTCTGGCACTCACCTTGTGCCTCTGGATGAGTTTCCTGACGCTCTCACTGCCACTCACTGCCCGTAGCCTCTCCTCGCCCTGGGCCATCTCAGCAGCCAACCCACACAGCCATTTACTCAGCTCAGCCATGGCCTGGCGAGAGGGTACCCACTCCATCTGCAACTAAACAGCAGCTTAGGCATCATCAGCACACACACACACACGTACCCCAGCACCCCCCACCACACAGTCATCCCCACTTCCATGTGCACATACCCTCCCACACACACAAACACAGTCACCAACACTCTCCCACAACACACACACTGACAGTCACCAACCCCATCAGACAGCAGATGTGCCCATGGGGACTGTGACCCAGTCCCTGGAGTGGGAGGGCTAGGTGGGGGACTGTGCCCAGGGGGCTGTTATTGGGTGCCAGGGCGGGGGGGCTAACCTGATGCAGCTGGTGCTGGACGTCTAGGAGCCGGTTGAGGAGCTCTGCCCACTGCTGCTCGTAGCTGGCAAGACGTGCCCGCAGTGCCCGTCCGTCCGCTCTCTTCAATCGCAACAGCTGTCGTCCCGTCGTCACCACCGAGGTCTTCAGTGTGGCGTTGACAGCAACCTCTCTCCAGAACTCCTGCCACACAGCACAGCCCATCACTGCCCACACGGTACCCAGCCTGTCCCTCTGCCCGCAGCCCACCGCTGCCCGCAGCCCACCGCTGCCCGCAGCCCACCGCTGCCCGCAGCCCACCGCTGCCCGCAGCCCACCGCTGCCCGCAGCCCACCGTTGCCCATAGCCTGGTGACTCACAATGACGAGGCGCAGTCGGCTGTGAATGGAGGCCAGATCCTCGGGAACGCTGACTGCCTGCTGCTCCCAGGCCTGCACACGGCCCAGCGCCGAGCCCAGCCACTCGGCCAGCGTACCAGCCTCCTGCTGCAACCTGCCAACACACGGCAATTTTACAGCTATGACCAGACCGCACAGCGAACGGGGGGAGAGGGGGACAGAGAGGGGCACATGTGTTACTGATGTCCCTGCGCAGTTAGATGAGGTTTCTCCCACCTCACTGTGGAGATAACCAGCCGTCAGGAGGCCAGTGAGCCGAGAGCCGGGGGAGTCATCTCCAGCCCCCTCAGGGAAAGATCAGGAGTGGGTAGGGGTTGGGGAGCCTTGAGTAGCCGAGGGGGAACCGATGGTTGGAGGGATAGAGAGGGGAAGGGCCTGTACCGTGTCCAGTGCTGCAGCAGTGTCTGGTGGTGTTGAAGCTGGTGGCTGACCCGGCTGGTTAGGGACTGGTACCCTTCCAGCCTCTGAACCTGGGTACTGAGGTCAGGGCAGCTGACGTGGCTCAGGAGCCTCTTCCCATCACTTAGGACGTGGTACACACAGGCTCGCTTCTCCTCCAGGCTGTGCTGTATTCTCTGTGGGTCAGAACACACCTCACAATGTTAACAGTCACTAACCAGCCACAGGCTTGTCTCAGTGTTCTGCTTCTCTCTGGCCTAGAAGCTCGTTCAGGTGGACGAAAAAGATCCCATGCCACTAATGGAAAAGAGTAAGGAGTTTCTCCCAGGATTCTGGCCATCAATCTCCCACCTCACACGTGCTTGCTTTGAGCAACCAGGTCTTGGAACACACATCATCTCAGCTGACACTCCAGTGCATGGTTAGGGGTATCTGACACATGTGGAAACCCATCACCACGAGAAGAGTATCCAAATCAAGCTATTTCCATGTATCTCACCTACACATAGAAACTCCAGCGATAGATTGTTGGAATGGAATGCACTCTCTCTCCCTGGAGGGCCACATCCTGCTTATCTAATCCCGGAGAGTATCAGGCGCAGGTTGGCAGGAGCCAAGGCTTGGGGGACCCCAGAGTGTGCGTTGCGGTATCTGTTCTACTCTCACCAATTAAAACTGCGTAGCTTGCCAATGTGAGCGCTGTCTGGCAAGTTTTTCTGCTGCTTGTCCAGCTAGGACCACTCTACCAGTTAGGGTTTTGTGCTGTCATCAGCAGTTCCGTGGAGTATTGCGAACCCACCTATCTCAGGAACTGGCCTGGAGACTGCCACTGAGGGCTTGCTCAAACATGTCATCTTGGAGCCAGTTCAGCTCCAAGGAGACCGCACTGTGACAGTCTCTCTCTCTCTATGACGGTGTATTTGTGACAGTTTCTCTTGCTATGTCTCTCTCTCTCTTGCCGGGGAAGAAGAGATCAGAAGTGCAAACCCCGACTGATATTTCCCTTCTATACCCTTCTATACCCAGATGCCCACTGTAACTGATTCCCACTGCACCTGATTGATTCCCACTGTACCTGATTGATTCCCACTGCACCTGATTGATTCCCACTGCACCTGATTGATTCCCACTGTACCTGATTGATTCCCACTGCACCTGATTGATTCCCACTGTACCTGATTGATTCCCACTGCACCTGATTGATTCCCACTGTACTTGGGCAACAAGATTACATTTGGATACGCCTTTCACGTCGGGAGGACGTCCCAAGGTGTCGGACAGAGTATTTCAGACCCGAGCTGGGGTCGGGGGGGAGGGAGGGGAGGTAGCCGATGGCATGGTCGAAGAGGAGGGTCTTGAGGCGGGACTTGAAGAAGGCTAAGGAGGGGCCGAGGCAGAGTGACTGGGAGATGGAATTCCAGAGATTGGGGGCAGAGTGGCTAAAGGCTCTCCTGCCAATGGTGGGGCGGGTGGGTCGGGGGACGTGGAGCAGGCCAGAGCCAGCTGAGCGGAGGGAACGGGCAGTTTGGTAGGGGGTTAGGTCGCAGAGGTAGGGTGGGGCGAGGCCATGGAGGGCTTTCTATGTGAGGACCAGGATTTTGAACTGGATCCTCTGAAGGATAGGGGCGATGTTATGGAAGTGAGGGAAGGCAGAGCGGGTCATGGCTTGAATGTGGGGGAGAAAAGATAGTTGAGGGTCGAACAAGACCCCCAGGTTCCTGACTGGCTGGTGAGTTGGTGAGTTGTAGTGTATAACCATGGAGGTTGATGCTGCCAGAGCCTGAGGTGTAGAGGCGCTGCGCGAGCCAATCAGGAGGACCTCAGTCTTGTTCACATTCAACTGTAGGAAATTTTCCCTCATCCAGGACTTGATGTCCGACAGGCAGTCTGTCAGGACAGCAGTGGTCCTGGAGTTGAGGGTGTAGGCAGAAGGATAGAGTTGGGTGTCATCCGCAAACATGTGGAAGTTGAGGTTGCAAATCCCACCTGAAAAAGAGAAATCCGTTCCACCAGTCGTTCCTCCGTTTCTTCTACGAGGTCGACAGAAGGGATTGATGCTGCCAATGTTTCCAGGTCCTTAGACAGCAGCGCACAGCTAGTCTCGAACTCCGTCCATTCCTTCCAGTGAGAAAAGATTACACTTTCACTGGCTCACTCCCCATGGAGCTCATTCACATTCAAGAGGAACAGAGGAACTGTCTCTAGCTCTTGGGCAGTGTAAAAGCAGGCGTGTGGGACCTAAAGCCTGAGTGTTACTGTGGTGTTACATACGTGATGTGGAGCATGGGCGGAGCTCAGTGTACAGCAAGCCCACTTACAGGGCAGGGAGAGGGGTTTGTGGTAACGGAGTGGAAGAGGTTATGAATCGCTAACTACTGCACTGTAGTCCAGTCTGATGAAGATACACTAGTTCTGGGAGAGCTTCCAGCGCCGTTTACTAAACGAACACTTGGATGGACTGAAGAGACTGAGCTGTATAGAGGCTGGGGGAAGGGGGTTACAGTCAGAGTAGAGAAAATAAGGGTAGATCTGATGGAGGTGTGTAAAACAATGAAGGCAGTGGGGATGGATAATCTGGGTGGTGGACTCCTGTTTCTCTGGTAAGAGAAGGAGAACTGTGTAAAAGTGAATTATGTGGAGTCCTGTAGCTCAGTGGTTAGAGCACTCGCTTTGCAAGCGAGAGATCTGGGTTCGATTCCCGCGGCGTGAAACCTGGGCAAGTTTCCTTACTCCACACAGAGCCTAATAATAATCCCTCAAAATTGAAAAGTCATTTTCAATCCATAACTGTTTGTGGAACGCTGTTGTGTACAATTGGCTGCCGCATTTTGCCCACAAATATACAGTCAATTCACTTTACAGTCTATTCTGTGAAGCGCTTTGAGACATCTAGAAGACATCTAGAAGACGTGAAAAGCGCTATATCAAATACAAGGATTATTATTATTATGCAGGTTGGAGGTGAGATGGGAAAGCTTTCCTCACAAGGAGGGGGTGAGAACAAGGAACACCCAGCCCTGGAAGGGCCCAGAGGTAGAACAACCAGGAAGTTTAAAAGGAGACAGATTGATACATGAAGCAAGGGGAAGATGAAAAGGGCTTCTGTGATCTAATAAAGTGGCTTAATAGCTATGGAAAAAATCAATTTTCTTTTCATTCAGACTCAGTCGGAGATCATTGTTACCAGTTTCAAAGGGAAAATCGAGGTCCTGCGTTTAATGCCAGAGCAAACAGCAATTAACACCTGTGAATGAGCTTCCTCAGAGACCAGGGAGATCAGAGAAATAATAATCCTTATAATAATAATCCTTGCATTTGATATAGCGCTTTTCATGTCGGAAGGACGTCCCAAAGAGCTTCACAGAACACACTGTAAAGTGAATTGACTGTATATTTGTGGGCGAACGCGGCAGCCAATTGAGCACAGCAATGTCCCACAAACAGTCGTAGATGGAAAATGACCAATTTATTATTGGGCTTTTTGGAGGGATTATTATTATTACTGTTTGATACAGAGCCTTAACAACACATCTTCAAGATGTCTCAAATCACTTCACAGAATATGCTGTCAAGTTAATTCATTGTATATTTTGTGGGCTGAAACACGGCAGCCAATTACGCACAGCAGTACCCCAAATAGTCATGGATTGAGTGATCAAATTATTATTTTTAAAAATATCATTTTTTTAAGGGAATATTACCCCCAGGAAAGCAATCTGCCAATTGACTAACAAGTGGGTTCCTGCTTACTTCCAAGTAAACAGTGGTGTGTGGAGCAAGGAACCTTGCCTAATGTTTTCACCTTGCCCAGGAATCAAACCCAAGTCCTCTCGCTTGCAAGGCGTGTGCTCCAACCACTAAGCAACTGGACTCCAAAATCAGCCTCGTTCTCCCGATCAATGCACTCTGGCCCCAGGCTCCGATACCAGCAAACAACGCTAATTCTTATTGATATTCCACCTTTATTGTGTCTTTCACACTTGTGTTTAGTGTTGGGAAGTGGAGTGTGAAACTCAAAACAAGGAGAGTGAGAAAACCAAGGTGGTGAGCAGTCTGTAGGAAGGGACTGTGGGGCCAGGCTGCTCTGGGAACTGAGAGGAGAGAGCTGGCTTAGCGTAACTGTCACTGAAATGTCCTCACCTCCACCTGTAACAGGTATTCCTGTCTGTAGCAAAGACTACAGCAGAAAATCTAGATCTTTTTGGTTAGCTGTGGACTTTGTTAATTAAAAATTCCAGTGAAATACTACTGACTCAGTCAGTCTGTGTAAGTCGATTCACTTCGGATTGGACGGGAAACTGTAACGTCTCTGTGAGAGTCCTCAAACCTGGGGTGTTCAGTCCCTACAAGAGCACAAGCTGAGCCAGACGCGGGGACGTCCTCCCGACATGTTGTTGTCCACACCCGGGGACAGAGTGTGTGACAATAACCTCCTGCTGCTGGCCCCAGCCTCAGTCTCTCCTTGTCACATCTGGTCCCGTGGGTAACAAAGCTCCCCAATTGTCTCCTGCAGGATATGCACTGGGGATTGACACCTCATTGCCTTGCTGAGCAGTGAACGTGGGAGCCCCAGCACCCCAGCCAGACAGCACCCACTCACTCAGCCCGCCAACACCCAGCCCTTCAGCCAGCCAGCCAGCACCCACCCGCCCAGCCAGCCAACATCCCCACCCCCACTCAGCCAGTACCTCCCAGCCCAGTCCTCCCCCAGGCCCCCAGCCTGCCAGTGCCCACACCCCCACCCCAGCCAACCAGGGTGTGGGGTGCTGGGGGTGCCCCTGCCCACGCTCAGGCCTGTACCTGCAGCAGTCGCTCGAGCCTGATGCCGTGCTGCCGAGCCCGACACTGAAGCACGCTCAGCTCTGACCAGAGCCGCTCCTTCCCGGACACTCCAACCTCCGGCACTTTCTCGGCAATCTTTTCCAGCCGAATCCGATGATTTTCTAGGCTCCTGAAAAACAGCTGTTCATGACAGCAACAGGGGAATCGGTCACCGTAAACCACAAAACACAAAATACCACAGATGCTGGAAATCTGAAAACAAAACCACTCAGCAGGTCACCACTCATCTACGCAGAAAGGAAAGTGAGTCAACGTTTCGTGTCCACAATCCTTCATCAGATCTGGGTCATGTATGGAGGGAGAGGTTTTTCATGGGTTAAAGAGGTGTTAATGATACAAAATTAACACCTCTTTAACCCATCATCCCCTGTCCCTCTACCCCATTTTCTCCCTTGTCTTCCTTGCCCTGCCTCCCCCCTCTCTTGTTAGCCCTTCCCAAAATGCCCCAGTTCTGACAAAGGGTCGTGGACCCGAAACGTTGACTCACTGTAAACTACACCCTGGAAACCACACTCCATGTCAAACCCACGATATCCTCTCCTGCCCTCAAATACTGTACCTCCCCCAAACATGAGAACATAAGAACTGCTAGACAGAAAAAAGACAGAAGGTCCATCTAGTTTGCCTTCCACCTTCCTGGCGGTTGCATGCACACATGTCCCAAACTCCCTATGATATCTCATATTATTTCCTAAAAGAATGTTATTTCTTGATCTGTGTTTGAAAGAATCAACACTTCCTGCTTCAACCTCAGGAGCCTGTTCCACAGGTTCACTATTCGCTCACTGAAATAGTGTTTGCGTAGATTCGTTCTGAATTTACCCCCTTCAATCACAGGCCGTGTCCTCTGGATTTACTATTCTGGACAAGTTGAACCAACCTGTCATGATCTATATTGTTTTGCCCTTTTAGAATCTTAAAATCATGTCGCCTCTCAATCTTCTCTTTTCCAGTGTGAACAAACACAATTTACTGAGTCGCTCCTCCTAGTCCAGTCCCTCCATTCCCTCAATTATTTTGGTTTCCCTCCTCTGTATCTTCTCGATTTCTCCAATATCCTTTTTGTACTGTGGTGACCAGAACTGTACACAGTATAAGTATGGTCTCACCAATGATTTAGTGGCAGGATTACCCCACTATTTTGGCTGCTATTAATCTTTTCATACATCCCAACATCTGGTTTGCTTTACTCACTGCCACAGAGCATCGTTGGGCGAGCTTCAATTTATTGTTAATCAGGATCCCCAGGTCTTTTTCATTTTCCATATTATTTTCCTTCCGTTCAAACAATATTCCCTTCCAGGATTTTTTGTCCCCATGTGAAGTATTCTACATTTCTCCACATTGAATTTCATCTGCCACCAATCTGCCCAATTTCCAAGTATGTTCAACCCTCCTGTAACCTATCTTGTTCAGCTCCACAATCTACCAGGCAAGCAGGAATATCATCAGGCAGGAATAAGGCCAGTCACTTCTAAGAGGGGACCAAGGGGATGCCCAGTTGTTAGACCCAGGGAGGAGCTTTCCCCAGTGTTAGACACAGCTATAGACGTGAGATTTGCGTCTTGCGATTAAACAAACTAGGGCTCTTCAGCTTTATAAAAATCCTGGCATTTCATATTGCGCTTTTTACATTGGGGGGACAAAGCGCTTCACAGGGTTTACTGTCAAGTGTTGTAAACTGTATTTTGTGGGTGAACACGGCAGCCGATTTGTGCAGAACATCCCTCTAACAATAACAACAAAATTACACTTGTATAGTACCTTTCACATCAGGAGTAAGTCCCAGCCTTGGAGTAGTGACCACTTTTATTTGGGGGGGATTCACAGCCAGGTCACAGGGAGAGAGAAACTTCTCTTTACAATCAGTGAGACAGGAACTCTAACGTTCACCTGGATAGACACGGATGGGACCTGTTGGGACCTTCGTCCTCAGGGTAATGGCCGGTGTGGAGACCCCCTGCTACTGCAGAGACCCTCGGCACTTGTTAAGATCCTCTGCCCCTGCAGACGCCCTCTGCCCCTGCTTATAATGGGGCTTCAGTCCTGCCTGAGATCTGCCAGTTGCTAAGATCAGGCTGTTTGTGGTGTGAAGGTGACCTTCACATTTATGATTGGGAGCGAGGCCTGTTTCCCCATTCATGTGCTGAAAACCAATACCTACTTAATTTAAAAATTCCCAAATAAAATCTGCTCCTGAATATTCTAAATGAAAAGCTCAGACACACAGTGCACTGACTGAATAACTGACTGACTGAGCAACATGTGGTTCTTGTAAAACACTTGGCCACCGGCCGAGCGACGGAACTAACAGCCGAGCAAGCGCAAATGGAAACCTGGCATCTCTCTCGCTGCTCGGAGATCAGTGTTAACCCCATCAGGCCCTGGCCCCAGCACACCTGTCTCCTGGCTCTGGACACCCGGGTCGCGGCCTCAGGAGTTTGGGGAGGTGGGAATTTTGGGGCAGGGTCTAGGCACAGCCACATTGACTGAGGAGTGGATAATGGCACGTGTTAGTGTGAGGCACCAGCATCTCGGCTTCACACCTCTGCTGTGTACTGCTGAGGGCTGCTCTACTTAATTTCACATGCAGCTAAAGACTGGAGACTTTCACCCTGTCAGTCAGCACCGGGTTCTTGAGGGGAAAGATCAGTGAAAAAGTCAGTCTGTCACACTCTCTTCTCTGGATCAGAAAGCTGTATGTTCTAACCCCACATCAGGACTTGGAGCTCAGTCTAGGCTGCACTCCAGGCAAGGAGAGATACCGTTCCAGACAGACAGAGAGAGATACAGACCCAGAGAGGCAGAGAGAAATACAGTCCCAGAGATACAGAGAGATTATAGACCCAGAGAGACACCGAGAGATACAGAAGACAGAGAGAGATGCAGTCCCAGAGAGAAATACAGACCCAAAGAGACATCAAGAGATAGACCCGGAGACGGAGAGTTACAGACCCAGAGAGAGAAAGAAATACAGAGATACACAGAGGTAAGCATTCTGAGAAACACAGGCAGGCGGATGGAGGGAGACAGTGAAGGTTGAATTACAACGTGTGATATGTGCATTACTCAAGAGTTGGGGCCACATCCTGCCGCCTGGCTAGATTGAGTTATGAAACAGTCCCCTCAGCGCGAGTAAGTGCCAGCCCAGTAATCCTCTCCTCACCGCTCACTCTCTAATCCCTGCAGAACTACAGCTCCAGCCAAACACACCTTTGTAAAGCTGCGAGTATTTCCACTTTGGTACAGGCTGGAGCCGGGGATAACTCCCGGCCAGATACCAGGACCTCCCCGGGCACCACTTACACTTACTGCCTGGGGTCAAACTGCAGGGTCTCGGAGATAGCAAAAAGAGACCTGGGACACCAACTGCTGACCTGATTCCCTCTCGCTCTCTGTAAGCTGTCTGTCAGTGAGGAGAAACATACAGAGCAGAAGATCCGGGGATCTCACACTGGCCTCGTGGCGGGGACCCATATCAACCTGTCCACTCCCTCCACTCAGCAGGCTCCATCCAGCTCCACGTCACCCACCCGGCCTGCCACAACATCAGAAGTCAGGTCTTCAGCCTCTCTGACTCCATTCTTTGGAATTCCATCCCACAGTCCCTTCATCTCGTCCCCTCACTTGCCTCCTTCAAGGCACGTCTCAAGACCCTCGACTTCAACCACGCCTTCAGCCATCCTCCTACCCTTACTCTCCCTGCCCTCCACCCCTTCCAACCCAACTCCTTGCTCCGGTCCAAATCCTGACTGTCCAGCGCCTTGGGACATGCTCCCGATATATAATGTAATTTGTTGTTGTCTCCTCTGTCATCCACCTTAGTGGGACTTCACTCGCATGAGTCGAATCCTATTTAACCCCCAGACAGCATTTCATCTCATTCAATGGCTTTTCCTCTCGCTCCCACCCGGTCACCTGTGCGGTACCCCAACGATCCATCCTTGGCCCTCTTCTCTTCCTCATCCATATGCTCCCTCTCGGTGATGTCTTCCACAGACGTGAGGTAAGCTTCCTCATGTATGTGGATGACACTCAACTCTACTTCTCCTCTTCCAACTACGTCTCCCAGTCCACTGTCAGTTTTTCTGACAGATATCAAGGCCTGGATGAGCACAAACTTCCTATAGTTGAACGTTGACAAGATGGAAGCCATACACTTGGGCTCCCGGCTACGTCTTCTCCTGCAGTTCGGACCTCCTTACCTTACCCGATCTCTCCCTAAAACTCACCGAACCCGTGAGCAACTTAGGGTCAGGTTCGACCCCCAGCTGTCCTTCATACCCCACAACAGGACCACTTTCCTCCACCTCTGCCACATTTCCTGCCCACCTCCATCCATACCTCACTCCATAAGCTGCTGAAACCCTCGTCCACGCCTTTGTCACTTCCTGCCTTGCCTATTGAAACACCTTCCTCGCGGGTCTCCCCTGCTCCACTATTAACTCATTCAAAACTCCGCGCCCACATTCTCACCCAAACTAAACTCTGTACCTCCGATACCCCAGTCCTTGTCAAACTCCATTGGCTCCCAGTCACAGAGCGGATCGATTTCAAGATCCTCACTCTTGCATTTAAATCCCTTCACGCCTTGACAGCCCCCCCCACCCCCCACTCTCTCTCTCTCTCTCTCCCCAACCTGCTCTCTCCCTACACTACTCCCTGCTGCCTCCACTTGATTGGCTCCAGCGCCTCCTTGTCCCCCAGACACTTTCAGCCACTACGCCCCAAAGCTGTGGTACTCTCTCCTCAATCCCTTCGCTTTGCCCCTTCTCTCCCCATTTCAGGTCGCACTTGAAGACCTTCCTCTTCGACCAAACCTACGGTCACCTTCCCCCTCCCCCTGGCTCAGCATCGGGCTCCGCCACTGTTAAGCTCCGAGACACCATCCGACATGAAGGGCGCAATATAAACACAAGTTGTTGTTGCTGCTGATGGCTGAAGCCCAATGTGTCCAGCGTGAGATCAGGAACACACAGCCTGGGGATAATAATAATAATAATAATAATAATCCTTGCATTTGATATAGCGCTTTTCACGTCGGGAGGACGTCCCAAAGCGCTTCACAGAACACACTGTAAAGTGAATTGACTGTATATTTATGGGCGAACGCGGCAGCCAATTGCGCACAGCAATGTCCCACAAACAGTCGTAGATTGAAAATGACCAATTTATTATTGTTTTTGGTTTTTGGAGGGATTATTATTAGGCTCTGTGTGGAGTAAGGAAACTTGCCCAAGGTTTCGCCCTGACCTGCCTGGAAATGAACTCAGGTCTCTCGCTTGCAAAGCGAGTGCTCTAACCACTGAGCTACAGGCCTCCACCTGTGTAGATTCTACCATGTACCTTATTCACTGAGTAAGCAGCTTACAAGACCATTTCAAAGTGTGTTGATATGGCTGTTAATGATACAGCAGTAACTGCTAAGGCCAGAAGGGTATTAATGTCTATAATGCTCTGGTAGATCAAAGTCAAGAATGTATCTACTGAATGATTTGATCTGCAGTGACGTGATGAAATTAGAATCCGTGACTGAGTCTTTTTGGATAGTGTCCATATTTCAGTCTATGTTGACTAAGTAATCTGGACACTGACTAAGTGTCTTGGACAGTGACTAAGTCATTTGGGAGCTATTGCACTGTTCACCTCTGCTTTGCTTGCAGTACTGGGGGAGAGCAGCATGGTCAAGTCAGCGTTAGTCATGTCCCTGTTGGAAGAGAGTCTCCCCATGTCCAGGCTAAGAATCCTCCAGATAATTGCTCATTCACTACATGGCTGTGTGTGGGACATGGTTAATAATAATGATAATAATACTTGCATTTGATGTAGCGCCTTATCACGTCTTCAAGAGGTTTCAAAGCGCTTCACAGAATATACTGTAAAGTGTAGTCACTGTGTATTCTGTGGGCGAAACTCTCCCACAAAGTGAGACTTGTGGGCAAAAAAGTTGTGTTGCCCTATAACAAGTGTCCCGACCCTTTTTTGTCTGTGAAGCACTTTGAGACATTTCAACATTCCCTAACGCTGCATCAAGTTCATGGATTCTAATTTCATTGTACAAGATTAGATCAGTAATTCTATAGCATTTTATCACATCAAAATGTTTCAAAATTGGCTACAACCTGGAATAATGTGGGTGAAACAAGGAGAATGGTTACACTGCCAAAGGAGCCCTCGCCGCCTTCCCCTGTATATGGGCTTTATCTGAGCAGGGCTGATCTGCTCACAAAAACATTGCATGACGGATTGAAACAGCTTCATCGGAAACTGGACCCACTGAAGTGAACAGTGCAGCACCCCGGGAGAGATCACCGGCAGGGGTTGGGGGGCTAGAGTAGAGCGCTCCAACAAGGGAAGAGAGTGAGTGCAGACAGAGAGAGAGAGAGAGAGAGCGGAGGGACAGAGAGAAGGCGGAGGGAGAGAGTGAGAACGGATGGTGAGACAGAGTGTGAGCCTCTCAGCCCCGAGGCTCTGGAACTCCATCCCCCAGTGCCTTCGCCGCTTCCTCCCTTTCCTCCTTCAAGGCCGATCTCAAGACCTTTCTCTTTGACTGTGCCTTCAGCTCCCCTCTCGACTCTCTACCCCTTCCTCGCTCCCTCCCTTCCCTCCCCTCACCCTGACCATTCCCCCCCTCCTCGCTCCCTCCCTTCTCTCCCCACACCCTGACCATTCCCCCCCTCCTCGCTCCCTCCCTTCCCTCCCCTCACCCTGACCATTTCCCTCCTGCTCGGTTGCTGACCCAACTGTCCAGTGCCTTGGGACGTCCTCCCGACGTGAAAGGCGCTCTATAAATGAAATCTTGTTGTTGTTGTTGAGCAGATGGAGAGGGAGAGAGTGAGCGGATGGAGAGAGAGAGAGTGTGGATGGAGAGAGTGCGAATGGCAAGAGTGAGAGAGCGGATGGAGAGAGAGAGAGAGAGAGAGAGAGCAGATGGAGAGCGCGGATGGAGAGAGAGAGCGGATGGAAAGAGAGCGGATGGAGAGAGAGCGGATGGAGAGAGAGAGCGCGGATGGAGAGAGAGAGCGCGGATGGAAAGAGAGCGCGGATGGAGAGACAGAGTGTGAGCGGATGGAGAGAGAGAGAGAGTGAGCGAATGGCGAGAGAGAGAGCGCGGATGGAGATAGAGCGAATGGCGAGAGAGAGAGTGCGGATGGAGAGAGAGCAGATGGAGAGAGAGAGAGAGAGCGCGGATGGAGAGAGCGCGGATGGAGGGAGGGACACAGTGTGAGCAGGCAGGGCGGGTCCTATGGAGCGGTACCTTGTGTTGCTGGAGGTGCTGCCGCAGACGGCTGATGCTGTTGGTCAGGAGGCTGGGATCCTGGTCCAGTCTGTCGCGGCCGCAGTCACACAAGGCGGCCAGTCCCTGCACCAGCTGCTCGCAGTGCCCTCTAGCGGCCAGGACGAGTGCCAGACCCTCTCGCCGGGCAGCCAGCTCCACACACACCCTGGCCAGCTCCTCCTTCAACACACACACAAGCTGCCATCACACCCTCTCTTCACACCCAGGAGAGCCAGCGAAGGCTGCCCCATCTTCTGCACATAACATCCACATAACAGAGGGGTGGGCGCCGAGGGGTGGGGGCCAGTGCCCGAGGTGGCGGTGGGGGGGGGGTGACGAGCGCTGGTCATGTGCCATCAGTACCTGCAGTTTGCTGATGTCCTGCCCCAGCGTGGAGCCCAGCAGCACATGGCTGGCCTCCCCGCTCAGTGCCAGCAGCTCCTCCTCCTGTGGCTCCAGCAACAGCTCCAGGTCAGCAACCACCTGCAGCCAATAGCCAACATCAGCCAACGTGGGCAGAGCAACCAGCGCCCACCCCCCACCCTCTGCCACCAACCCCCCACCCTTTCACAAACACCATCTCCCCCACCCACCCCTCATACCCGCCCCTCACACCCATCCTCTCCCCCACCCGCCCCTCACACCCACCCTCTTATAACCGCTTCACACTCCATACAGTGAACACTGAGCCGGGTGCAGCTGCTGGTTAGTTCTTAAGTGGGAGCAGGGGGCAGGATTACAGTGGTTAGGGTTAGTTACCTGTAGCTGCTCGGCAGGGCTCCAGCCACTCGCCTCCTGCAGCCGTTGCCGCTGACGGCACTTTGTCTCCATTAACAAGGCCCGTGCCTGCCCCAGCCTCGCCTGCGGAGTTACAGAGCCACACCATGGTACACGAGGGGTTAAAGACATGCTGAGCCATGCGGCGGGTCTCAGCTGATCACTGCCCGCCTGGCACGTCTAACATTCACTAAAGATACGGGACCAGCCATTCGGCACGGCATTCCAGCTGCCTGGAACACCACACGGACTCCATGGAACTCAAAAACAGATGGGCATCCAGACGGTGTTCCAGAGGCAGCCATGAGCCGGTGGGATTTGCCGGTTCCCTGTGTGTGGTAAATCTGACAGAGGTTATAACAACAACAACTTGCATTTATATAGCGTCCCCTCACGCAGGGCAGCGACCCAGAGCTTGAGTTACAGGAAAAGGGGTTACGGTGTTGTTTGTGGAGTCCTGTAGTTCAGTGGTTAGAGCGCTCGCCTTGCGAGAGGACCCGGGTTCAATTCCCGGGCAGGGGAAAACCGTAGATAAGTTTCCTTATTCCACAAACCTCTGTTTACCTAGCAGTCATTGGGAAACTGGTTGTTAGTCGATTGGCGGATCACTTTCCAGGGGCAATAATCCCTCAAATAATAAAAACAATATTTTGGTCAATCAATCTGTAACTCAATCCACAACTGTTGGTGGGACGCTGCTGTACGCAATTGGCTGCCGAGTTTCACCCACAAATATACAGTCAATTCACTTTACAGTGTATCCTGTGAAGTGCTTTGAGACATCTAGAAGATGTGATAAGGCACTGTATCAAATGCAAAGATTATTATTATAGGACAGGGATACAGGACAGGAATCAGCATTTCATGGAACATTCATGGAATTAAAACCTGGCATGCAAGTCCAAGGGAGCCGTGCAGTGGGGGAACGCGTGGGACAGATACATGTAGCTGTGGGTGGGGACAGATACCTGTAGCTGTGGGTGGGGACAGATACCTGTAGCTGTGAGTTGTGGGTGGCTCTGGCCCGCAGAGACTGACACCTGGTCTGCAGGATGGAGTGGAGTCGCTGTAGCCTCCTGTGCAGGCTGGCCAGGTAGAGGGATGGCGGCCCTTGGTTCCGCACTGACAGTAGCTCCCTGGTCCTCTCCAGCTCACAGCACAGGCTGCCCAGCACCGGCACCTCGCTCTGCAACACACAACACACAGGGTAACAGCGAGGCCTATCCATCACCCTCCTAGACTAACCCCCTAACACCTGGAATAATGCCCAGCCTCCAACTCACTCCCAGGGGTTTTATTCTGTATGTTTCTCCCGGCCCCCTCCCCTCGCCACACCCACCCCCACGCCCTGAGAACCTGTAACTCACTCCCAGGGGATTTCCATGCGTAGGTGGGAGAATACATGGAAACCTCAGTTGGGTTTGGAAACTCTTAAGCACTGTGATGGATTTCCGCACATGTCAGACACTCAGCTGAGCAAACAAACTCCCAGGGGGCGAGTCATTTAGCATATAATAGCCTGTAATTCGCCCCCGGGGGTTGTTATTCTATATAAAACTCTCTTCCCCCCCTGAACCCCATGATTAGATTTGAAGGTGGGGGTGGGGGTTCACCTCCTGATATGACAGTTGTGCTTCTGTCTCCTGAACAGACATCACAGAGCTGGAGCTCAGGGCCTCCTCTGCCCCCTCCAGCCATCGGTTCACCCTGAGCATCACACACTGCAGGTCTCTCTCCATCAGCAGCTCCACAGCCTCACCCTGACCAGCACCAGCCTGGAGCAGAGAGCACACAACAAGTTACATTTACCCAGGCCTTTCACATAGGGGAGGGTGACTGTATCTGGGGGAGGGTGTGAGCTGTACCTGGTGGGTGGTGCGTGACTGTACCTGGGGTGGGGGTGTGACTGTACTTAGGGAGGAGCTATGACTGTACCTGGCGGAGGGTGTGTGAGCTGTACCTGGGGGAGGTGGTGTGACTGTACCTGGGGGAGGTGGTGTGACTGTACCTGGGGCAGGGCTTGTGTCTGTACCTGGAAAAGAGGGTGTGATTATACCTGGGGGAGGGGGTGGGTGTGATTATACCTGGGAGAGGGGGTGGGTGTGACTATACCTGGGAAGGGTGTGCAACTCTACCTGGGGGAGGTGTGTGAATGAACCTGGGGAAGGGTGTGTGACTGTACCTGGGGGGGGGTATATGACTGTACCAAGGGGAGAGTCTGTGACTGTAGATGGGGGAGGTAGCTGTGAGCTGGTACCTGGGGGAGGATTTGTGACTGTACCTGGAAGGGGTGTGTGACTGTATCTGGGGGAGGGGGTGTCAACTGTACCTGGGGGAGGGGGGTGCGTGACTATACCTGGAGAAAGGGGTGTGAAAGTACCTAGGGGAGGTGTATGACTGTACCTGGGGGAGGGCATGTGAGTGTACATGGGGGAAGGGGTGTGACTGTGCCAGGGAAGGGTGTGTGACTGTACCCGGGGGAGGCGGTGTGACTGTACCCGGGGGAGGCGGTGTGACTGTACCCGGGGGAGGCGGTGTGACTGTACCCGGGGGAGGCGGTGTGACTGTACCCGGGGGAGGCGGTGTGACTGTACCCGGGGGAGGCGGTGTGACTGTACCCGGGGGATGGGTTGTGAGCTGTTCCTGGGGGAGGTGTGGGACTGCACCTGGGGAAGGGGTGTCAATGTACCTGGGGGAGGGCATGTGACTGTACCTGGGGGAGGGCTGTGACTGTACCTGGGGGAGGGCTTGTGACTGTACCTGGGGGAGGGCTTGTGACTGTACCTGGGGGAGGGCTTGTGACTGTACCTGGGGGAGGGCTTGTGACTGTACCTGGGGGAGGGCTTGTGACTGTACCTGGGGGAGGGCTTGTGACTGTACCTGGGGGAGGTGGTGTGACTGTACCTGGGGGAGGTGGTGTGACTGTACCTGGATGAGTGTGTGTGACTGTACCTGGATGAGTGTGTGTGACTGTACCTGGCGGAGGTGTCTGACTGTACCCTGGGGAGTGTCAGTGACTGTACCTGGGGGAGGTGTGTGAGCTGCCTGAGCCACCCCCGCAGTTCCTCCTGTGCTGGGGCCGTTGCTGTCCTCACTCTCCACACATTGGGCTCACGGTCCGTCACAGTAACCTGCAACACACAGACTCGCAACACACAGTGACCTCAACAGCTCCCGCTGCACTCTCCCTGTGCATCACCCCAAATGACCCTCCCCTGGCTGCCCCTCCGCCCAACACGCCCTTCCCCCTGTGCTGCCCCTCCCAACCCTGACCTGTCCGCCCCCCCCGGCCAGACACAGATCCACTGGAGAGAATCACTGGGGAAAACTTTCATCCTCGTTGAAGATTATTAGGAAAGAGGGAGTTGTTCATCTCATGGCTGTTTGCGGGACATTCCTGGGTTCCAAGTGGGTAAAGTTGGGCCCCGGACAGCAGTTCCCTGGGAGGTTCCAGCACCGATCGAACACACAAATGAAACCCACCACAGGCTGCCCTCCCCCCCCACCCCTCCCCGACACCCACCACAGGCTGCCCTCCCCCCCCACCCCTCCCCGACACCCACCACAGGCTGCCCTCCCCCCCCACCCCTCCCCGACACCCACCACAGGCTGCCCCCCCCCCCACCCCTCCCCCGACACCCACCACAGGCTGCCCTCCCCCCCCACCCCTCCCCGACACCCACCACAGGCTGCCCTCCCCCCCCACCCCTCCCCGACACCCACCACAGGCTGCCCTCCCCCCCCCACCCCTCCCTGACACCCACCACAGGCTGCCCTCCCCACCTCTCCCCTCCCTGACACCCACCACAGGGCTGCCCTCCCCACCTCTCCCCTCCCTGACACCCCATGGGCTGCCCTCCCTCCCCCCCACCTCTCCCCTCCCTGACACCCCATGGGCTGCCCTCCCCTCCCCACCCCTCCCCTCCCTGACACCCCATGGGCTGCCCTCCCCACCTCTCCCCTCCCTGACACCCCATGGGCTGCCCTCCCTCCCCCCCACCTCTCCCCTCCCTGACACCCCATGGGCTGCCCCCCCCCTCTGGCTGGCAGAGGAACAGACGTGATGTTACACTGACCTGCAACTTGTGATCTGGTAGCACAGAATCTTCCAGGAGCTTGAGTCTGGCCACCGATGCTCTGTGCATTCGCTGCCAGTTCAGGGCCAACTGCTCAGGGCTCTGGGCCCCAGTGGTCAGCACGTCCCACCTCAGCAACACTTCATCTACAGGACCACAGACCCTCCCGGACTCCCTGCAACACATACAACGTTCAACTGGAAACACTCCAACCCACTGGGTCAGCTCCCACCTGTCCCCACATGCTGAGATCAGCCACTATGCATGTGTGGAGCTGAGGATAAAGTAGAGAGCTCCAGTGGGGGAGCGAGCCCCAGCACAGACACCATGGGGAGAGAGAGAGAGCAGGGAATGGAGTTAGAGTAGAGAGTCCCAGCACAGACACCATGGGGAGAGAGAGAGAGCAGGGAATGGGGTTAGAGTAGAGAGCTCCAGCACAGACACCATGGGGAGAGAGAGAGAGCAGGGAATGGGGTTAGAGTAGAGAGCTCCAGCACAGACACCATGGGAGAGAGGGAGCAGGGAATGGGGTTAGAGTAGAGAGCTCCAGTGGGGGAGCGAGCCCCAGCACAGACACGATGGGAGAGAGAGAGCAGGGAATGGGGTTAGAGTAGAGAGCTCCAGTGGGGGTTCGAGCCCCAGCACAGACACCATGGGGAGAGAGCAGGAATGGGGTTAGAGTAGAGAGCTCCAGTGGGGAGCGAGCCCCAGCACAGACACCATGGGGAGAGAGAGAGAGCAGGGAATGGAGTTAGAGTAGAGAGCTCCAGTGGGGGTGCGAGCCCCAGCACAGACACCATGGGCGGATTGGATCCCTCCTTTGTTGTAAACTCTGATCCATTCCCAGATCTGGGAGCTGATATTTCCCACAGATGTGCCATTAATTGGGGTGAGAGCCCAGAGCACTTGTAACTGTAAAGCGCTCTGAGACGCTGTCCGGCGCGGAGGGCGCTACATAAATCCAAGTTGTTGTTGTAACCTCACAGGAGCAATGCAAGCCTTCCCGTTCACTCAAACCCACCACATCCTTGCCTAACCATTCTGAAGCCTGTAAGTTTCCCGTCCGGATCAGCCATGATCGTACAGAACAGCGGAACAGGCTCGAGGGACTGAATGGCCTACTCCTGTTTCCATGTTTCTTCTCTGAGTTGGTTTGGGCGACAGCCAGTCAGTCAGTGTGGCAATACGGCTCGAAACCCACCCGTACCCACTTTGAAACCCGCCACCCTGCGTGACTCCCTACCCCCAGGCGCCCCCCATGCTCCCTGACCCCCCGGCCCGCCTCACTGCCCTCTGCCCGCCTGCCGGTGGTGGCCACAGTTACTTTTGACAGGATTACACAGCGCTGGACCTGCCAACCCCAGGAGCAGTTCAGTGTGAGACGTATGGGTGTTACACCGCTTCAGAATACCTTTCTATTTCCTGCCCGGTGTCACTCTCCTCCATTTCCCATCCACGGTCGTGCTCTCCAGTTCCCTGTCCGGGGTCACGCTCCAGCGTTCCCTGTCCGGGGTCACGCTCCAGCGTTCCCTGTCCGGGGTCACGCTCCAGCGTTCCCTGTCCGGGGTCACGCTCCAGCGTTCCCTGTCCGGGGTCACGCTCCAGCGTTCCCTTCCGGGTCACGCTCCAGCGTTCCCTGTCCGGGGTCACGCTCCAGCGTTCCCTGTCCGGGTCACGCTCCAGCGTTCCCTGTCCGGGGTCACGCTCCAGTGCTTCCTGTCCGGGTCACGCTCCAGCGTTCCCTGTCCGGGGTCACTCCGGGGTCGCGCTCCAGCGTTCCCTGTCCGGGGTCACGCTCCAGCGTTCCCTGTCCGGGGTCACTCTCCAGTGCTTCCTGTCCCGGGTCACTCTCTAGTGCTTCCTGTCCGGGGTCACTCTCCAGTGCTTCCTGTCCGGGGTCACGCTCCAGCGTTCCCTGTCCGGGGTCACTCTCCAGTGCTTCCGGTCCCGGGTCATTCTCCAGCGTTTCCTGTCCGGGGTCGCGCTCCAGCGTTTCCTGTCCGGGGTCGCGCTCCAGCGTTTCCTGTCCGGGGTCGCGCTCCAGCGTTCCCTGTCCGGGGTCACAGTCCAGCGTTCCCTGTCCGGGGTCGCGCTCCGGCGTTCCCTGTCCGGGGTCGCGCTCCAGTGCTTCCTGTCCGGGGTCACGCTCCAGCGTTCCCTGTCCGGGGTCACTCTCCAGTGCTTCCTGTCTGGGGTCATGCTCCAGCGTTCCCTGTCTGGGGTCACGCTCCAGCGTTCCCTGTCTGGGGTCGCGCTCCAGCGTTCCCTGTCCGGGGTCACGCTCCAGCGTTCCCTGTCCGGGGTCACTCTCCAGTGCTTCCTGTCCCGGGTCACTCTCCAGCGCTTCCTGTCCGGGGTCACGCTCCAGCGTTCCCTGTCCGGGGTCAAGCTCCAGCGTTCCCTGTCCGGGGTCACGCTCCAGTGCTTCCTGTCCGGGGTCACTCTCCAGTGCTTCCTGTCCGGGGTCACTCTCCAGTGCTTCCTGTCCGGGGTCACGCTCCAGTGCTTCCTGTCCGGGGTCACTCTCCAGTGCTTCCTGTCCGGGGTCACGCTCCAGCGTTCCCTGTCCGGGGTCACTCTGCAGTGCTTCCTGTCCCGGGTCATTCTCCAGCGTTTCCTGTCCGGGGTCGCGCTCCAGCGTTCCCTGTCCGGGGTCACTCTCCAGTGCTTCCTGTCCGGGGTCACGCTCCAGCGTTCCCTGTCCGGGGTCACTCTCCAGTGCTTCCTGTCCGGGGTCACGCTCCAGCGTTCCCTGTCCGGGGTCACTCTCCAGTGCTTCCTGTCCGGGGTCACTCTCCAGTGCTTCCTGTCCGGGGTCACGCTCCAGCGTTCCCTGTCCGGGGTCACGCTCCAGCGTTCCCTGTCCGGGGTCACGCTCCAGCGTTCCCTGTCCGGGGTCACGCTCCAGCGTTCCCTGTCCGGGGTCACTCTCCAGTGCTTCCTGTCCGGGGTCACGCTCCAGCGTTCCCTGTCCGGGGTCACTCTCCAGTGCTTCCTGTCCGGGGTCACTCTCCAGTGCTTCCTGTCCGGGGTCACGCTCCAGCGTTCCCTGTCCGGGGTCACGCTCCAGCGTTCCCTGTCCGGGGTCACGCTCCAGCGTTCCCTGTCCGGGGTCACTCTCCAGTGCTTCCTGTCCGGGGTCACTCTCCAGTGCTTCCTGTCCGGGGTCACGCTCCAGCGTTCCCTGTCCGGGGTCACGCTCCAGCGTTCCCCGTCCGGGGTCACGCTCCAGCGTTTCCTGTCCGGGGTCGCGCTCCAGTGTTTCCTGTCCGGGGTCACAGTTCAGTGCTTCCTGTCCGGGGTCGCGCTCCAGCGTTCCCTGTCCGGGGTCGCGCTCCCGTGTTTCCTGTTCGGGGTCACTCTCCAGTGCTTCCTGTCCGGGGTCACGCTCCAGTGTTCCCTGTCCGGGGTCGCGCTCCAGCGTTTCCTGTCCGGGGTCACGCTCCAGCGTTTCCTGTCCCGGGTCAGGCTCCAGTGCTTCCTGTCCGGGGTCGCGCTCTAGTGCTTCCTGTCCGGGGTCGTGCTCTAGTGCTTCCTGTCCGGGGTCACAGTTCAGTGCTTCCTGTCCGGGGTCACTCTCCAGCGCTTCCTGTCCGGGGTCACTCTCCAGGGTTCCCTGTCCGGGGTCACGCTCCAGCGTTCCCTGTCCGGGGTCGCGCTCCAGCGTTTCCTGTCCGGGGTCGCGCTCCCGTGTTTCCTGTTCGGCGTCATGCTCCGGTGTTCCCTGTCCGGGGTCGCGCTCCGGTGTTCCCTGTCCGGGGTCACGCTCCAGCGTTTCCTGTCCGGGGTCGCGCTCCGGTGTTCCCTGTCCGGGGTCACGCTCCAGCGTTTCCTGTCCGGGGTCACTCTCCAGCGTTTCCTGTCCGGGGTCGCGCTCCAGTGCTTCCTGTCCGGGGTCGCGCTCCAGCGTTCCCTGTCCGGGGTCGCGCTCCAGCGTTCCCTGTCCGGGGTCGCGCTCCAGCGTTTCCTGTCCGGGGTCGCGCTCCCGTGTTTCCTGTTCGGCGTCACGCTCCGGTGTTCCCTGTCCGGGGTCACGCTCCAGCGTTTCCTGTCCGGGGTCACTCTCCAGCGTTCCCTGTCCGGGGTCGCGCTCCAGTGCTTCCTGTCCGGGGTCGCGCTCCAGCGTTCCCTGTCCGGGGTCGCGCTCCAGCGTTCCCTGTCCGGGGTCGCGCTCCAGCGTTCCCTGTCCGGGGTCGCGCTCCAGCGTTCCCTGTCCGGGGTCACTCTCCAGCGTTCCCTGTCCGGGGTCACTCTCCAGCGTTCCCTGTCCGGGGTCGCGCTCCAGCGTTTCCGCTCCGCAGTGGGTGATGGCTTGGATCAGATCAGTTTGTTCGATGATCTCGGGTTCCTGCAAAATACACCGCGAGAGAGAGCGTTACACTGACCGTGACAGCGACGGCCGTGGAGAGTGTACCCCCCCCTCGCCCCCCCCCCCCCGGCGGGTACCGCACCTCGTGCAGTGTGGTCTGCAGGCGGACGAGGCTGGTCTTTATGGTGCTCAGCCGTGTGTGAAGAGCCTCCACCTCGTGTCGTGCAGCTGTGCCGACCTGCGCTCCGCTCACCACCTGACACACCTTCTCCTCAATCTCCAGCAGCAAACTCTGTGTGTGAGAGCAACAGTGTGTGTGAGAGTGAATGACAGACAGACAGAGTGTGTAGGAACGCGAGGGTGTGAGAGTGAGAATGTGAGAAAAAGTGGAAGAATAAGTGCGTGAATGAGTGAGAGTGGGAGCGGAAATCTCAGGAATTACAACTAAGCAGAAAACATTCTTATAGTGCCGGTAACTTCAAAATGACTCAAAGTGCCTGAAAGTGATTTGCCATCAAATCGAGTGACTACGCCACTGATTTGTGTAGTGACTAACTCACACCAACAAGGCAGCGCTCCCCAGTCCCACAGTGAGTGGAAGTCTGCACTGTCGGGACAGGGCGTTCTGTGGCTTAGCCTCGGTTTGTGGGACCTTTGCGGTGTATCACTTGGCTGACAAGTTGACAGACAGGAATTCTGTGTGAAGCGCTTAAAGAGATGTTTGGATGTTAAAGGCACCGGATCAAATGGGATGATTCTTATTATTATTATCATAGCCTCCACTCATAGGCTCCAAAGAGGCAAGCAGTCAGCTGGAGAGAGAGACGGAGAGAGACTGAGAGGCAGACAGAGAGAGTGAGAGAGACGGAGAGAGACAGAGAGGCAGAGAGACAGACAGAGAGAGCGAGAGAGAGACACAGAGAGGCAGACAGAGAGCGAGAGAGACGGAGAGAGACTGAGAGGCAGAGAGACAGACAGAGAGAGCGAGAGAGAGACACAGAGAGGCAGACAGAGAGAGCGAGAGAGACGGAGAGAGACTGAGAGGCAGACAGAGAGAGCGAGAGAGAGACGGAGAGACACAGAGAGGCAGAGAGACAGACAGAGAGAGCGAGAGAGACGGAGAGAGACTGGAGAGGCAGAGAGACAGAGAGGCAGGCGGAGAGACAGAGAGGCAGACAGAGAGAGCGAGAGAGAGACAGAGAGACACAGAGAGGCAGAGAGACAGGCGGAGAGAGACAGAGAGGCAGACAGAGAGAGAGAGAGAGAGACGGAGAAACACAGAGAGGCAGAGAGACAGAGAGGCAGACAGAGAGAGCGAGAGAGAGAGAGAGAGAGACGGAGAGACACAGAGAGGCAGAGAGGCAGGCGGATAGAGAGGCAGGCGGAGAGAGACAGAGAGGCAGACAGACAGAGAGAGAGAGAGACAGAGAGGCAGACAGACAGAGAGGCAGGTGGAGAGAGAGGCAGGCGGAGAGGGACAGAGAGGCAGACAGAGAGAGCGAGAGAGAGAGAGAGAGACGGAGAGACACAGAGAGGCAGAGAGACAGAGAAGAGAGGCAGACAGAGAGAGATGGAGATAGAGAGAGTCAGAGACAGAAAGAGATAGAGACACAGCCAGCCAGCCAGCCAGGCGGAGACGCAATGTTCTGACATGTGTTTTTACCGTTGGCGCAGGCCCTCCCCCACCCCAGGTGAATATTCTGCACCTAAAAACAAGGCTGTAAATAGCCGGGATGTCGCCCTGCATTTTATCCGGCTGATTAGCTTTGGGCTGGTTGCTCTGTGAGGGAGGCAGAGCTGCTTCAGGCCCAGACGCTCAGTAATTGAATCAGTACATTGTGTTCCTTGTCTCATTCATTAAAGTTCCTGCATTTTCCCCGAATCCATTACCCTCAGTGCTGCCGTCTCCAGAGCATATTAAATGGCTTTCATTATGGTTTGTTTTTAAAAGCTACTTCATGATATTACATCCTCTTGGTTCATGTGCCAGCGATAGGGGTAGGAGCGACCAGTGCTTGATACAGCCCCGCTAGTGAACACAGCCTGGCACCCACCCACACACCCCGAGCCCCAGACACAACAACAAATTACATTTGTCTACCACCTTTCACGCAGGGAGGTCATCCCAAGGCACTCACTTCCCAGCCCGAGACACACACACAGCTTAAACCCACCGGCTAAAGTGATATCTAGTTTTTCCTTAAGCTTTCCAGCGCTGCAAAAGAAAGTAGACATAGAGCAGACACTAGAGAGAGACAGAACAGACGATAGGGGGAAAGACAGACAGAAATACAAAGTGTGTGTGTGCGAGAGATGAGACACAGACAAACTGATAGACACAGACAGAGTGAGAGAGAGACAGACGGAGTGAAAGAGAGAGAGACAGAGAGAGAAGCGATTATGGTCTGGGACAGGTAGCACGAGTTTACAGGAACCAGAGAGAGTTGTTATTACCAGACACCCTGACCCTATTACAGGAGAGAGCTGTACCTGGAACTCCTTTCCCCATTCCATGTGCACTTGCACACTTGCCAGCTCACACTAGGTTTACACGCCGCTGCTGTGAGAAGACGCCGGCGGAGTTTCTGTGCGGTTCCAATCGGGGCCGGCGCTGGGCTCCCAGACTCCGTGTCGCTGTCTCCTCTGAACCTGACCTCAGGGCCTCGAACTGACTGACTGTGTCTGTGTATTTACCTGTGTGTGTGGTGTGTGTGTGTGTGTGTCAGGCACCTGCTGAACCAGTTTGTTCAAATTATTAACTCAGGGTCTATGCTCCGCAGCACAGCCCAGCACAGGAGGGAGGGAGGGAGCAAGGCTGCCCACAGCCAGGGGACCGCAGGTGCCTGTCAGCAGCCCGCCTGCCCGCCTGCCCGCCCGCCTGCCCACCAGCCGCCCACAGGCCCACACGCTCGCTGCCCGGAGCAGGAGGTGTGGCCCAGGTGCTGATACCACACACCAATGGGATTCCCAGCGTCTGGATTACGAGGGCTCGGCTGACAGGTGCTGTGACCTTTGGCAGGCAGTCAACACCTGAGTTCCCGCCTCGGCTCAGACAGACAGACACACATATACACACACAACGCAGACAGACAGACAGGGGATCACTCCCCCCCACCCCCCCCCCCCCGGCCTCTTACATGCCCCACTCCACCCCCGGCCACTCACAGATGCCGTTAGGTGTTTGCGGGCGGGTGAGGTCAGATGCTGCGCTGAGAGAATGTGACGGGTACCTGTGGGGGGGCTGGGGAGCTGCCACCTTCCTCTTTCTCCTCCTCCTCCTCCTCCTCCCGCTCCAGGACACAGTAAAGACCCACATTAGAGCTCAGCACAGGGTCCAGGGCCTGGTATGACATCTATAACAATAATCCTCCCTTTAATCTAATATTAATCATAGAATCATAGGATTATACAGTACAGAAGGAGGCCATTCGGCCCATCGTGTCTGTGCCACTCGTTTAAAAGAGCTTCCAATTAATCCCACTCCCCCGCGCTCTCCCCGTAGCCCTGCAAACTTGTCCTCCCATTAATCTAACAATAATTCTCATATTGGTTGCTTCCCACCCACTGCACCAACTCCCATCCTCCCGCTCAAACCATCTCAAATCCACTCTCTTCCTCCCCAGGCTTCATCATCTGCCCCATCACCTGGGCCCCACTCTCCCCCCATCCACAGCCCCCCTCTCCCCCATCCCACCCCCCACCCTGCCCCCCACTCCCCTCCCTGCCCCCCACTTCCGCCCACCCCATACACTGTAGCTCACCACTGGAGCCGGCCCCTGGCTGATGCTCAGCTCTGGGATATGGGAGGGGCAGACGTCAGGGTCCTCGCCATTCAGCGTTTGCTGTTTACTCAACAGCAGCAGCTCCCGGTGCTTCAGCACAATGTCCAGCTCCTCCCCAGCAGCACCTTCCTGAAGGCAGGAACACACAGCATTACACGCAGCTCCCTCTGCACTGGCCCTGACTGGCCCAGGTCAGGGTTAGAGACACAGTAAAGCTCCTCTACACTGTGCGTCCACACTCCCAGGTCAGGGTTAGAGACACAGTAACGCTCCCTCTACACTGTGCGTCCACACTCCCAGGTCAGGGTTAGAGACACAGTAAAGCTACACTGTCCGTCCACAATCCCAGGTCAATGCCAGCGCTTCCACAGTAGTCCCACTATAAGCCACACCACTGAGATCGGTAAATGCAGAGAATCTCACCTTAGTTCCAGAGGTGAAAAGGCAGAAGTTCCCAAATTCAGTCCATCAGGCCACCATTGCCATCTCTATAATACTGGCCCAGGTCAGGGGTAGAAACACAGTAAAGCTCCCTCTACACTGTCCGTCCACACTCCCAGGTCAGGGTTAGAGACACAGTAAAGCTCCTCTACACTGTGTGTCCACACTCCCAGGTCAGGGTTAGAGACACAGTAAAGCTCCCTCTACACTGTGCGTCCATACTCCCAGGTCAGTGACAGTGACGGGTTAGAGACACAGTAAAGCTGAATGCGTGTGCAGTTTTCTCACCTGCTGTAGTCTTTCTATTTTTCTGTCATACTCTTGTAAATTTGCTGACAGTGACTGGAAAACAAAATAAAGAGGTTTAAGGCGGGACGTGAGGTGAATGAGGCGAGGTGATGGGGAGGGAGGGGAACGGGTGATGGCTGAGTTACACACCTCCAGGACTCTGCTCTGCTGGGCTGTCACCTCCTGCAGTGCTTCCAGGTCCCCAGAGATATCCCGAACTTGGACGAACACAGCAATAGTGGAAATGATATGTTGAGGAAGCCCCAACGAGGCTCGACACTGCTCCATTTCCTCAACAATCTGCCTCATCTCCTCCACGTTCTCCAGAATAATCTGCAACAGCAAACAGGGGGTCACCATCTTACTCACCCTCCCACAAGCTCTCCACTATAATCCCAACCATCGTGTCTGTGCTGGTGCTCGCTCACCCACTGGAGCTCTTTCCAGGTTTCAATCACAAAAACGATAAACACCCACTTTTCCTGAGAAAAATAATGCAGCCGTGATTGTTATCGAGGGCAGTTACTGGGGCAAGAATCATCACATGAAGTCCTCCTGTTACTGCTTGTACTCAGTGGGGATAGTCCCTCTCTAATCACCTAATGAAATCTACTCTTGTATTGGAAACCTCAATCAGATTCCTTTAACAGTCTCTGGCGTGAGGACACCATGCCAGCCGGGCAGGGCTGGCCGGGGGGCTGTGAGCGGTGCTGGGCTGACCTCTCACCTGTGTGTTCAGGAGGTGCTCAGACACAGGCGTGTCAAACAGATCGGTAGCAGAGAGGATGGCGCGCACTTTGGAAATCTTTTTCTCAATGATTTTCACTTCGGCCTCGACAGCCTCGATCTCCTACAGCAATGGAAAAGGCAGTTATCAGAGCAGCCAACAGCTCGGGGGGCATTCAGGGGAGGGGAAATGCTCGGGGGGGAGGGGAAATGCTCGGGGGGGGAGGGGAAATGCTCGGGGGGGAGGGGAAATGCTTGGGGGGGGGAGGGAAATGCTCGGGGGGGGAGGGGAATGCTCGGGGGGGAGGGGAATGCTCGGGGGGGAGGGGAATGCTCGGGGGGGAGGGAATGCTCGGGGGGAGGGGAATGCTCGGGGGAGGGGAATGCTCGGGGGGAGGGGAATGCTCGGGGGGAGGGAATGCTCGGGGGAGGGAGGGGAATGCTCGGGGGAGGGAGGGGAATGCTCGGGGGGGAGGGAATGCTCGGAGGGGAGGGGAATGCTCGGAGGGGGGAGGGGAATGCTCAGGGGAGATGGGGGGTACCATGGCCACATGCTCCAGGGATGGCAGAGTCAGGCTCAGCCGCTGTTGTAAAGCAGCCAATTCCTCTCGCTGGCTGCTGGCCGCCGCCTCGAAGCCCTCACTCTCGTAGATCTCGGAAACTTCCCTCAGTTTGACCCCCACATCGTGCAGCATGGCCTCGCCCTGCCGGCATCGCTGCAGTGCTGACTGCGGAGCACAGGGGGAGAGAGAATACGCTCGTTATAATTCCAGTTCTCAGCTCCACCTCCCCACCTGCACCAGGCAGCTCTCCTCCTGACACAGTCGCTCTTCCAGAATCATACCAGGGCTTACAGGGTTAAATCCTCAGGACCGGTTGGCAACACTTGGTCTGTAACCCCTCGAGTTCAGGAGGTTGAGGCGGATGTGATTGAGGTGTTTAGAACACTAAAGGGGTTTGATCGGCAGCTCCGGAGAAACTGTTTCCTCTGGTGGGGAATCCAGAACAACGGCCATCACCTGAACATTAGAGCCCATTAGAGGCCATTTAGGAGTAAATCAGGGGCAGGTTTTCACCCAAAGGGGAGTGGAAATCTGGAACTCTCTCCCTCCCCCAAAAGGCTGTGGATTATGGCCGGATCCAGTCACATTGTCAATGTGAGGTGGACAGACATTTGTTGGGTCAGGACATCAGGGGATATGGGCAAAGGCGGGTAATTGGAGTTGAGGTACAGATCAGCCATGATCTTATAGAATGGTGGAACAGGCTCGAGGGGCTGAATGGCCTCCTCCTGTTCCTATGTACCTCCTCTCTACATCCCGACTGTGCCTAAATCCACACACCTCCTAACTCAGCATTCCCAGGATCTCCAGACTGGAATACCTCCCTCCCTCATTCTTCCCTTCCTCCTACACTCTACACCCCTCACCCTCCCTTTTCCCTTCCTCCTAACTCTACAGGACTTCTCCATCTCAGTCCCTTTCTGTACAGAGGTTAGTGTATGTACCTGTACAGGTCAGTCAGTGTGTGCACAGGTCGGTCAGTGTGTGCACAGGTCGGTCAGTGTGTGCACAGGTCGGTCAGTGTGTGCACAGGTCGGTCAGTGTGTGCACAGGGTCAGTGTGTGCACAGGTCGGTCAGTGTGTGCACAGGTCGGTCAGTGTGTGTACAGAGGTCAGTGTGTGTACAGGTCGGTCAGTGTGTGTACGCTGTACAGAGGTCAGTGTGTAAAAGCCTGTGCCACTTTTGTTAGCACAGACATCAGTGCTCCTCCAGCAGCAGCTGACCTGCAGTGTGAGGAGCCGTGTCTGCAGACACCGGGCCGAGCTGTAGTCAATGTCCTGGGACAGGAGGGTCTCTGTGTTCTTGATCCAAGACTTGGCACAGTTTGTGACCTGCTCGTACTGCTCCAGGTAGCCTGGTATCTGTATACACACACAGCAACCATGGATTACAACAACTTGTATTTATATAGCACCTTCACGCAGGGTAGCTTACCGGAGAGCTCGACAACACTCCATCAACCGGAGGGATGGGGAGGAGGTGACAGAGCAGTGTGTGTATGGTGGTGAGAGGGCAGGTGATGGAGCAGTGCGTGTGTGTGTGGGAGGAGCGATGGACCGTGGGGGTGGGGGTGATGGAGTTCTGTGTGTGTGGGGGTTGATGGAGCGTGGTGGGGGGGGGGGTGATGGAGCGTGGTGATGGAGTGGTGTGTGTGTGTGTTGGGTGTGATGGAGTGTGGGGGGGGTAGTGACGGAGCGTGGGGGGGGAGTGATGGAGCAGTGTGTGTGGGGTGGGGGGAGGTGATGGAGCACTGTGTGTGGGGTGGGGTGGTGTGACAGCGGAGGAGGGCATGTGTGGGGGTGTGTAGTGTGATGGTGAAGGGTGCTGGGAGTGACCTTGTTGAGCAGGGAGGTTCGCTGCTCGGCTTGCCGGGCCACTCGCTGGTGGAGCTGGAGAGGGTGGATCAGCCGATCCATGAGCTGCTGGGCGGCCTGGGGTCCTGCTCCGCCATGTCCTGTACCTCAGCATCCAACCGGGACAGCATCGCCTGCCACTGCTCCACCTCAGCCCACACTCTCTGCAACAGCACACACAGCAGTGAGGTCAGCCATCACCAACAACCTGTCCTCGTCCAGCACCTCTCTCCAACAGCAACATCTCTAACTGCTTCACTGAAATTGCTGGCCCTGACTGGCCCAGGTCAGGGTTACAGACACAGTAAAGCTCCTCTACACTGTGCGTCCACACTCCCAGGTCAGGGTTAGAGACACAGTAACGCTCCCTCTACACTGTGCGTCCACACTCCCAGGTCAGGGTTAGAGACACAGTAAAGCTACACTGTCCGTCCACAATCCCAGGTCAATGCCAGCGCTTCCACAGTAGTCCCACTATAAGCCACACCACTGAGATCGGTAAATGCAGAGAATCTCACCTTAGTTCCAGAGGTGAAAAGGCAGAAGTTCCAAATTCAGTCCATCAGGCCACCATTGCCATCTCTATAATACTGGCCCAGGTCAGGGGTAGAAACACAGTAAAGCTCCCTCTACACTGTCCGTCCACACTCCCAGGTCAGGGTTAGAGACACAGTAAAGCTCCTCTACACTGTGTGTCCACACTCCCAGGTCAGGGTTAGAGACACAGTAAAGCTCCCTCTACACTGTGCGTCCACACTCCCAGGTCAGTGACAGTGACGGGTTAGAGACACAGTAAAGCTGAATGCGTGTGCACAGTTTTCTCACCTGCTGTAGTCTTTCTATTTTTCTGTCATACTCTTGTAAATTTGCTGACAGTGACTGGAAAACAAAATAAAGAGGTTTAAGGCGGGACGTGAGGTGAATGAGGCGAGGTGATGGGGAGGGAGGGGAACGGGTGATGGCTGAGTTACACACCTCCAGGACTCTGCTCTGCTGGGCTGTCACCTCCTGCAGTGCTTCCAGGTCCCCAGAGATATCCCGAACTTGGACGAACACAGCAATAGTGGAAATGATATGTTGAGGAAGCCCCAACGAGGCTCGACACTGCTCCATTTCCTCAACAATCTGCCTCATCTCCTCCACGTTCTCCAGAATAATCTGCAACAGCAAACAGGGGGTCACCATCTTACTCACCCTCCCACAAGCTCTCCACTATAATCCCAACCATCGTGTCTGTGCTGGTGCTCGCTCACCCACTGGAGCTCTTTCCAGGTTTCAATCACAAAAACGATAAACACCCACTTTTCCTGAGAAAAATAATGCAGCCGTGATTGTTATCGAGGGCAGTTACTGGGGCAAGAATCATCACATGAAGTCCTCCTGTTACTGCTTTGTACTCAGTGGGGATAGTCCCTCTCTAATCACCTAATGAAATCTACTCTTGTATTGGAAACCTCAATCAGATTCCTTTAACAGTCTCTGGCGTGAGGACACCATGCCAGCCGGCCAGGGCTGGCCGGGGGCTGTGAGCGGTGCTGGGCTGACCTCTCACCTGTGTGTTCAGGAGGTGCTCAGACACAGGCGTGTCAAACAGATCGGTAGCAGAGAGGATGGCGCGCACTTTGGAAATCTTTTTCTCAATGATTTTCACTTCGGCCTCGACAGCCTCGATCTCCTACAGCAATGGAAAAGGCAGTTACCAGAGCAGCCAACAGCTCGGGGGGCATTCAGGGGAGGGGAAATGCTCGGGGGGGAGGGGAATGCTCAGGGGGGAGGGGAATGCTCGGGGGGGAGGGGAATGCTCGGGGGGGAGGGGAAATGCTCGGGGGGGAGGGGAAATGCTCGGGGGGAGGGGAATGCTCGGGGGGAGGGGAATGCTCGGGGGGAGGGGAAATGCTCGGGGGGAGGGGAATGCTCGGGGGGAGGGGAAATGCTCAGGGGGGAGGGGAATGCTCGGGGGGAGGGGAATGCTCGGGGGGAGGGGAATGCTCGGGGGGAGGGGAATGCTCGGGGGGGAGGGGAATGCTCGGGGGGAGGGGAATGCTCGGGGGAGGGAGGGGAATGCTCGGGGGGGGAGGGGAATGCTCAGGGGAGATGGGGGGTACCATGGCCACATGCTCCAGGGATGGCAGAGTCAGGCTCAGCCGCTGTTGTAAAGCAGCCAATTCCTCCCGCTGGCTGCTGGCCGCCGCCTCGAAGCCCTCACTCTCGTAGATCTCGGAAACTTCCCTCAGTTTGACCCCCACATCGTGCAGCATGGCCTCGCCCTGCCGGCATCGCTGCAGTGCTGACTGCGGAGCACAGGGGGAGAGAGAATACGCTCGTTACAATTCCAGTTCTCAGCTCCACCTCCCCACCTGCACCAGGCAGCTCTCCTCCTGACACAGTCGCTCTTCCAGAATGATACCAGGGCTTCCAGGGTTAAATCCTCAGGACCGGTTGGCAACACTTGGTCTGTAACCCCTCGAGTTCAGGAGGTTGAGGCGGATGTGATTGAGGTGTTTAGAACACTAAAGGGGTTTGATCGGCAGCTCCAGAGAAACTGTTTCCTCTGGTGGGGAATCCAGAACAACGGCCATCACCTGAACATTAGAGCCCATTAGAGGCCATTTAGGAGTAAATCAGGGGCAGGTTTTCACCCAAAGGGGAGTGGAAATCTGGAACTCTCTCCTTCCCCCAAAAGGCTGTGGATTATGGCCGGATCCAGTCACATTGTCAATGTGAGGTGGACAGACATTTGTTGGGTCAGGACATCAGGGGATATGGGGCAAAGGCGGGTAATTGGAGTTGAGGTACAGATCAGCCATGATCTTATAGAATGGTGGAACAGGCTCGAGGAGCTGAATGGCCTCCTCCTGTTCCTATGTACCTCCTCTCTACATCCCGACTGTGCCTAAATCCACACACCTCCTAACTCAGCATTCCCAGGATCTCCAGACTGGAATACCTCCCTCCCTCATTCTTCCCTTCCTCCTACACTCTACACCCCTCACCCTCCCTTTTCCCTTCCTCCTAACTCTACAGGACTTCTCCATCTCAGTCCCTTTCTGTACAGAGGTTAGTGTATGTACCTGTACAGGTCAGTCAGTGTGTGCACAGGTCGGTCAGTGTGTGCACAGGTCGGTCAGTGTGTGCACAGGTCGGTCAGTGTGTGCACAGGTCGGTCAGTGTGTGCACAGGTCGGTCAGTGTGTGCACAGGTCGGTCAGTGTGTGCACAGGTCGGTCAGTGTGTGTACAGAGGTCAGTGTGTGTACAGGTCGGTCAGTGTGTGTACGCTGTACAGAGGTCAGTGTGTAAAAGCCTGTGCCACTTTTGTTAGCACAGACATCAGTGCTCCTCCAGCAGCAGCTGACCTGCAGTGTGAGGAGCCGTGTCTGCAGACACCGGGCCGAGCTGTAGTCAATGTCCTGGGACAGGAGGGTCTCTGTGTTTCTTGATCCAAGACTTGGCACAGTTTGTGACCTGCTCGTACTGCTCCAGGTAGCCTGGTATCTGTATACACACACAGCAACCATGGATTACAACAACTTGTATTTATATAGCACCTTCACGCAGGGTAGCTTACCGGAGAGCTCGACAACACTCCATCAACCGGAGGGATGGGGAGGAGGTGACAGAGCAGTGTGTGTATGGTGGTGAGAGGGCAGGTGATGGAGCAGTGTGTGTGTGTGTGGGAGGAGCGATGGACCGTGGGGGTGGGGGGTGATGGAGTTCTGTGTGTGTGGGGGTTGATGGAGCGTGGTGGGGGGGGGGGTGATGGAGCGTGGTGATGGAGTGGTGTGTGTGTGTGTTGGGTGTGATGGAGTGTGGGGGGGGTAGTGACGGAGCGTGGGGGGGGGAGTGATGGAGCAGTGTGTGTGGGGTGGGGGGAGGTGATGGAGCACTGTGTGTGGGGTGGGGTGGTGTGACAGCGGAGGAGGGCATGTGTGGGGGTGTGTAGTGTGATGGTGAAGGGTGCTGGGAGTGACCTTGTTGAGCAGGGAGGTTCGCTGCTCGGCTTGCCGGGCCACTCGCTGGTGGAGCTGGAGAGGGTGGATCAGCCGATCCATGAGCTGCTGGGCGGCCTGGGGGTCCTGCTCCGCCATGTCCTGTACCTCAGCATCCAACCGGGACAGCATCGCCTGCCACTGCTCCACCTCAGCCCACACTCTCTGCAACAGCACACACAGCAGTGAGGTCAGCCATCACCAACAACCTGTCCTCGTCCAGCACCTCTCTCCAACAGCAACATCTCTAACTGCTTCACTGAAATGGGGAGAAAAGCCAGCAAGGTGGGAAGTGGATCAAACCTGCAGTCAAAGAGGATTATCAGCAGGAGGCCACGACACAGGAGAGGGTTCAGGGGATTTTCTTTTTTGTGTGGTCAATTATCTGACACATGTGGAAACCCAACACCACGCTTAAGAGTCTCCAAACCAAGCTGAGAATTCCATGACTCCCACGTGCACATGAAAATTTCCGAGAGATTGCTTTAATGGAGTGTGCTCTCTCTCCCTGGAGGGACACGTCCTGTGTACCTAATCCCGGGAAGTACAAGGCGGAGGTTGGCAGGAGCCGAGGCTTGGGGACTCCAGAGTGTGTGTTGCGGTAACGCTGGAGGCTAACCAGCTAAAACCGCAAAGTTTGTTATTGATATTGCTGTCTGACAAGCTTTCCCACTGATATTCCGGCTAGGACCACCCTACCCGTTAGAGCTTTGGCTTACAGGATTAACAGGAGCTGAGTTAACTGGAGACTTAAGTGAGGGTGTGTGAGAGGGAGGAGAGCGGTGTGTGAGAGGGTGTGAGGGGGGGGAAGAGTGGTGGGTGAGAGGGTGGGAGAGGGAGGCGAGCGGTGGGTGAGAGGTGTGAGGGGAGGCGAGCGGTGGGTGAGAGGGTGTGAGGGGGAGGCGAGCGTTGGGTGAGAGGGTGTGAGGGGGAGGCGAGCGTTGGGTGAGAGGGTGTGAGGGGGAGGCGAGCGGTGGGTGAGAGGGTGTGAGGGGGAGGCGAGCGGTGGGTGAGAGGGTGTGAGAGTGTGAGGGGGAGGTAAGCGGTGTGTGAGAGGGTGTGAGGAGGAGGCGAGCGGTGGGTGAGAGGGTGTGAGGAGGAGGCGAGCGGTGGGTGAGAGGGTGTGAGTGTGAGGGGGAGGTAAGCGGTGTGTGAGAGGGTGTGAGGAGGAGGCGAGCGGTGGGTGAGAGGGTGTGAGGGGGAGGCGAGCGGTGGGTGAGCGGGTGTGAGTGTGAGCGGGTGTGAGTGTGAGCGGGTGTGAGCGGGAGGAGTGAGCGCAGGGGTGAGCGGGTGTGAGCGGGTGTGAGTGTGAGCGGGTGTGAGCGGGAGGAGTGAGCGCAGGGGTGAGCGGGTGTGAGTGTGAGCGGGTGTGAGCGGGAGGAGTGAGCGCAGGTGTGAGCGGGTGTGAGTGTGAGCGCAGGGGTGAGCGGGTGTGAGCGGGTGTGAGTGTGAGCGCAGGGGTGAGCGGGTGTGAGCGGGTGTGAGTGTGAGCGCAGGGGTGAGCGGGTGTGAGCGGGTGTGAGTGTGAGCGGGTGTGAGCGGGTGTGAGCGGGTGTGAGTGTGAGCGGGTGTGAGCGGGTGTGAGTGTGAGCGGGTGTGAGTGTGAGCGCAGGGGTGAGCGGGTGTGAGCGGGTGTGAGTGTGAGCGCAGGGGTGAGCGGGTGTGAGCGGGAGGTGATCTCCGGTATGTCCGGTTGCACATTGCCGGGAAATAGCTTTTTCCCCACAACTTCTCGCTCCAGATCCTTACGTGGCACAGCTGTGCCCTCTAGTGGTGGTCTGGGCCAGTACAGGCAGTCAGCCTGGGGCACACACAACACACACCCCCTGGGGCACACACACCCCCTGGGGCACACACAACCCCTGGGGCACACACACCCCTGGGGCACACACAACACACACCCCCTGGGGCACACACACCCCCTGGGGCACACACAACACACACCCCCTGGGGCACACACACCCCCTGGGGCACACACAACACACACCCCCTGGGGCACACACAAACACACACCCTGGGGCCACACCACACACACCCCTGGGGCACACACACACCCTGGGCACACACAACACACACACCCCTGGGGCACACACACCCCTGGGGCACACACAACACACACCCCCTGGGGCACACACAACACACACACACCCTGGGGCACACACACCCCCTGGGGCACACACAACACACACCCCCTGGGGCACACACAACCACACACCCCCTGGGGCACACACAACACACACACACCCTGGGGCACACACACACCCTGGGGCACACACACCCCCTGGGGCACACACACCCCCTGGGGCACACACAACACACACACCCCCTGGGGCACACACACCCCCTGGGGCACACACACCCCCTGGGGCACACACAACACACACCCCCTGGGGCACACACAACACACACACCCCCTGGGGCACACACAACACACACCCCCTGGGGCATACACACCCCCTGGGGCACACGGAGACACACACACTCCCTGGGGCACACGGAGACACACACGCTCCCTGGGGCACACGGAGACACACAGCTCCCTGGGGCACACGGAGACACACACACTCCCTGGGGCACACACAACACACACACTCCCTGGGGGCACACGGAGACACACACACACAAGGCCAACAGGAGGCTGAAATAGCACTGGGCTCTGTCAGGTTGAAAAGTGCCCGACCAGCTCCTCAGTAAGGGAATAACAATAATCCTCGCATGTGGTAGAGCGCCTTATCAAGTCTTCTAGACGTCTCAAAGCCCTTTACAAAGTAAAGTGAATTGACTGTATTTTTGTGGGCGAAACACAGCTGCCAATTGCGCACAGCAGCGTCCCCACAAACAGTCGCGGATTGAAGTGACCAATTTTTTTTAAAGGATTATTACCCCCCGGAAACACTATCCGCCAATCAACTAACAACTGGGTTCCTGCTTACTGCTGGGTAGTAACAGAGACGTGTGAAGTAAGGAAACTTGTCCAACGTTTCGCCCTTTGCCGGGAATTAAACCCGGGTTTCTCACTTGCGAGTGCTCTAACCACTGAGCTACAGGACTCTACAGGAATGGGTGGGTCGGGAGCCATCAGACAAATCTGAGGATTCGCCCTCAAAATACAAAGTCCCCAATGTGGAGCTTCAAACTACAACCACTGAGCCCAATCAGTGTTACTGACTAAACCAGGCTCCCCCCGACCCTCCCCCCACCCCGCGCAGCACGTGGGACCCACCTTGTGTTGTGCTTGTGCTTGACTCAGGCTCTGGCTCCGCTGCTGTAAGACCATCTCCACTGCCCTGAGCCCAATGCCCACCGCACTGATGCTGTTGCTCAGACCCTGGCACCGTCTGCTCCGCAGGCCCTGCAGCTTACACTGAGTCAGTGAGGGAGTATTTAACAGGCAGAAACCACACACAGCCCTGGCCAACGCCGCACACAGCCCTGGCCAACGCCGCACACAGCCCTGGCCAACGCCGCACACAGCCCTGGCCAACGCCGCACACAGCCCTGGCCAACGCCGCACACAGCCCTGGGCAACGCCGCACACAGCCCTGGCCAACGCCGCACACAGCCCTGGCCAACGCCGCACACAGCCCTGGCCAACGCCGCACACAGCCCTGGCCAACGCCGCACACAGCCCTGGGCAACGCCGCACACAGCCCTGGGCAGGCACTCACCACACACACAGTCAAACAGACACAGTCTCACCGCACGGATACCCACAGACAGACTTAATTCACCGTGTCCAGATTTGTCACATTCTCACCTCCTCCTGCACTGTCTCCAGCTCACTGGCTGTGCCCTCGATGCTGATCTCCAGCTCAGGGGCAAGTGGCTCCGAGACGCTGCTGTGGACACGCGCCCTCATAGCATCCAGCACTTCCCACTGCCGCCCCACTCCAGCCTGAAGCTCCTGTCAGCAAAGCCAACCAGAGGGTTGAGGGGCAGCACCAGCACAATAGCCCAGTGGCTCCCCTCCCACTGTGTGGACAATGCCCAGATTGGAGGGCGTGACCCGAGGCTTATTATAAAAATAATAATAATCCCTGCATTTGATACAGCGCCTTTTCATGTCTTCGAGACATCTCAAAGCGCTTCACAGGATACACTGTAAAGTGTAGTGACTGCATACTTTGTAGGCGAAACTTTATATTTATATAGGGCCCATCACTCGGGGGTAGTGTCTCGGAGTGTTATATAAACGCAAGTTGTTTCTAACCACTGCATCCCGTCTCTATGCAGACCCTCTCCCAGCAACAACAACAACAAGATTCCATTTATAAAGCGCCTTTCACGTCAGGAGGACGTCCCAAGGCAGGTGGGCGGACGGGGGTATATTCTGCTCAGAGCTGTGCTGTTGTGGGAAAGTACCTCCTGGTGTTTGAGTTGATCTCCCGGATCCTCCCAAGCCGGGGCTTGCAGCTCAGCCCTGGTGTCTCGCAGCCATTCCCCGACACTGTCCAGCTCCTGCTCCGGAGGCTCCCCACGGACACTCTCCCCAATAGCACCGGCCTCCTCCCCAAGCCTGACACACACAGAGCGGAGCAACAGAGAGACAGAGTCAGCCAACATTGACGGGCGCCCATCTCACACTCTGCTCAGGCACCTCAGCAGTGCACTCCAGCAGCCACTGGGATGGCAGCATGAGTTTGGCAGAGTCTGATCACTCGGTGGTCCCTGCCCCAGTCCCCACCACCAGCCCGCACCACCTGCCCCCACCACTGTCCTCCACCACCAGCCCCCACCACCGTCCTCCACCACCAGCCCCCACCACCAGCCCCTACCACCTGCCCCAGCCCAGCCAGCACCACCGTCCCCCACCTCCAGCCCCCACCACCGTCCTCCATCACCAGCCCCCACCACCGTCCTCCACCATCAGCCCCTACCACCATCCCCCACCACCTGCCCCAGCCCAGCCAGCACCACCATCCTCCATCACCAGCCCCCACCACCTGCCCCAGCCTAGCCCATCCCAGCGTCCCCTACCACCGGCCCAAGTTCCAACCACCAGCCCCCACCACCAGCTCTCATCTCAGCCCCAGCCTCCAGCCAGGCCCCCCCTGCCCTAAACTCACAATTGGGTGGGCTCCAACGCTGGTTGCTGGACGGAGGGTTGTTTTCTGAGATAATCCTGAACCTCCCGCAACTGCTCTCGCCGTCTCCCTCTCACCGCCAGCACCGCTTCCTCCAGCCGGGCCCAGCGATTCAGCAGCTTCCTGGCCTCGGGGCATGTGAGTGACATTCCCTTTGCTCTGCTGTGTGTCAGTGACATTCCCTCTGCTCCACTGTGTGTCAGTGACATTCCCTCTGCTCCGCTGTGTGTCAGTGACATTCCCTCTGCTCCGCTGTGTGTCAGTGACATTCCCTCTGCTCCACTGTGTGTCAGTGACATTCCCTCTGCTCTAGGCTGTGCGCTGGGCTCCAGTGCGTGTCTGATGATCTCCAGTTCTGTATAGAGAGCCTGTGGAAGGTCCCAGTGAGGCAGACATTAAGGATTGGGGTGGTGGTGGTGGGGTCACGCACAGCCTCTGGCACTTGCCTCCTTGTCTCTCCACACCACCATTAGCGGTTGAGCCTTCAGATTCTGTGTCCCTAACTTGTTAACAAGTTGCCTCTCCATCTCACCTCCTCTCCATCTGTCTTCAAGTCCTGCCTTAAAACCTACCTGTTTGACTGCGCCTCCAGCCTGCTCCTGCTCCTGCTCCTGCTCCGAGGCACTATCCTATGTGACAGTCACTGTTCATTACTGGTTGGTTGTGTGATAGCCCACACACTGTCCACATTGGACCATGGGGGCCAGGCTTGATCCCGTGATCACTGAATGTTTATAAGTACATCTCCCCTTCCCACACACACCCCACACTGTGAACGGAACAGTAACCCACCCAAAACACCAGGGTCTCCCTTCACAGGTCCCTCACTATGGCAGCATCTATGGAGAGTGAGAAGTGAGTTAAGTTGACCTTTTGTCTGAACTGGGCTCTGCGACTCTCAAATGCTCTCTCGGTCTCTCTCTCTCTCTCTCTCTCTGTGACTCATCGACCTGAAACATTTACCCACTTTCCTCTCTCTATAGATGCTGTCTGACCTGCTGAGCTCCCAGCGACTTCTGTTTTTATTTCAGGTTTCCAGCATCTGCAGTATTTGCCTGTTGTTCCCTCACTGGTCTGCTTGTCTTTCTCTCCGGTGCCAGGGAGCCTCACCTCCAGTGCCTGTAGCTGCTCCTGCAGCTCCCGGGGCTCCAGCTCTGAGCCTTGCTCCTCCAGCAGCTGGACCTCACCTTCCATCACCGTCATCCTGCTGTGAACCCCCGGCCACAGACGCTCACACTCACTGCCCACAGCAACATCTGAAACCTGCAAAACCTGCGTCAATCTCCCTCTCCCCCACTCACTCACTCACTCACTCTCTCTCGCTCGCTCTGGGACTCTCTCGCAAACTGTCTCTTTCTCTCTTTCTCTCTGTGACTCTCTCTTGCTCTCTCTCACTCTGTTACATTTGCACAAACTGTCTCTCTCTATCTGTGTGTGACTCTCTCTCTGTGACTCTTTCACTACAGATAGTGCAAGTTTTCCTCCTTACCATACACACTCAGTCCAGCTGTGAAGGTTGTGTAGCCCTGAGCTGATGGAGGGAGGGAAGTAGTCAGGTTCAGGCTATGCCTTGCACTCTTGGGATGTGTTGTGTCTAACTCTGGCTCCCAAGGCCAGATAGTGGTTGCACAGGTCCCCACAAGCCTGCGTTATCAACACAGCAGCTCCAGCTCCACCACTGTTCACAAAGCCCGGCATGCGGGCGTGCAGTCTAGTCGGGAGACTGGCAGAGGTGATGGGGAGGGTAGGATTACTCTTACCTCAGGTCTGGCTGGACGGTCTGAAATAAGTTGTGCATTATTTTCAAACTAAACCCTATAGCCCTGCAATTTTTTTCCTTTTTTAAGTACCTATCAAATTCCCTTTTGAAAGTGGTTATAGAATCTGCTTCCACCACTCTTTCAGGCTGTGTATTCCAGACCAAAACAACTCTGGGTAAAAAATTTCTTCTGAACTACCCTCTGGTTCTTTTACCAATTATCTTAAATCTGTGTTCTCTGGTTACCAACCCACCTGCCAGTAAAAACAGTCTCTTCCCCTCTACTCTTATCAAAATCCCTCATAATTTTGAACACCTCTATTAAATTTCCCACTCATATACACATGCATTCACACACATACATATACTCATACACAGCGCTATGAGGTAAGAGTGGGGGAGTGGGACTGATTGAGCAGCTCTTTCAAAGAGCTGGCACAGGTATGATGGGCCAAATGGCCTTCTTCTGTGCTGTAAAATTCTAGTGTGTGTGTGTGTATGTATGAATGTGTGTGTGTGCATGCATGTGTGGCTGTTTGTGTGTCTGTGTGTATGAGCGCCTTTGTTTGTGTGTCTGTGTGTGAGTGTGTGTGTGTGGCTGTGTGTGTGTATAAGTGTGGGAGTACTTGTGCTGTGTGTGTGTACGTGTGGCTATGTGTGTGTGTGTACGTGTGGGGTGGGGGAGAGAGTAGAGTGAATGTGAGCTCTCTTGGGGACACTGTGATTCCTGTTCTCATTGCTGCCTGGTGTGGTACGGAGGGTGCAATGGGAACAGGAACATAGTGTCCCCGAGAGCTCTCAGGAGGCAAGAATAACATTCAGTCCCAGTACCTGCAGGTCACCAGGAGGCACCACGAGGGGACAGCTGTGGGAGGGTCCAGGGGTCTCCAGCCCAGCCTGACTTGGTCCCACAGCTCCGTTACTCATCTCCACACCCTGTGTGGGGGACCCAGTCATTAGCTCCTCCAGCCTCAGTCTGAGACACGTCTCCAGGACCTCGAGAGTAAGAGAGGAATGAGAAAGTTTCAGCCATTCATCACACCCACAGGGGGGTCAATAACTCACAACATGAGGTGCCAAGTCTCACTGAGGGTAACCAATTCACAAATCAGACAGACAGACTGAGAGACACACACGCACAGTGAGTGAGTGAGAGAGAGTCAGAGAGGAAAAGAGAGAGAGAGAGAGAGAGTGTGAGAGAGTCAGAAAGAGAGAGCAAAACAGAAACAGAGACAAAGAGTGCAAAGTGTGGGTGGTAACTGAGGATGATACAGAGGGAGTGAAATGGTGAGAGAAAAGGAGAATGAGCTAGTTATGAAATAGAGATAGACAACACCACGGAGAGTGAGGGAGAGAGAGGATGAGGGGAGAACCGGACAAGAGAGAAAAAGAAAAATGAGAGAGAAGTGGAAGAAAGCGAATGAGAGGTAGAGAGAGGTCGTGGATTGAGCTGCGGAGTGGCATTTTGCCATGGAAACCTTACCTGTAATTCCTCTGGTGTGTCCTGCCACTGCAGCAGCTCCTGAATTTCACCAGTTTTTTCCCGTAAGTTTTCAATCTTCTGTTCCTGGCATTGAATTTCACCCTGTGAGGATAAACACAGTGAGTGTTGCTCTGTATCTAACCCATGCTGTGGCTGACCTGTTATGGGAGCCTGCATCTCAAAATATAAATTTCACCTAAAACCTCATGTTGAGCTGTTGATGGGCAAAAGCGAGTGATCTACACAAACAGTGAGAAAATAGTGAACCTGTGGAATAGGCTCCCTAGGGAGACGGTTGAAGCAGGAAGTGTTTCAAACACAGATTAGATAGTTTTTGTTTAGGAAATAACATTGAGATAAGGTACGTAAGGAGTTCAGGACACATGTCCACACGCCTGATAATAATCCATCAAGAAAAGAAACATTAATAAATTGGTCACTTCAATCCATAACTGTTTGTGGGACACTGCTGTGCGCAATTGGCTGCAATGTTTTGCCCACAAATATACAGTTAATTCACTTTACAGTCTATTCTGCGAAGCGCTTTGACACGTCTAGAAGACATGAAAAGCACTATATCAAATACAAGGATGATAATAATAATACTAATAATAATATGTGCGTGCCACTGCCAGGAAGGTGGAAGACCAACTAGTCTTTTTTCGTCTAGCTGTTCTTATGTTATCCGTGTTAGTCACTGTATTGACATCTTAGGAATGTTGCGTGAGGAAAGGTGAACATGCCTGCTAGCGAGAGCACCCCACCCAGCACAGGAACGTGAGAGTGAAGCCAGCATCTGCTAAGGTAGACTCTGCTGTATTTCGCCCACAAAATACAGTCACTTCACTTTATAGTATATTGTGTGAAGCGCTTTCAGATGTCTCAATGACGTGATAAGGCGCTGTATCAAATGCAAAGATTATTATTATTATCATGTTCACAGAACAACACAGGTAGGAGTCTATCATACACCATGTGTAAACCGTGTGCAAACACTGTAAAGCATGTGAGTGTATATTTACAAAGGGAATTATAGGCTTCCTTAATTATTGTAAATTACATTAAAATTAAAGGGTAAGTGTAATTCCCTCTATAATTGTTTACACAAGGTTTACAAAACGTGCACTCCATGGCTGCGGGGTGGGAAAGGGGAGGAGAAGGTGAGACAAGTAATGGAGTATGCGACAACAACAATCTACATTTAGATCACACCTCACACATTAGGAGGACTTCACACAGCTGACTGGGAGCGCGGGTGCAGGGTTGGGTTGGGGGCACGAGGAGGGGGAAAGATGGCTGAACAAGCTGACTGTTAAGTTATTTTTTGAAGATGGGGAGGGACTGTGGGGTTGCAGGGTTGGCCATTGAGGGTGGAAGTAGAGCGGTGTTTGCTGGCCAGAGGGAGTAGGAGTTCAGGTGAATCCTCACACTCGTGTTCAAATCCCTTCATTCCCTGGCACCTCCCTACCTCTCCGACCTCCTTACTCCCCAATCCACCACCCGGCGCCTCCGCTCCTGCTCATCCCTCACACCCTCCAACCCACCATCGGAGGTTGCAATTTCAGCAACTACGCCCAGAAACTCTGGAACACTCTCCCTCAATCCCTCCGCCTTCCCCCCTTCTCCCCTTTTTCAAGTCCCGCCTGAAAACCTTCCTCTTCGACCGTTCTTACAGCCACCTCCCCCACCCTGGCTCAGAGTCAGGCTCCACCACTGTTAAGCACTCTGAGATGCTATATAAGTGCAAGTTGTTGTTGGCTGGCGACTGGCGCAAAGCTGCGGAGAGATATCAAACTGAGGACAAGGATCTTGAAATCGATCCACTGGGGATGGTGGGGGAAGCTCACAACGTCCCGTTCCCACCTCACTTTACGCCTTCTACTAATTTATTCCAAACATTGTATGTACAGCACAGCCGATCACTGGATGAACTCACTGAGCTGTTGGGTTGGGGGGAGTGCTGGGGGATGGGTTCCGGTGAGGCGGGGGGTAACTGAAAATCAAAACAGAGGACGCCTTTACTGAGAGACAAGCAATGTGTCTCTGCTGCGGAGACAGACTCGCTCGTCCCATGGCACCCCAGCTCACTTTGTGAACCGAACAGCCCAGTTTGTGTAGAGATGGTGGCTGATTCTCTCAGTCAGTGACAGGGTGCCTCTGCTCAATGTCAGTGACTGCAATCAAGCCATTACCTTGTGAGAACCCGTCAGAGTTGGAGAGGTCGTGTCCCAACCGAGCCAGGGCCAAAGCAAGCCAATTAACCCAACCCACTTGCAGTTAGCCATCGGCAAGACACGTTCCTGGACAATGAGGGGTGCTTGGCTCCTGGCAGAGCACTCTCCTGGCTTTGCTACAACCACAAGCTGCTTTCCTTCTATCTGAGGGGAATGAAAGGGAGGGAATAATGCAGGGTGGGGATGCAGGGTGCCCCAGGGCCCAGTGTATGTGAGACAGCAGCAGAGGGAAAGGGAAAGGAGCAGGTTACAGCAGGCTGGAGAGGAAGGCCAAGGCTGTTGCAAGAGGTAGACTCCCTACAGTTGAGACATTCTAATTATTCATCCTGAGAGTGTCAGGCCTCTGTGGCTCCACCAGGGTTTCTCTGTAGCTCACTGCTAGAGGCTGCGCAGGGGGTGGGGGAAGAGATGTTCCCTCTATCCCTGGATATGTTTGCCTGCCAGGATCTCCCCCCCGAGTCTCCCCCAGGGAGGATGCCCCCCCACTCTCCCAGGTTGTTGGCTGACAGCCCTGATGTGCAGTGACTGCCTTCCCCATGACTGAATGAACCTGGAATGCTGATCTCACCTGTAACAACTCCAGACTGCTGTCCCGCGCTCTCACAATCTCACACTTCACTGCCTCTGACTTCTCCCCCTCGGTGGCTGAGCTGCTCAGTTGCTCCCACAGGGACAGCCCTGCCTTCAGTCGGGCTGTGCTGCTGTCCAGCGTTTCCATCACCTGCCAATAAACACAGGGGAGAAATCAAGACACCGCTGAGAGGAGCAACCATCACCCTGTGTCCGACATCCACCGCCTGTTACATTCATGGCATGAGAAGCCGTTAATAATAATAATCTTTGTATTTGATATATCAAGTTTTCCAGACGTCTCAAAGTGCTTCGCAGAATATACTGTAATGTGGAGTGACTGTATTTTGGGGGGCAAAACACAGCAGCCAATTGCGCACAGCAGTGTTCCACAAATAATAGTAGTTTATCTGAGGGCATTATTACCCACAGAAAAGTCCGCCAGTTGACTAACACCGGGTTCCTACTTACAGCTGGTAAACAAGAGGCGTGTGGAGTAAGCAAACTTGCCTAAGGTTTCACCCTGCCCGGGAATCAAACCTAGGTCTGTCCTCTCGCTTGCAAGTTGAGTGCTCAAACTACTGAGCTACAGGACTGGACAGGCGGGTTTTCAGTGAGTGACAGACAATGGAGGGAGTGACACACCTTGCGCCAGCGCTGCACCAAGCACTGAGCTTCACTCCCGAACAGCTCAGAGTCACAGCCCAATCTGCTCAGTTCCAACTCCAGCTGCTGACCCAGGCTCCGCAGGTCCATCACGTTAGTTTCCTGGTCAGTGCAGTCGCGTTTCACTACCTCCAGCTGTGTGAGAAGATATGTCAGCACTTTCATAACTCCAGGGCACTGGTGTGGAGCTCTGCCCCAGGACAACTCTGTGCAGTCTGAGCAGAGATTTACAAAGTACTCCAGGTGTGGTGTGCGCAGGTGTACACAGTCCTCCAGGTATGGTGTGTGCAGGTGTACACAGTACTCCAGGTATGGTGTGCCCAGGTGTACACAGTACTCCAGGTATGGTGTGTGCAGGTGTACACAGTACTCCTGGTATGGTGTGCACAGGTGTACACAGTACTCCAGGTATGTTGTACGAAGATGTACACAGTAATGCAGATATGGTGTGCGCACGTGTACACAGTAATGCAGGTGTGGTCTGACCAGCGGTTCAGTGGATCTAAACTCACTGATTTGGCATCAGCCCAGTTTATAAATGAACCATGACTGTACTGATCTGAAACACGATTGAGGGCAACTTCCAAACTGACATAATGCTCGAGCCCCCTGCATCTCACTCGCTCAGTGAATCTTCACACACTCACTCTGGTTATTGCCACCTGCAGAATATCTCTCCGCTCCCAGTGCCCCTGAGCTGCCATTGCCTCCTCTGCTTCCTGCACTGTGCTCACAAGATCCTTTGTAATCTTCTGGGTCTCTCGGAGAAGCACCACCAGGACACAGCAATGGTCATGCCTGCGGAGACAAACCATATCCTCACCCAGTCCCACAAGCTATCCTCTCAACAAGTCACTTCCAAACACAACAGCACTTCACAGCAAACACTGGCAAGTGTAGGAAAGGGCAGCCACTGTACAGGTCATACAGAACCAAGGCTCACGGTGTGAGTAAGAGTCAGGGGCAGCAGCAAACAGTGTGAGTGAGAGTCAGGGGCAGCACCACACAGTGTGAGTGAGAGTCAGGGGCAGCAGCACACAGTGTGTGTGTGTGCTTGTGGGGGGGGGGGGGGTGGGTGGGAGGGAGGGAGCGAGCGAGTGAGTGAATGAGCGAGTGAGCACAGCAGTGCATTTAGGCAATAACTATGAGCTGGTGTACATAGTGGGATGAGCTAACCTGAGCTCCTGACCCAGGAGAGCTGAGGACAGACAGGAGCAGTGAGTACCTACCACTCCTGGATATGTTTCTTAGTGTCTTCCCATCTCGTGTCCACCTCCTCCAGCTTCCGTGTGGCTTGGCCTGCGTGGGCACCGCTCATCGCCACGATCTGGTTACTAAGATGCCGCAGGTTGTCCAGCTCCGGGCTCCGGCTCTGCAGCTCGTAATCCAGCTCATTCAGACACTGCAGCCTGGGAAAGGAGTGGCTCACTACACAGCCAACACTCAATAATGCAGCACCACTCCACTCCATCCACACTCCCAGGTCAGCAACAGTGCAAGTTAGAGACACAGTAAAGCTCCCTCTACACTGTGCGTCCACACTCCCAGGTCAGGGTTAGAGACACAGTAAAGCTCCCTCTACACTGTGCGTCCACACTCCCAGGTCAGGGTTAGAGACACAGTAACGCTCCCTCTACACTGTGCGTCCACACTCCCAGGTCAGGGTTAGAGACACAGTAATGCTCCTCTACACTGTGCGTCCACACTCCCAGGTCAGGGTTAGAGACACAGTAACGCTCCCTCTACACTGTGCGTCCACACTCCCAGGTCAGGGTTAGAGACACAGTAAAGCTACACTATCCGTCCACAATCCCAGGTCAATGCCAGCGCTTCCACAGTAGTCCCACTATAAGCCACACCACTGAGATCGGTAAATGTAGAGAATCTCACCTCTTTGGTTCCAGAGGTGAAAAGGCAGAAGTTCCCAAATTCAATCCATCAGGCCACCATTGCCATCTCTATAACATTGTGTCTATTTATCTAACATCAAATGCAGCGTAAGCGGTTTCCTCAGACAAAAACAGTGCAATGCAACCAGACACCAACCTGTGCTGCACTGCAGCCAGAGAGCCTTCCCTCAGCCCAATCACCTCCAGACTTCCCTCAGTGGCCTGCAAACTGCTCAGAAGCTGCTGTTCTTTAGTGTTGAAGGCCTCCAGTAATGACTGTAAAGCGACACTCTCCTCCACCCCAGTCAGCCATGGCGATGCAGGTGGGTAACTTTCCCCGGAAACCTGGGTCTGCAGGGAACGCCGAGCAGCGGTCTGCCTGGGCTCAGGATCCACTGACCCCCATGCCTTGTCCCAATCACAGTCATCTAACTCCTGATTCAATAGGAAAACAAATTAAACTCAAGTTACTATAATACAAGCCAAGGCATCAGCACAGGAGGCCATGCACGCCAGCGGGGAGGACATCATTGGACACAAACGTACAACAAAGAAAATCCAAGAAACAGTTGCCTGCTGTGCTATGGGATGGTGCGCTGGGGATTGAAGAAATATGAGATCAAATAGGCCAAAGGGCCTTCTTCACCCAAACCTCTCTTGGGATCAGTTATCAGGAGAGGTAGAGAAGCTCGGATTATTCTCCTTGGACAGAGAAGGTTAAGAGGAGACTTAATAGAAGTTTTCAAAATTATGAGGGGATTCAATAGGGTGAACAAGGAGAAACTATTCCCACTGGCGGGTGGGTCAGTAACCCGAGGGCACCGAGTTAAAATAGTTATTAATCGAAACAAAGGGGAGGTAAGGAGAAATGTTCTCACAAAGTGAGTTGTTGGGATCTGGAATGCATTGTCTGAGAGGCCGGTGGAAGCCGATTCGATAACAAATTTTAAGAGAGTAGATAATTATTTAGGGAGGACAAGTTTGCAGAGCTATGGGGAGAGAGCGGGGAGTGGGGTTGAATTGGAAGCTCTTTTCAAAGAGCAGTACAGACAAGATGGGCCGTAATGGCCTCCTTCTGCGGTGTATAATTCTATAATGTTATGATTCCATGTTATAATAATAATCCTTGCATTTGTCTTCGAGACGTCTCAAAGAGTTCCACAGAATATACTGTAAAGTGAATTGACTGTATATTTTGTGGGAAAATGCAGGAGCGAAAGATTGAACACAATAGTGTCCCACAAACAGTCGTAGATTATTTATGAACATATTTTTTTAAAAGAAGGAATTATTAGCCCCAGAACATGATGCACCAATCGACTAACAACCAGATTCCTGCTTACTGCTAGATGAACAGAGGCGTAAGAAAATTTTCCTAAGGTTTTGCCCCGTCCAGAGATCAAGCCCAGGCCCTCTCACTTGAGGCGAGTGTCCTAAACGACTGAGCTACATGATCAGAGATGTGCAGCTAATTACTGGGTGGGTAGATTTCACACTGAACACATTAATGCAGGCTATCTTTCACCTTTTCCTATTGTATCTCAGTCACTTGACAGTGTTGCTGCTGTACCTGCTCCACACTGTGAGTTGACTGCCCCGAGTCCTCGTTGATGGGCCCATCGCCCTCCTCGGTGGTGCTGAGAGGCTGAGAGGAAGCTTCATTCGGTGGCTCACGCTTGTCTTTCCCGGCCACCTGCTGCTGCCGCAATGCCACACAACCATCTGCTACCTTCATGTCTACCCACTCATCATCTCCATTCTGAGCCACTGTCATTGACTGATCCTCTCTCTCTCTGTCAATAATCTGCTCTCCTTCAGGTTCGTCAGTCACTGTGTGAGCAGTGTGCTCTCTCTCTCTGTCAATGATCTGCTCTCCCCCAGGTACATCAGTCACGGTGTGAGCAGTGTCCTCTCTCTCTGTGTCAGTGATCTGCTCTCCCCCAGGTACCTCAGTTACTCTGTGAGCAGTGTCCTCTCTCTCTCTGTCAGTGATCTGCTCTCCCTCAGGTAAGTCAGTCACTGTGTGAACAGTGTCCTCTCTCTCTCTGTCAGTGATCTGCTCTCCCTCAGGTAAGTCAGTCACTGTGTGAACAGTGTCCTCTCTCTCTCTGTCAGTGATCTGCTCTCCCCCAGGTAAGTCAGTCACTGTGTGAGCAGTGTCCTCTCTCTCTCTGTCAGTTATCTGCTCTTCCCCAGGTACATCAGTCACTGTGTGAGCAGTGTCCTCTCTCTCTCTGTCAGTGATCTGCTCTCCCTCAGGTAAGTCAGTCACTGTGTGAGCAGTGTCCTCTCTCTTTCTGTCAGTGATCTGCTCTCCCCCAGGTACCTCAGTTACTCTGTAAGCAGTGTCCTCTCTCTCTCTGTCAGTGATCTGCTCTCCCTCAGGTAAGTCAGTCACTATGTGAACAGTGTCCTCTCTCTCTCTGTCAATGATCTGCTCTCCCCCAGGTACATCAGTCACGGTGTGAGCAGTGTCCTCTCTCTCTCTGTCAGTGATCTGCTCTCCCCCAGGTACCTCAGTTACTCTGTGAGCAGTGTCCTCTCTCTCTCTGTCAGTGATCTGCTCTCCCCCAGGTACATCAGTCACTGTGTGAGCAGTGTCCTCTCTCTCTCTGTCAGTGATCTGCTCTTCCCCAGGTACATCAGTCATGGTGTGAGCAGTGTCCTCTCTCTCTCTGTCAGTGATCTGCTCTTCCCCAGGTACCTCAGTCACGGTGTGAGCAGTGTGCTCTCTCTCTCTCTCTATGTCAATGATCTGCTCTTCCCCAGGTACATCAGTCACTCTGTCAACTAACTGCTCTCTTACTGGGCTGTGACCCAGGTCTGGTCCAGTCAAAGCCACTGATACCAACGGACGAACGCCCTGGTTGTCTGAATGGTCAGCATGGACATGTCCCCGTGGAGAATCCGTCACCGGCTGACCACAATCTCCTGCTTGCTTATCAATAAGGTCTTCTTCAATCCTCTTCATTGGAGTAAAATCCTCCTCAGTGAGCTCAGCAGCCTGTTCTTCTGCTATAATCGTGATGACGCTTTGAGCAGATTCCTCTGTTCCTGATCTATCAGTCCTGTCTGCTTCATTCACAGACACAGCTATCATTTGAGCAATGTTCTCCCTCAGTAGATCACTCCGCTGCTCTTCCCCACTTAAGATCATGGCTTTGTTTTGAGCAGATTTCTCTCCATCAGTCACTGGCCCTTGCCCTGGTTCTGCTCCTTTGGCCTTAGCCTGGTCCTTTCTAAGCTGAATCTCTGTTGCTAGTTCTGTGGTGCCATCAGGGTCCTCTCCAAGGGGAGAGACTTGTGTGGATTGTCTATAATTTATATAAACACATGATTATCATCCTGTACAACAACCTCTCAAACTCTCAAGTAAACACACACACTACAACATAAGGCTGGAGCTTCTACACACAGTATAACAAGGCTGGAGTGTTCTATACACAGTATAATACACAGTATAACACAAACTGGAGTGTTACCCTGATCAGGTGTCCCTAACAGACAGGTCAAGACGGTTAGTTCCCTGTTGAGTGTTGCTAACCTGTGCCCACAGCGCTGCAGCAGCTTGTTGTAGACACTATCCGCCAGCCCCTCCAGTACCTCCTGACGCTCCTCACAGGACAGAAGCTGAGCCTTTATGTCCAGCTCCACATTGTGCTCTCTCAAGGCCTCATACAACTCCCTCATAGCCACCAAATGCTGCTGGGCTCCAGCCAGAGAATTCTTTTCACAAAAGTACAGCTAGAGAGAACCACAGTAAAAGTGTAAGTCACGTTTCCACGCTCCTCGTCCAGGACATCAACTCGTCTCGTCCACACTGTCTGTACCTGCGCCAGTGAGTATTAGCAAGAGATTCAACACAGTTATAACAGCCCCAAGGTTATTGTTTCATGTCAGGTATCATAGAATCATTGGCACATCTTGTCTGTACCAGCTTTTTGAAAAAAGCTTCCAATTCAACCCCACTCCCCCGCTCACTCCCGATAGCCCTGATCAACCCCACTCCCCTGCTCTCTCCCCATAGCCCTGATCAACCCCACTCCCCTGCTCTCTCCCCATAGCCCTGATCAACCCCACTCCCCCACTCTCTCCCCATAGCCCTGATCAACCCCACTCCCCCGTTCTCTCCCCATAGCCCTGATCAACCCCACTCCCCCGCTCTTTCCCCATAGCTCTGATCAACCCCACTCCCCCGCTCACTCCCCATAGCCCTGATCAACCCCACTCCCCCACTCTCTCCCCATAGCCCTGATCAACCCCACTCCCCCGCTCTCTCCCCATAGCCCTGATCAACCCCACTCCCCCGCGCTCTCCCCATAGCGCTGATCAACCCCACTCCCTCGCACTCTCCCCATAGCCCTGCAAACTTGTCCTCCCCAAATAATGATCTGTTTCTCTCTTAAAAGTTGTTATTGAATCGGCTTCCACCGGCCTTTCAGGCAATGCATTCCAGATCCCAACAACTCGCTGTGTGAAAACATTTCTCCTCACATCCCCTCTGTTTCTTTTAACACCTGTTTTAACTCGGTGCCCTCGGGTTACCGACCCACCCGCCAGTGGGAATAGTGTCTCCTTGTTCACCCTATCGAATCCCCTCATCAATTTGAAAACTTCTATTAAGTCTCCTCTTAACCTTCTCTGCTCCAAGGAGAATAATCCGAGCTTCTCGAGCCTCTCCTGATAACTGAAGTCCCTCATTCCTGGTACTATCCTGGTAAATCTCCTTTGCACACCATCTCTCTGTTACTTGTCACCCTGTTTAAGATTGTACCATTTTACAGACAGGAGATTATTGATGAAGTCAGGTAGTGTGTAGGTACCTGATGCTCCTCCAGCAGCTCCTCTGTACAGAGTGAGTAGAGTACGCTCTCCTTGCCCAGCTGGATCTCACATTCCTGGGCCGCCTTTTGGAAGTTGTCGTGTTCCACCTCAAACCGGAGCCGGTACAGCTGGGAGGTCACTGTGCAGCGAACAGTCTGAGAGAGAACAAACCCTGTGTTAGCCCTGTGTTTACTGTGCATTAACCCGGCGTTTACTGTACGCTTAACCTGGTGTTTACCGTGCACACCTTAACCCGGCATTTACTGCACTTGTTAACCCGGTGTTTACCGTGCGCATGAACCCTGTATTTACCGTGCCTTTTAACCCTGTATTTACTCTGTGTTAAACCGGTATTTACTCTACATTAACCCTGCATTTATTGTGTGTTAACCCTATATTTACTCTGTGTTAACCCTGTATTTACTCTGTATTAGCCCTGTATTCACTGTGTTTAACCTTGTATTTACTCTGCGTTAATGGATGAACACAATGATCTCCTGTGACTGTCCTGCTCACCTCCCATTTGCTGCATATCACCTCTCTCATCTCCTCCACCGACGGCCTCCTGTCCACAGGTATGATACCTTTGATTTTGTCTGTGGCTTCGAGAAAGCTTTGTAGGATCCAAGGATTGAAACTGCTGAATACTTCCTGTAATGCAGGTCACAGCTCAGCAAAGCCATCAGCAACGCTTACCAAATCCAATCTTCAAACACCCACACCTCAGCCCCAGTGTAAAGAGCGACGGGTCGTGAGCAAAGGCTCTTCAAACTTTGAGTTGAAACCTGAGAGGGGACTTACCCAGGTACAGTATATAAAAGGTCAATCTCATTGAGAAAATAAACCCAGAAAAACCCTTTCAGATTTGCCAAGACAACAGGACAAGACGGCAGAGAACAATTCCAGGACAGACAGCTGGAAGAACTTCTTAAAACAGATAGAATCAACAGCTGGAAGTGTATCTGAGGTCAGGTCATTTAATAAACAGCTTGAAGCAGCATGGGGAGCCAGCAGGGTGCGGAGGTCCATTTGGAGATGGAATGAATTAACTAATTAATCACTTCCTCAATAATTTACATGATCAGCCCAGCGGCCCTCAGTGGTATAATATTGCACATAATATTTTAATTAATTTCACTGGTCCAAAAGGCTGAGATTATCCACATCCTTGACCTATCCCCTTCTCCCCCTCCACAGGCCCCACAACAAACATAAGTATCAGAGAGTGCAAATTGCTTTCCAATGAAACAATATTTTTGAACTCCAGCCAGTTTATTTTCAGTCCAAATCCAGGAATCACGGTCAAATCAGATTTTACCATTAAGCTTTAAATTCAATTCTCCATTTTAGAGAGGAAATTAAAAGCAGGTGATGAGCGAGTTCAGGCCCTTGTCTCTGAGAGCAAAGAGCTGACAAGCAGGGCTGCATCTGGGGGCTTGGAGAAGGATGAGAAGGTCACTCAAACATTATATTGATAATAATAACAATAATAATCCGTGCATTGATACAACGCCTTATCACGTCTTCGAGACGTCTCAAAGCGCTTCACAGAATATACTGTAAAGTGAATTGACTGTATATTTTGTGGGCGAAACGCAGCAGCCAATTGTACACAGCAGCGTCCCACAAACAGCCATGGACTGAGTGACCAAATTACCATTATTTTTTTTTAAATTTGAAGGGATTATTACCCCTGGAAAGTGATCCGCCAATCAACTAACAAGCAGGTTCCTACTTACTGCTGGTAAACAGAGCTGTGTGGAGTAAGGAAATTTGCCTAACGTTTCCCGGGAAGCAAGCCAAGGTCCTCTCGCCTGTGAGAGGCAAGTGCTCTAACCACTGAGCTACAGGACTCCACATTTGAGTGACTCACACAACCCGGGTGCAGATCAAGGAGAGGAAGAAGGACAGTGGGCTTTGGCAGGGAAATTACAACAAATTACAGAAAGTTTACAATGACAGAGACAAGGCTGAGCGCCTGCCCGCTGCGCTCGGGCCGGGTACCTGGTGCTTGGCCAGCAGGGTTCTCGGCAGCCCTTTGTCCTGGAGGAAGTACACAGCCCCTTGAATGCTCGCTTCCACACGCTGACGGCAGGCCTCGAAGTTGCTTCTTACATCGGCTTCCGAAGTTCGCTCCAGCTCTGCTGAGCATGGCCCGGAGTCCGGAATATCCTAGACACAAGGGCAAGACAGGGGACTCTCAACAATCTACAGCAACAGGCAGAACATCCTTAGGGGGAGGGAGGGAGGGGACCGGCAGGCGGGAGTGTGTAGCACACTGAGCGGGATTTATTGATGCATTTACCATCACTCTCTGCACTGGATCCTGCTGCACGACGGGTGAGGCAGATATGGTGAGCGGCCGGGTCAGTGACCCTTCACCTTGACCAACAAGTAGCCCCATTGAACCCGTCTCCTCCGCTACATCAGAACACGACACCTGCACAGCAGAGGGTAGACTGGAGTGAAATTCATTGTCAGAGTGAGAGCAAGAAAGAGAAGATAATAATTATAATCTCTCTGTATGATACAGTGCCTTATCATGCGGCCGAGATGCAACAAAGCAGTTCACAGGATGTACAGCTGTGTGTTTTGTGGGTGAAAAGAGTATGAGGAGGGAAAGGATGGTGAATGATAATAATAATGCTTGCATTTGATACTGCGCCTAATTAGGTTTTTGCAACGTCCCAAAGCACTTCACAGATTACACTGTAAATTTGTGGGCAAATTGACAGAAAGGGAGAGGATAAACAGAAAGGCAGGGGAGGAGAAAGCCTCAATGGTTTTGAGAAGAAATGAACACAAAGTAAACGTACACATTTCCACTTCACCATCAGCTCAGCCCACGTGGTGTTCAGTTCTCCCAGCTCCGCCGAGATCTCACAGGCCCGCGTCTCATCGCTCACTTCCATCAGGAAGTTTCCAGCAGAGTTCAGCAACTGGTGCACAGGACGCCACCGAGGCAGATCTGGTACAGGAGTCTGCAAAATAATAATAATAATCCTTGCATTTGATATAGCGCCTTATCACGTCTTCGAGATGTCTCAAAGCGCTTCACAGACTATATTGTGAATATACAGTGCCTTATCATGCGGCCATAGTATATTACACTAAATATTGTAAAGTGAAGTGACTGTATATTTTGTGGGCGAAACGCGGCAGCCAATTGCGCACAGCAGTGCCCCACAAACAGTCGTGGATTGAGTGACTAAATGATATATATTTTTTAATTTTTCTTCTTTTTGGAAAGGATTATTACAATTTAAACACTTTTTTTTAATTTAGCACAACTGTGCTATACCATAGTGCGGCAAAGGTGTGCGACACAAAGAGACACAGACAGAGAAAAGAGAGAACTGCATGGAAATTAGAGGGTCCTGTTGCAAAAGCAATTCGAGGACACTTTTGTGAACTTCTTTCTGATCAGAAAGGAACTAATATAGTACCTCTGAAGGGATGGGCATCTTGTGTGCTTCAGAGAACCATCCCCACAGTGAGCGGCCAGCCTCCCGGTACAGCCCCCAGGTGGTAATCACGCGCTCCAAAACCTCCTTCACATCCCACAGGAACTTGCTGCGCTCACTCCATTCCGATTCAGCCTCCCTCAAGCAATTGGTAACATGCTCGTGGTCACCGGCTGTCGCACCACAGCGCAGAATGGAGAGAAGAACTTGCAGTTTTACAGTTTGTCACATCAATAAGTCTCACACTTCAGAGTAATAAGTGGCAAATGTAGGCACTGATTTTATAGGCAAACGCAGCAGCCAATTTGCTCACCGCAAAGTCCTACAAATGTCCACAAAGTGAGTGACCAATTTCTCCAGACATAAACTGGCCAGGATGTCAAGTTACAAGTTACCCCAATGAGACACAGACAGGATCTCAGGTTAATGTCTCTTCTGAAGGATGGCACCTCCGCATGCTCTCCCTCCCCCACCTCCCCTTGGACCTGAAGCATCTGACTGCCCCACAGATCAGAGAGCTACTGAATGAGCCAGAGTGACTCCTGAAAGGCACTCAGTCAAAAGTGCCATGGGAACACTGGCTGGGCAGCAGAGAGTTAATGAACCACATGCTGCTCTGCATCCTACAGAGAAGGTCCTAAACATCCTTGTCAACCTGGGAAACAGGGCCACCCGCACACCCGTCCATGGTTTGAATCACCAGTCAATGGCTTGGTTCACGTGCAATACTCTGTGTGTGTGTGTCTGTGTGTGTGTGCGGGGAGGGGGAGCGGGAGTGTGTGTGTCTGGGGGGGTCTGTGGTGCTGATTGAGTGCAGTGGATTCTCACACACGTGACCAGATGGAGGCCTGTGGCAGCCTCCCTCACGCCCTGCGTACCCAGTGCTGCTCGGCTCACACACTCGCCGACAGCCTTCCGCAGTCTGTCAAGTGCTGCCTCCACCCGCGCTGGAAACCGCTCGCCCTCCACAAAGCCCTGCAACACAACAAGAACTTCAGGGAGCGAGCAGTGAGGCGGCGGACACCACCACAACTCACCCACACAGCACTCCACTGTCCAACAACTGCCTTTGTGATGAGTTTAACACTCCCCACACCGGCTCCCCTCCCCACACCGGCTCCCCTCCCCACACCGGCTCCCCTCCCCACACCGGCTCCCCTCCCCACACCGGCTCCCCTCCCCACACCGGCTCCCCTCCCCACACCGGCTCCCCACACCAAGACGGCCTCACTAGTATCTAGTAAAATCCAGGAATGTCTCTCCAACACACTCTGACCCGGAGGCCAGATCACAACTGACTGAATCACGCTGAAGCCTGTGTGGCGACAACCCTGAGCTGGGGGTGACTCACTTTCCAGTCCAGCAACAGGTGCTCCACCTTGTCCTGGTCTGTATACGGCCCACGCCAGGAGTCCAGCCTCACCGTGGACGAGGAAAGCAGGGCCAGGACAGAGTACCGGCTGGCACGGAACTCCAGCCTGACCCCATGGTGCTTGGCAGTTACTCGCACACCCATAAACCTGTTATAAATTGTAATATTACACACAGCTCATTACAGCACAAGGCAGCAGAGAGAAAGCGAGCGATAGACAGACACAGACAGACACACAGAGAGGGGGGGGGGCAGGATGGAGATGCACTGCATTGTGCTGTGATAATCATCATTATAATAATAATCCTTACATTTGGTTTAGCGCCTTATCACATCAGAAGGATGTCACAAAGCGCATTACAGGATTTACTGTGTATTTGTAGGCAAACGCATCAGCATAATTGCGCAAAGCAATGTCCCACAAACAGCCATTGGAGCGAGTGACCATTTTTATTTGGGGGATTGTTGGCCAGGTCAACGGGCGAGAAACTCCCTTCTCTTTTCGTCGCGGCCTGGGATCTTCAGTGTCCACCACAGGGAGCTTGGTTTAACGTCTCATCCGAAAGACGGCGTCTCTGACAAAGCAACACACCCCCAGAGCGTCAGCCTAGACTGCGTGATGTCAGCCACATCCCCAGGTATCAAGCAGAATCTTACAGCAAAGACCCTCGGGCCTGCTCTCTGTCAGCCCTCCATTCAATCCCCTCCCCACTCCCCCCCGTTTCATATTCTTACTTTATTTTCAAATATTTGACTATTTCCTTTTCAAAATCTGACATGAATTCTGTTTCAACCTGTGATTGGGAGCTCGGAGGCAACAGGAGACAGACCATCATTTAGAGAAAGACAAGGAGTGTTGCAATGGAGAGAAATTCTGATTAACAGTAATAATAATCATCCTGACATTTAAAATAGCTCCTTATCATGTCTTTAGGATACACTGTAAAGTGAGTTGACTGTATGTTTTGTGGGCAAAACGTGGAGTAACAAAAGAAGCCACAGAAAGAAAGGCATTGGCAGAACAACCTCCTTAGCAGCTCCTCCATCTTCTGCTGTGGGACGGTCTGAGCCACACCTCCGGCTCCCGCCTGGGCCGCAAAGTCCTGCAGGATTCCCAGATGCACTTTGTTTTCTTCCATCAGGGCCTAGGAACACAAATTACCCCAGTGAGGAGCAACAACAAGTCTGCAGAGACGTCCTGATATATCCACTGACTGCCCTCACCCACCCCACTGACTGCCCTAACCCCCCCACTGACTGCCCTCACCCCTCCCCCACTGATTGCCTCACCCCCACATTGACTGCCTCACCCCCCACTGACTGCCTCACCCCCCAGCCCTATACCCATTGACAAACCTGGGACACATTATCTGACAACATTATACAAACCTTAAACATCTGGAGGTTTGTGTGTGCCCGGCTCGCTGCCTCTTCATAGTCCAGTTCTTCTGTGCTGTCTTCTGTCAGGTGGCTCTCTACTGTACAAACCCAGGCTCCCACACTGTCCAGTGGCGGGGGAAGGCTATAGTCCAGGGCCACCTCCCACTCCTTCATCTACACAGACACAACAGACAATTTATAGTGAACCCGAGCTCCTCTCCAAGACTCCGCACACCATACAGACCCACACACCAGGGCTTCACAAGCCATCAGATCAGGGCTTCACGGTCAGCACAACTGCTGCAACCTCCAGTCCATCAACCTCTGTCTTCCACAGTGCTCCACCATACTCTAGTCGCAGAAAGATGTGTTCTAGGTGATTGTCTCCCCATCACTCCTGATCCCACAGACAGGCAGCCCAAAGCAATGGCTTCTCTGGTTACCGTGGCTCGCAGCTTGGTCCAGGTCTGTTTCAGCCGCACTCGGTCCCCAGGAGGTGACGATGCCTTCTTCAGAGCAGAGAGGACAGCCATGATGGATTTCTTCCTGTCATTTATGGCAGCATCGTATCTCTGGAACATCTACAGTGAGGGAATACAATCAGCAAAGGACAAGAGGGGTAAACAGTAACAAACAGCAGGATTCACACAAGGTCACCCTCCACACTATTTCCATTGTAAGAGAATCTATCTTGTGCCCAACACTGTGCCAGCCACCCACCCAACCACCAATACCTTGTGCCCATCACTGTGCCACCCATCGACCCACCAATACCCCGCCACAGAATGCCTACACAATTATCAAGCTTTGGCCACACAGACGGGGGCAGCAGGTGAATACCAGATGTCCATCACAGAGCCATAGTGGGAGAGTCCTCACCTGGTATTTCTCCTCGTACCGTACACCCACTGCCTGAACTAAGGCTTCAGACAACTCCTTCTCATTCTGGCTCAGCCATTCTGTGATCTCCTCAGCCTTTCGGGTCAGATCCTCCTGGAAGGCGAGAGACAAAGTTACACAATGGATGGTCCCCCACACACTCACCCCCCCCCCAGACATTTCACACACACCCTCCCCCAGTCGAGGGGCACCTATGAAGGCCGGGGACCAGTTGCCAGACCTGCCCTCTCTGCTGGAGACAGTGGAGGAGAGAAGTACAACAACAACAAAAAACTTACATGTATGTAGCAGCCTTCACACCACGCAGGGTAGCGTCCTGGAGCGAATGAGTGAAAACAGAAATAAAAAGAGAAAGGCAGAAACATTTCATCCCAAGAAGAGCCACAAAGTGTTGAAGAGTGAGAGATCGTAGATTACCTGGTCTCTGTGGAAAGGGCGGAGTTTGTTTCTGAAGAGAGCAGAGGGTTGGGCCAAAGGAGCCAGCTCCTGTTACAATAGACAGGACACAGATCAAAGAGAGAGACTAAAAAATGGGATGCTTACATCAGTCGCTGGACACATGAGGGGAGGGAGAGAGAGAGAGACATAGTGGATGTAAGAGAGGGACAGAGAGAGACAGACAGAAAGAATGTAAGACCATGTAGCTTGCTGGGAGGGCCTAAGACTCCACCATCAGCCTTCCCTTTAACCTGTGCCCCATCACAGAGATGATGTCCATTGGCCCTCTAATGCCTTCTCTCTCTCTCTCACCACTCTCTCACCTGAATCTGGGCTCCTTCTCCTCAAGTGTTTATTCTCTTTTAAATATTATTAGGATCTTTGCTTCAACAGCCACTCATAGCAAACTATTGCATGCTCTAACCTCCCCCTTCGCTGTGACAATCCTCAGCTTGCACCCCCTTATTTCTAAGTTACCAAGCGGGGGGAATAACCTTACTCTAAGGATAGAGACGGGATGGCAGAAAAAGGATGAAACTGGGATGCAAGGTGTCTTCGAGCTGTACCATACTTAGGAAGGAAATTGACAGAATATCCTGAGGAGCTTGCAGAGGGGCTGAAAGGTTACTTGTCTATTATTTACTTTGGGGCCGGCTGGCAGGAAAGTGAAACTGTTTATGGCAATGTCCGTTCATGTTTGTGAAGAATTTCACTAACAAACCTTTCGAGTAAAAGAACGGGCCAGGTTGCAGGGAGACAATGGAAATAATACAATAGACCAACGCAGAGAGACCCCAGGCTGGGCTGGGCGAGAGCTTCTGACTGCAGCACTCTGTACCTCAGACTCCCACTCCCCCGTGGCTGGCTGCTTGGAGAACTGAAGAAACTGTGAGACGTAGGTTATAATCGACTTCTCATCGGGATTTACCACATCCACATCTAGGGAAAAAAACACCATCAACAGAACAATTCACTTCTCATTACATCCCAGCCTGGAACTCACTCCCAGGGCTGTTAATCTATATATAAACCCTCGAATCCCTGGATTAGATCCCAGTCTGGAACTGACTGCTGGTGTTTAGTACCTTGTGCCTCCAGGAGCCGGGCGATATTGAAATGCTGCTCTGCAATGCGGAATGCCTCCTCCAGGTTCTCCCTGTTTGTCCGGTTCCTTAGCTTCTCCATATCCACTAGGCCAGGCTGCAGGGCTCGGATAATGGCCAGGAAGGCAAGGCCACTCCTCCAGCTGGTATTAAAGTTGTGAATCTCAATCCCCACCTTCCTGTGAGCAACAAACAAATTGATTTACATTAGCACTCAACTTAATTATGTGCTGTTGCCCCAACTCCCACCCCGCTCCTGACCCGCGCTCCCCTCACAGCCAGACAGGAGGAGGAAAGGAATTCATTGGGGAAAGCACAGCCGGAAGGTCTTTCAATATCAAATAAAGTCAGCGTCTCACTTGGCCTTGTCCTGAGCCCAGAGTAAGAGTGCTTTGCGTGCGGACACCTTCCACTTGGTATGCAGGGACGGACTGTGTCTCCGAGGTGGGCTCCATGAGGATTCGGAATCTAAGCTGCACAGCGACTCCACTGAGGGTGGGCGGGAGAACTCCAGGCTGCCAGCCAGCTCCTCTAGCTGTAGGGAGAAATAGGACAGCGTTACTTACCCCGACACAACGGCTCACCCCACAGCAGGGCAAACAGTTTAAAAATCATAGAATCATAGAATTATACAGCACAGAAGGAGGCCATTCAGCTCATCGTGTCTGTGCCGCTCTTTGAAAGAGCTATCCAATTCAATCCCACTCCCCCGCTCTCTCCCCATAGCCTTGCAAATTTGTCCTCCCCAAATATCAATCCACTTTTCTCTTGAAAGTTGTTATTGAATCGGTTTCAACCACCCTTTCAGGCAATGCATTCCAGATCTGAACAACACTCGCTATGTGAAATAAATTCTCCTCATCTCCCCTCCGGTTCATTCGAAAACTATCTTAAATCTGAGTCCACTGGTCACTGACCCACCCGTCAGTGGAAATAGTTTCTCCTTGTTCACTCTATCAAATCCCCTCATAATTTTGAATATCTCTATTAAATCTCCCCTTAACCTTCTCTGCTCCAAGAAGAATAATCCGAGCTTCTCGAGCCTCTCCTGATAACTGAAGCCCCTCATTCCTGGTACCATTCTGGTCAATCTCCTTTGCACCCTCTCCAATGCCTTGACATCCTTCCTAAAGTGTGGGGCCCAGAACTGAGCACAGTCTGTAACTGAGGCCCTAACCAGTGTTATATATAAAGGCTCTTCATAACTTCCTGACTGTTGTATTCTATGCCCCTATTTATAAAGCCCAGTATCCCGTATGCTTTTTTAACAGCTTTATCTACCTGTCCGGCCACCTTCAAAGATTTCCTTATACAAATCCCCAGGTCCCTCTGTTCCTTCACCCCCTTTAAGACTGTACCATAAGCGTATATTGCTTCTCCTCATTCTTCCTCCCAAAATGCATTCTCATTTCTCTGCATTAAATTTCATCTGCCATATGTCTGCCCATTTCAACAGTCTGTCTAAGTCTTCCTGCAGTCTGTTACTATCCTCGCCGTTTACTACTTTTCCTAGCTGCAAGTTGGAAATTGTACTCTCTATACTGTAGCTCATTTATATAGAAAAAAGAGCAGTGGTCCTAACCCCTGGGAACACCACTGTATACTTGTATATCCTCCAGTCAGAAAAACATTCACCACTACTCACTGCTTTCTGTCTCCCAGTCAATTTTGTATCCATGCTACCACTGTCCTTTTAATACTTCTTTTTTGCTGATAGGGGAGTGGGATTATTTTGGGAAGCTCTTTCAAAGAGCCGGCACGGACACAATGGGCCGAATGGCTTCCTTCTGTGCTGTATAATTCTATGATTCTATGAACTCTATTATGCGGCACTTTATCAAATGCCTTTCGAAAATCCATACATACAACATCAACTGCACTACCTTCATCCGTTAATTCATCGAAAAACTCTATCATGTTTGTCAGACAATAATAATAATCCTTGCATTTGATATAGTGCCTCATCGGTCTTCGAGACATCTCAAAGTGCTTCACATGATATACTGTAAAGTGGAGTGACTGTGTATTTTGTGAGAGAAACCCTGCAGCCAATTGTGCACAGCAGCGTCCCACAAACAGTCGTGTATTGTGTGACCAATTTTTTTTAAAAAGGATTATTATCCCTGGAAAAGCGACCAATCAACTAACAACCAGGTTCCTACTTACTGCTAGGAAAACAGAGGGGTGTGGAGTAAGTAAACTCACCTAATGTTTCGCCCTTCCCGGGAATCAAACCCAGGTCCTCCCGTTTGCAAGGCGAGTGCTCTAACAACTGAGCAACAGGACTGCACAGGTTTAAAGTTTTGCAGACTGTACAGACTGAGGGAGAGTAAGAGACACGAACGAGACAATCAGCACCAGACAGGAGTGAAGCCCGGCGGGTAGTGTACCCAGGAGCCGGCATTGAGACTCAGGGGAAAGTACTCACATGGAAATGTAATATGATGGACCAGATCAGTCCCAGGATGATGGTAGGCCTCCCTTCAACAATATCAGGAACATTGATGTTCACCAGTTTGATCTGAAAGATAGTAACAACATGTAGAGAACAGGCCTGGTCAGCAACACCTGTTTTTTACACTATTGGTTTATTATTCCCAGACCAGTAACTGGGGCAGGGAGTCATCCCACTCAGCTTCTGTTAATACTGCAAGCCAAAGCCCTAATGGGAAGAGTGGTCCCAGCTGGACAAACAGCAAGAAAACTTGTCATACAGCGATATCAATGGCAAACTGTGTGGTTTTAGCTTGTTAGATTTCAGCATTTACACCAACACACACTATGGGGTCTCCAAGCCTTGGCTCTTGCTAACCTGCGCCTAACATTTTCCGGAATTAAGTAAGCAGGATGCATCCCTCCAGGGAGAGAGAGCACATTCCATTTCAACAATCTATCTCTGGGATTTCCATGCGTAGATGGGATGCATGGAAATCTCAGCTTGGTTTGGATACTCTTAATAATAATAATAATAATCCTTACATTTGATATAGCGCTTTTCACGTCGGGAGGACGTCCCAAAGCGCTTCACAGAATATACTGTAAAGTGAATTGACTGTATATTTGTGGGCGAACGCGGCAGCCAATTGCGCACAGCAATGTCCCACAAACAGTCGTGGATTGAAAATGACCAATTTATTATTGTTTTGTTTTGGAGGGATTATTATTAGGCTCTGTGTGGAGAAAGGAAACTTGCCCAAGGTTTCGCCCTCTGCCTGGAATTGAACTCAGGTCTCTCGCTTGCAAAGCGAGCGCTCTAACCACTGAGCTACAGGACTCCACAAGCACGGTGATGGGTTTCCGTGTGTGTCAGTCACCCAGCTGAGCAAAAAAAAAGTTTATTATTCCAACTCTCTAGCTCTCCCCCAAATTGCTTTGGCTTTTCCGGCTTAGGTACTTAACAAGTTCCTTTTTGAATCAATGTAGAGACAGAGCCTCAGCAGTTGAGGCAGACAGAGCTATAGCAGTGACAGGATACACCATCTCACAAACCAGCAACTCGGTCGGTCACTTCCTCTACTCACCGATTTTTTCCTTAAAAATTTCAAAGCTGTCTCGATGTTGCTCCTCCATTGAATGGGATTTCTCAGCCCTCTTTCCCGGGGCTGGAGGAAGACCAAGGAAAATGAATGTTACTCCCAGGGCAGGCCCAGACACAGGCACGCACAGCATGAGTGGCCATCACAATGCCCAGCTGCTCAGCCCCACGCCAGCCCATCCGCCTGCCCTCCAGCTCTGCCAGTCCAACCCCTCCCCACCCAACCCCACCCTCCAGCCCAAACCTTGCCCCCTCGCACCTGGGCCACGCCCATCCTGCCTGCCCTCACCCCTCCCATCCCAGCACCAACTCTCACAACCATTTCATCCACAGAGTCCTCTCTATTCCCTCCAGCTCAAGCCCACATACACATGAAATTTCACCCTCTTTCTGGGTTGTCTTGAAACGTGACCCTTTAAATTTAAGATTGTTCACAAACTATGTAAAATCCTTGAATTCATCTTCATTTGGAACCCAGATCCTAAAAAAACAGAGTGAGCTTGCAATGTGTGGCAGATGGAAAGGCACCCGGGCGTGGGGGGGGGGGGGGGGAGCTGGGAGTCAGTGCTTTTCGCCTGAGGAAAGTTGAGTAGATATAATACAGGACTGAACAATGGGGTCCTTCCTCACCAGCTGCTGACCGGAGAGCACCTCCAGCAGGTCCAGGAGTCGGTGTCCGTTCTGCAGGTCAGTGAAGAGATCATTTACAGTGGACGGAGTCTGGTGCTGTCAACATAAAGAGAGAGACATGAGCATATCCGTCAAAGTGCACATCATCGGCCCACGTAGAGGCTGCTATTCTTTTCCCAACTCCCCCAGACTTGCTCCCTCCCTCGTTTACAAGCTACACCTCAAAATATACCTCTTTGATGCGCTATTGATCACCTTCACCCTCCTCACTACCAGCTGTGGTGCCAGACCACAACTGTCAAGCGGGTGTGGAGGGGCTGTGTGTGTGGAGGAGCTGTGTGTGTGGAGGAGCTGTGCGTGAAAGGCTGCGCATGTGGAGGAGCTGCGCGTGCGGTGGGGCTGCGCGTGCGGAGGGTCTGCGCGTGCGGAGGGGCTGCGCGTGCGGAGGGTCTGCGCGTGCGGAGGGGCTGCGCTTGCGGAGGGGACTGTGTGTGTGGCAAGGGCTGCGCATGCTGATGAGCTGCATGTGCGGAGGGTCTGCGCGAGAGGAGGGGATGCGTGTGTGGAGGGGGCTGCGTGTCAGGAGGAACTGTGCATGTGGAGGGAGCTGTGCGTGTGGAGGGGGCTGTGCGTGTGGAGGGGCTGCGTGTGCGGAGGGGCTGCGTGTGCGGAGGGGCTGGGCGTGTGGTCCCAAGCTCAGCGCTTTGGGACGTCCTCCTGACGTGAAAGGCACTCTATAAATATAATTTGGTAGTTGTTGTGGAGTGGTTGTGCGTGTGCACGGAGGGGCTACACGCGTGTGTGGAGGGGCCGTGCGTTCGCGCGAGTGTCCGTCCATGTGCACGTGTGGCTGTGTTTGGGCGAGGGCTGTGTGTGAGGGGCTGTGTGTGAGGGGCGGTGTGTGATGGGCTGTGTGGAGTGTAAACGATACTCTCTCAAGGACACGCGGTCCCTCTCGGTACCTTAGCGAGCTGCGTGTTCATCCAGTTTGTAAAGGTTCGGTTCTGAACCTGATCATGTTCAGCTGTAACACAAGACACTCAGTGTGAGCACACACCCCCCAGCACCCTCACCCCCCCCACCCCCAGCACCCTCACCCCCAGCACCCTCACCCCCCCACCCCCTGCACCCTCACACCCCCCACCCCCAGCACCCTCACCCCCCCCACCCCCAGCACCCTCACCCCCCCACCCCCAGCACCCTCACACCCCCAGCACCCTCACCCCCCCCACCCCCAGCACCCTCACCCCCCCCACCCCCAGCACCCTCACCCCCCACCCCCAGCACCTCACTCCCCAGCACCCTCACCCCTCCACCCCCAGCACCCTCACCCCCAGCACCCTCCCCACCCCCAGCACCCTCACCCCCCCCACCCCCAGCACCCTCACCCCCAGCACCCTCACCCCCCACCCCCAGCACCCCCCACCCCCAGCACCCTCCCCACCCCCAGCACCCTCACCCCCCCCACCCCCAGCACCCTCACCCCCCACCCCCAGCACCCTCACCCCCCCCACCCCCCAACCCCCAGCACCCTCACCCCCCCCACCCCCCAGCACCCTCGCACACCCCATCCCCCATTACCCTCACGCACATCCCACCCCCAGCACCCTCGCGCACCCCCCACTCCCCAGCACCCTCGCGCACCCCCCACTCCCCAGCACCCTCACGCACACCCCACCCCCCCAGCACCCTGCGCACCCCCCAACCCCAAGAAACCCTCGTGCACCCCCCACCCCCCAGCACCCTCGTGCACCCCCCAACCCCCATTACCCTCACGTACATCCCGCCCCCCAGCACCCTCGCGCACACCCCACTACCCAGCATCCTCGCGCACTTCCCAGCACCCTCATGCGCACACCCCCAGCATCCTCACGCACCCCTCTAGCACCCTCACACACCCCCCCCAGCACCCTCGCGCACACCCCCCCAGCAGCCTCGCGAACACCCCCCAGCACCCTCGCACCCCCCAGCACCCTCGCGCACGCCCCAACCCCCAGCAACCTCGCGCACCCCCCACCCCCCAGCATCCTCGCGCATACCCCTCCAGCACCCTCGCACACACCCCCCCCAGCACCCTCGCACGCATACACCCCCAGCACCCTCTCGCACCCCCCAGCACCCTCGTGCACCCCACAGCACCCTCGCACACCCCCCAGCACTCTCGCGCTCCCCCCAGCACATTGGCGCACCCCCCAGCAGCTTGGTGCACCCCCCAGCACCCTCGTGCACCCCCCAGCACCCTCGTGTACCCCCCAGCACACACGCGCACGCCCCAGCATCCTCGCACACCCCTCACCCCCCTCGCTCACACCCTCAGCACCCTCGTGCACACCCACCCCTCAGAACCCTCAAGCAGCCCTTCAGCACCCTTGCTCACACCGCCAGGAACCTCGCACACACCCCACGCTCCAGCACCCTCGCTCACATCCTCAGCACCCTCATGTACACCCCATCCCCAAGCACCCTCAAGCACCACCCCAGCACCCTCGCTCACACCCAGCACTCTCGTGCACACCCCACCCCTCAGCACCCTCACCCAACCCCCCAGCACCCTGGCTCACACCCCCAGCACCCTGGCTCACACCCCCAGCACCCTCGCTCACACCCCCAGCACCCTCGCTCACACCCCCAGCACCCTCGCTCACACCCCCAGCACCCTCGCTCACACCCCCAGCACCCTCGCTCACACCCCCAGCACCCTCGCTCACACCCCCAGCACCCTCGCACAATATGCATGCAGCAAAAATGCCTTTTTGCCTTTCACCGCACTGATTGAAACCTACCCCGGTGAAACTGCACGAAGCTGGTCACCAGGTGAACATATTTAAGAATGTGAAGACTCAGTATCTCGACCATCCTCGCGCTACCCCACCGAAATACTCGCAGATTTAATTCAACTTAATTAACAAAACCCAGCCTGAGACAGGAGCAGGAAGGACAGAGCTGGGGCCGAGGCTCATGCTCCCCCTGCCCCAAGTTCGCTCGCTCACTCGCTCTCTCTCACTCATTCCCTCACTAACTCCCTCCCTCGCTCGCTCGCTCCCACCCTCGCTCCCTCCCGCCCTCGCTTGCTCTTTCCCTCCCTCGCTCGCTCCCTCCCTCGCTCCCACCCTCCCTCCCTCGCTCGCTCCCTCGCTCCCACCCTTCCTCCCTCCCACCCTCCCTCCCTCGCTCTGTCGCTCCCTCCCTCACTCGCTCACTCCCTCGCTCACTCTCTCTCTCCCTCACTCATTCTCCCTCCCTCGCTTGCTCGCTCACTCCCACCCTCGCTCCCTCCCACCCTCCCTCCCTCGCTCGCTCTCTCCCTCCCTTGCTCTCTCCCTCCCTTGCTCTCTCCCTCCCTCGCTTGCTCCCTCCTTCGCTCGCTCCCTCCCTCGCTCCCACCCTCCCTCCCTCGCTCCCACCCTCCCTCGCTCGATCCCACCTTTCCTCCCTTCCACCCTCCCTCCCTCCCTCGCTCCCTCACTCGCTCCCTCACTCGCTCTCTCCCTCCCTTGCTCTCTCCCTCCCTTGCTCTCTCCCTCCCGCCCTCGCTCGCTCTCTCCCTCCCTCGCTCACTTGCTCATTCCCTCCCTCATTCCCTCGCTCGCTGACTCCCTGGCTTGCTCACTCAGGTTCCATGGTTTTGTGCCACTTCAAACTCTGAAGGGGATGACTTTGAAAGGCAGAGCTCCCTGTGATTGACACTGTTAGCTGGAGTTGAGTCCAAGCAGGTCAGCTCCTGTGCCATTGTCAGATGTTTCGCACTCTGTCCCAAAATACCCTTCATCTTTTCATGTCACAACACACAACACCTCTCGGCAAATCTCCTCCTTCTCCTCCCCTATACTGGGGTCGATTCCATCTGTTCCCTGCCCGAGAGACCATTCTGAATGTGTGAGCGGTGACTGTGAGCGCTGGCAGGGGATAGACCCCAGGGGCACCTCACCCTGATACTACCCCACACAACACACAATCTGTCCAGCGAAGGCTACTGCATACTGAGGTCAGCCACTCAGCACAGAGCGAGGCTGAGATTAGTAACACACAGAGCGAGGCTGAGATTAGTAACACACAGAGTGAGGCTGAGATTAGTAACACACAGAGTGAGGCTGAGATTAGTAACACACAGAGTGAGGCTGAGATTAGTAACACACAGAGTGAGGCTGAGATTAGTAACACACAGAGTGAGGCTGAGATTAGTAACACACAGAACGAGGCTGAGATTAGTAACACACAGAGCGAGGCTGAGATTAGTAACACACAGAGTGAGGCTGAGATTAGTAACACACAGAGTGAGGCTGAGATTAGTAACACACAGAACGAGGCTGAGATTAGTAACACACAGAGCGAGGCTGAGATTAGTAACACACAGAGTGAGGCTGAGATTAGTAACACACAGAGCGAGGCTGAGATTAGTAACACACAGAACGAGGCTGAGATTAGTAACACACAGAGCGAGGCTGAGATTAGTAACACACAGAGTGAGGCTGAGATTAGTAACACACAGAGCGAGGCTGAGATTAGTAACACACAGAGTGAGGCTGAGATTAGTAACACACAGAACGAGGCTGAGATTAGTAACACACAGAACGAGGCTGAGATTAGTAACACACAGAACGAGGCTGAGATTAGTAACACACACAGTGAGGCTGAGATTAGTAACACACAGAACGAGGCTGAGATTAGTAACACACACAGAACGAGGCTGAGATTAGTAACACACAGAGTGAGGCTGAGATCAGTAACTCACAGAGTGGTTCAGTGCTTCACCGGGTAGTGTCGGCATTAGTATCAATGATGGAGATACAGTACAACACATTCTGTGCTGAGTTACTGATCTCATCCTTCCCAAATTCTCACCCTAAGACTATAGCATTGAACTGTTTCTTAATAAATCCTGCGTTAACCACTCTCATTGGTAATGTTTCCCATTGTTAATGACCCTCTGGGCTGAGCCCTGACTTGGATAGAAACCGAGGTTGCTGCGCCCACATTATTAATCTCTTGCTCCTCACCCATCATCCCCACAGACCAACCAAGATATGCACAGTATCAGTGCTCGGCTGTGACCGTACCCCAAGAGAGAGAGAGAGAGAGAGACAAAGGGACAGAGAAGTGCAGGAGGCAGACATAACTGATGTTTTATGTGCACAGCGAAACCACAACTTATACAGCGTTGTTCACACAAGATAATATCTCCAAGCTCTTCACAGAGAGGGGACACAAAGGGCATATTATAACCCCCTTCCCTCCCCCCCCAGTGATTTTATATCCCGCCACCTCCTCTGTGTTGAACAGAAGTGAAGAGTAATTAGGTTGGCCGTTGGTGGAATAGAATCTAGTCTGGAGCGCCTGTACTCTATGCAGTGTCGCTCACAGCACATCCACCAGCCAACAAACACAGGCATCCAGAAATGGGTCACAGGACAAAGGAGCCTTGTTTCCAGCACTAGCTCAGTCACACATTGCAGCACCACATAAAACCCCCGAACTGTCACCTACGCTCCCCAGTGTGGGGGGAGCATTATTCTTTCTCTAATCCATACTATTTCTGACCTGTGAACGTGGACAGATAATGTAGAACTTTACTCCCTCTCTAACTCATGCTGTCAATGATTTCAGAATATGGATGGCAGGTGTAAAGGGACTGTGGATGGGCAATGTAAACGGAGCCTTATTCTGACTCTAACCAGTGATGTTGCTGACTTGGGAGTGTGGACAGACAGCGTGGAGGGTGCTTTTCTCTGTATCTAACCCGTGCTTTCTTTGACCTAGGAGTCTGGTTGGGCAGTATAAAGGAAGCTGTACCGTGTCCGTAACCCATGCTGAGAGTGCAGACGGACAGCGTAGAGGGAGCTGTATTCTGTATGTAAGATATACTGATTAAGATTACTGCAGTTGCTTATTTTGGACAGTAATTACAACAACAAATTACATTTGTATAGCGCCTTTCACATCAGGGGGATGTCCCAAGTTGCTGGACAGTCAGGGATCCACACCTGAGCTAGTGGTTGGGATCAGGAAGGGTGGAGATCGGGGAGGATAGGGGGCTGACCAAAGGCATGGTTGAAGAGGAGAGTCTTGAGGGAGGTAAGGGAGAGGGCGAGGCGGAGGGACTGTGGGATGGAGTTCCAGAGGGTGGGGACAGAGAGACTGAAGGCTCGCCCGCTAGCAAGGTGGGTACATGAAGCAGGCCGGAGCCCGCTGAGCGGAGGGAACAAACAGGTTGGTAGGGGGTTAGGAGGTCAGAGCGATAGGGAGGAGCAAGGCCATGGAGGGCTTTGAAGGCAAGGACAAGGATCTCGAACTGTATCTCTGAGTGATGGAGTTCCAGTAATCAGAGTTAATGCAGTACTTTATACAGTATTTCATTCAGCTGTTCAGAGTCTAAACCAAGTACTGTATAAAGTAACAGATATGTCCTCTGGTGGGGGTTGGGGACACTGTCACTTGACGGCCGCGTGTTGTCCGTGTGCTGTGTGCTAGAGTATCTCCGCAGTGGGATTACAATTCCTGCCATGCATGGCCTTTACGTTGCACTGTGAACAATGTCAGGTATGCAGTCCCTACAGTGACCTTCACAGGCCCACACAGATGATGGAGATGGAGACACCTGCACAGAGCAATCGGTTTCCATTACAAACTGCCTGAGCGAGGCTGCAGGAAAGGCAGACAGTGGCGGCAGGGGGGCACTCTGCTGAGAATGAGGCTGGTTAGAGGATGTGCAATAAACCAGGTACCAGCGATTGTGCAGGATGGTAACAGTGTACAGGCAACTACATCCCTGTGTGCCAATTTGATGCCAGACACTTCAATAGGGAAGGGAGAGAGGAGGAGGGGAGAGGGAACAGCGGGAGGGGAGAGGGAGCAGGGGGAAGAGTGTAGAGGGGCGTCCTCTTGGGACGTCCTTCCGACGTGAAAGGCACTCTATAAATGTCATTTTTATGTTGTTGTAGAGGAAACAGGGGAGTGGAGAAATTGGGAGGAGGGAGAGCAGGGGGAGGAGGGGAGGGAGGGGAGCAGGGGGAGGAGGGGAGCAGGGGGAGGGAGGGGAGCAGGGGGAGGGAGGGGGAAGAGGGAGAGGGAGCAGGGTTGGGATAGGGGAGAGGGAGCAGGGGGTCAGGAATAGGCGGGAGGAGGGAGCAGGGGGAAGAGTGGGGGAGGGGGAGAAGTGGGGGAGGGGAGCAGGGGAGAGGGAGCAGGGGGAGGAGGGGAGCAGGGGGAGGAGGGAAGAGGGGGAGCGAGCACCAGCACAGACACAATGGGGAGAGAGCAGGGAATGGGGTTAGAGTAGAGAGCTCCAGAGGGGAGTCATGGGCCAAATGCCCCCTTGTGTGACTCTATGACTGTAATCTGGCGAGAAGTTCAGACCAGGTCCTTGCTGGGAGAGCATATTCACTGGGAGCTGGGCTGAGACCACCCCACAGGTCACTGACTGTAGGTAGTGAGGGCCATGTTTGAGCCCTGACCCCGGTGAGGGTAGGCTGGCACCTCGCCTTTCTGTACTGCCCCTTTAAGTGCACAGATGCAAATGATATTTCTTCCTGGATTTGGGTATAGTCTAATAAACAAACTATGGTAAGTAATGATGTGCTGCCTGACCAACTCACAAACAGTGGCCTGACCAAGGAGGAGGCTCAGTACTACATCACACTGCTGCGAGCAGCATTCTCTCCCCTGGCACTGTCCTGCATTGGTCACTATATTATAGAATGGTCACCCCACTTTAGAAATGATGTCAAGAGCAGAGAGGGAATGAGAGGAGATTTACTAGGATGACACCGGCAATGAGCAGTTTGGACTGTGAGCAGAGACTAGAGGAACTGAGGCTTCGTCCATTGGAACAAAGAAGGTTGAGGGGTGACTTGATAGAAATCTTTAAAATCATGAGGGGTTTTGATAAGAGTCAATAGGGAGAAATTATTCCCATTTGTCAGTGAGTCAGTGACGAGAGGGCATCAATTAAGTTAATCAACAAAACAACAAATGTCCTGCTGGAGTGGTTGAGGCAGAATCCATACTAACATTCAAAAGGGAACTACATAAATAACTAAAGAGATGTAAACTACAGGGGTAACAATAACAGAGCGAGCTGGGAAAACGCAGCAGGTCAGGCAGCATCTCTGGACAAAGGAAAGTGAGTCAACATTTCGGGTCCACGACCCTTCGTCAGAACAGTCGTGGTCGTGGACCCGAAATATTGACTCACTTTTCTTTCTCCATAGACGCTGCCTGACCTGCTGAGTTTTCCCAGTTCGCTCCGGTTTTGTTTCAGATTTCCAGCATCTGCAGTATTTTGTGTTTTGTTAAACTACAGGGCTGTGTGAAGGGCAGGTGAATAGGATGGAACGATTGCTCTTAAAAGAGCAGCACAGACACGTTAGCTGAATGGTCTTCCCCTGGCTGTAAATCTCCCTAGTTCTATGATTAGACTGTGTGGGCACTGTCTCCTGTTCTTGCACACGCCTAATAATAATCCCTCCAAAACCAAAAACTATAATAAAAATTAGTCATTTTCAATCTACGACTGTTTGTGGGACATTGCTGTGCGCAATTGGCTGCCGCGTTCGCCCACAAATATACAGTCAATTCACTTTACAGTGTGTTCTGTGAAGCGCTTTGGGACGTCCTCCCGACGTGAAAAGCGCTATATCAAATGCAAAGATTATTATTATTATGCTTCCCTCTCACATTGCACCCAGTACTGCTCACTGATACACCAACACGCAGCTCAACACATAGTTCACAGGCACTGCACTTATCCAGCAGAGCAAGCGGGGAGTGTGTGTGTGATGTATCCGTATGTATGTGTGTGTGTGTGTGTGCGGGGGGCTGGGTTGGGGCTGCCCATGTATATATAAACACTGCTCTGTTGGTTGATAGGGAGGTTCCTACCTTGCAGCATCAGCTTCACATGGTCTATGTTCATCCCTGTGCCCTCGTCCCCCTCCGGGACCGAACTCTCCATAGATGCCATTATTCCGGGGCTGAAATGTCAGTCAGCAAAGCAGAGCCGGGAACTCACATCCAGCTGCACAGTTTATCCCTGTCACGGCACAAAGACCACATTTACACCAGAACGCGAGTCTGTTGCACCTCTTACCCACAGCCTCATAACCAAAAGTGAAACTCTGCAGCAAACAATCACAGGATTCAGTAACGAGCACCAACAAGACCGGGTCCACCCCACAGTACAGCACACCCGAGGAACTCACTCTCCCCTTCAACGCAATTACTTGGCTCACACCCAGAAGTACAGCGAGACAGAGAGAAAGAGAGAGACCAACCCAAAGGTGTAATTGGGGAGTGTGTTATGCTGTGACTGATTTATGACAAAAGGGCTTTGACAGAATTCCTTTGTTCAAATCTTTATTCATGTACAGTGGGTAATGTTCTGCTTCGCCTTTCAGACACAGACTCCTTCCAGCTCTTAACTAACCTCAGCAGCACACAGTTCGGTGGGGGGATGTTGGGGAGAGTGAGGAGATTGAAGTCCAAGTCATTAAAAGTACAGCACTCTATAGAAAACTGGAATTGAGTGTGGATTTCAGAGCTCAGTCTCTCCTCTCTGGCACTATTAGGCTCAATCTCTCCTTCTGACAGCGCTGTGTCACTGTCGGTACTTATACTGACAGCTGCTGTGCTGAGAAGGGACAGAGTGAGTGTAGTGCAGTTGTCACCCTACACCTCCTGAGCTACGACCGAGGGCAGCCTCGGAGTGTGCTGGCTGACTGGAGAAGAGAGGAAGAGTGGAACACAATAACCCTGTACATAAGGGGCACCTCACAGGACCAGACAACACAACTGCTCCCACATGTTCTGCATGTTATTACAGATCAGAGAAGGGCTGTGCTGGCAAGATCAGGCAATGTATGAGCATCTGTCAAAGAGAAATGTGTATAAACAGCTTTTATACAGCGAGGCAAGTAAAACCAGCCAAGCCTGTCCCAGGCATCTATGATCTGACAGCCTATTGACTCAAACAAGCAGAGCATTGATAGCCAGTATGGACCATTGAGCACATCGCTCCTGTGCTGTTTACTCACCCACTAGAGCTCTCGAAATATAATAATAATCATCAAATAGATTGTACATGTAGTGTTATTGATGTGGCTATTATCCAAAGTGATTACACTGTAAAAAATAAGGAACTAGAGAAAATCAGGATGCATATCATCTACAAATTGAATGTGGATGTATACGGCAATGTAAAACACATATAGATCCTACAATCATAGGTGCAACTGGGACTGTTAACAACAACAACAAGATTACATTTGTATAGCGCCTTTCACGTCGGGAGGACGTTCCAAGGCGCTGGACAGAGTACAGCATTTCAGACCCGAGCTGGGGTTGGGAGGGTAAGGGAGATAATAAGACTTTTATAAGAAGAAAATAAGAAGTTAATAAGGCTATTCAGAAGTAGCTCGACAATATACCTGGTGAACAAAGTATTAGCCTCCTGCAAAAGGTAGCTGTTTTAGGAAACTCAAATATACTGAAAGTAACATCCGTTCACATGTAACATAAATTAAAAAAAATAATCCTTGCATTTGATATACCGCTTTATCACGTCGAGGCGTCTCAAAGCGTTTCAGAGAATATACCGTAAAGTGAATTGGCTGTATTTTGTGAGAGAAACGCAGCAGCCAATTGCACACAGCAATGTCCTACAAACAGCCATCGAGTGAGTGACCAATTTTATTTGGGGGATTGTCGGCCCGGGCACCGGGAGAGAGAAACTCCCTTCTCTTTTCGAACAGTACCATGGGATCTTTACCGTCCACCTAAACAGGCAGACGGGACCTCGGTTTAACGACTCATCCCAAGTATGGTGCCTCCGACAATGCAACAGCTCCCCAGCGCTGCATTGGAACGTCAGCTTAGACTATGTGATTTAAAGCCCCGATGTAGGCTTGAACCAACCATATGACTCGGAGACGAAAGCGCTACCACTGAGCTTGACTCTACTCTAATCCCATTGCCTGCTCTCTCCCCATTGTCACTTGCAGTAGTGTTCAGTGTTCTGACAGTCTGCGTGCAAACATTTCTGGATTTACTAGCCATTCATTCCTGCATTGTGAATGACCGGCATATGGTAATAAGGGAGGAGAGCCTGAAAAAGACCCTGAGGTCCGTATAGGTTGTCTCCCAGTCTCGTCCCTGGCTGTGGGGTCGAGGGGTGGGGAGGGAAAGCTCCAAGACTTTTAACGGAGGTCGGTCTGTGCCTGTTCAGGTGGATGTTAAAGCACTATTCACAAAGCGGAGTTTCTCCTAGTATTCTGGCCAACAAACCTCACCTATCTTCAACATGCTGCGCCTCTCACTCTCCTAAAATACCTGTGTTAGATCAGCACACTGAGACATCCCAAACCCTTCATACAAATCAGTTACCTTGAGCTATAGTTACTGGCAGAAAAACATATCAGGTAAGGAGCCAGGATTCCGTGCCCACAGGAGCGTGAAGGGAACAGTAATAATGGACCTCAAACTTTCAAATTTACTCTCCTCTTCAGTGAGTGAGGAGTGAAGGAGAAAGAAAGCACAGACATCAAAAACCAGCAAGATGTAACCCACTAAGGTCCACCTCAAGAGAAGAGTAGCCATGCAGTAGAGGTTCCTGAGGGAGGGAAAGAAGCTGGAGAGTTGGCATGAGAAAGCTCTTACCTCCAGATTTTTCAGGAAAGCCTCCAGAGCTGTGCTCACCCTGTCCCACTTGCTTCTTTTCCAGACTTTGTTCCCCTTACTTGCTGATCCTTGCAGTTAATTAGGCAATTATGGTATTTCTCTTTCACTCCGGATGTACTTTCACTTTTCTGCTCGGCAGTGACTCACCAACCCTCAACCAGTCGAAGCTGAGAGGGAGAAGAAAAGTAAGCAGAGAATTCACTGTCAAGCTGTTCCTCTGCAGAGGAATCTCACCGTCCCAAGGACTGACTTCACTACAAAGTTCCTCAGCGACAGACAACACGATCAGAGGGAGCAGGGACAGCACACTGAAAGTCACCTTGTTGTGAGCTCAGTCTACAGCCTGCCATCCGTGCTACTGAGCCTTGAGAAATCCTTCGTTCAGCTGGCACAGTGAGAATCTGTCACCCTGAATCTGTGACGCTGGCCAGAAACAACATGTAACAATATAATCGAGGGCTTTGAGACATACTCCCAACGTGCAACCCACTTTTATCAAATGAATGGATTATTATTACTTTCAGAATGAGTAATAATAATAAATAATCCTTTCATTTGATATGGGCACTTTTCCCCCAAAGGGAGTAAAATCCCTCCCTTTCTCCTGTTTACACTGAAGGAATTCCCCGCAGAGTCGGAAACATCTCTGGAATCCAATTCCTTCCTCCAAAACTCTGACAGGAAGTGCAGAATTTTATATGTAATCTGTGCATTTTATCAGCCCCTGTAACAAATCTGTCAGTGCTTCCAAAGGGAACTGCTGGGTTTGTGATGAATACTTTATTTTGTGATGTCCAACATGCATCTGAAGCCACAGCAGCCATGTTCACCTCCCTGTGACCATGACATACAGGAATCATACATTGGCTCTCCTGTATCCCTGATAGCGAGAGAACTTCCTCACACATCTGGATACCTCAACTCCCACAGTATCTCCTCCACTTCCCATTGCGAAGAGATACTCAATACAACTTAATGAATTAGAGAATAACATACACAAGCAACTTCTTTTAATCCAGGCGTTCAACAACAAATCACATGCGTAAAGCACCTTTCACATCAGGAGGATGTCCCAAGGCGCTAGACAGACAGAGTTATGGGCCCGAGCTGGGGATCGGGGTCAGGGAGGATGGAGGGCAGGGGGGGAAGCAGGGAGATCGAACGGTTGAAGAGGAGGATCTTGAGATGAGTCTTGACGGTGGCAAGGGAGGGGGCGAGGTGGAGGAAGGCCAACAGTGGGGCGGGTCAGGCGGGGACGTGGGGCAGGCCAGAGGCCGCAGAGTGGACTTGGCGGCCAGGTTGATATGGCGTTACAGGTCACAGAGGTAGGAAGGAGCAAGGCCGTGGAGGGCCTTGAAGGCGAGGACGAGGATTTTGAGTTCTATCCTCTGGGGGATGGCAAGCCAGTGGAGCCGGGGGAGATGGGGTCACAAGCCTGGTACGGGAAAGGCCACAAGCTGCAGAGTTCTGGATGATGGTGCAGTTAGTGGAGGGAAGATTTATATGTGGAATAACGCCCTACTGGGAGTGAGTTACAGGCTGGAATCCAATCTAGGGATGCGGGGGTTATAGACAGAACATATCTCAGAGTGAATTACAGGCTGGATACTAAAGCAGAGGTTCACAGATTTATACACTGACTAACACACTCCCAGGAGTGAGTTACTGACTGGACTCTAATTCGGGGATTTAGACTGAGCTCCCTTGTTAAACGTAAGATGTTATATAATAATAATAATCCTTGCATTTGGTATAGCGCTTTTCACGTCGGGAGAATGTCCCCAAGCGCTTCACAGAATATACTGTAAAGTGAATTGACTGTATATTTGTGGGCGAACGCGGCAGCCAATTGCGCACAGCAATGTCCCACAAACAGTCGTAGATTGAAAATGACCAATTTATTACTGTTTTTTGTTTTGGAGGGATTATTATTAGGTGTGTGGAGTAAGGAAACTTGCCCGAGGTTTTGCCCTCTGCCTGGAATTGAACTCAGGTCTCTCGCTTGCAAAGCGAGTGCTCTAACCACTGAGCTACAGGACTCCAGAATAATGTAGAATTATATACTATATGTAGAATAACACAATCCAGGAGTGAGTTACAAGCTGCGCAGACTGCCACAGAAGGTTGCCTCGATTCAAACCTTGGGTTGGCAAGTACGTCCCCTCTAGCCAGCTCAGCTCGAAGGAGACCCCGCTTATCTTCACCCCCACTCCAGAATAGTAAACGCATATTCTGTTCATTACTGAAGCTTTGTGGAGGTGCTGAGCAACATGTGCAAACTGAGTTCCCTTGTTATGTGTGAGAGATGTTGCCAATCTGTAAAATTAGAATTTAGGATCAAAAATTAGGTTTGTGACAGGACCATACAGACAACAGTAGTCCAGGGTTTGTGTGTGTGTGAGTGCCATCACCAATAATGGATAAATGTGTTAACACCAATCACTTTAGCAGATTGATCTATAATGCTTTGTTGCAGTAGTAGGTTACTTGGAGTCACTTTGTCTGCCTCTATTAATAGATGCTACCTAGTGGTTGCCAGCCAACAGAAATAATATTTATAATCCTCTCTCCAGCTAGGAGGAAGGCAACTAAACACAGCTGCTGATCACAACACCGCACACAACCCTCTTATCACCACACAGCCCCCACATCACAACACAGCACACACCTCACTACACCATAATCCCATCTGATACTGTACAACTTCTTTAATGTGTGGCATCTTCTGTCCATGATATAGCAGAATTAACAAAATAATCAATGCATTTGGTACGCAAACATCGAGAACATCTTGAGTGATTCACAAAGTTTCTATGAAGTATAGTGACTGCATAGGTGTGAATTCCCAGGTTTCAAAGACTCTGTGTTGAAAGGTGACAATTTCCTGGACAATCTGGTGCTCACCTGGATGGTAGCTCTGGCCGCCAGCACATGACTGACTTAGCAGGGCACCAGGTGACAGGATTAGGCGCAAGAGGCCAGGATTCCAGTGGGGTAAGTGAGCAATGACCTGGTGGCACCCAGGATACTTTAGCCACAATTGTCAAGTGTAGTGACTGCCTTTATGTACACAAATACGGCTGTAGGATATCCCTTTTAAAAGTAAAAGGACACTGGGAGTGCAACGAAAGGTTGTGTGCTCAGTAACAAATAGTTACTGACACAGCCAGCCTTTGGATTGAGAATGATTACAATGACCATCAACGGCCTACTCTTTTCCAAAGGCAAGGTGGGAACTTTAATATCCACCTAAGACACCCACGAAAGGGAACCTCAGTTTAACACCTCATCTAAAGGAAAGTCCCACTGACCAATGTAAGGAATACATTGCTTCCTTCAGGTCTGTACTGGAACAACAACATGGATCCCAGTCTGGGCAATGGCCTGCCTCGGGAAGTGGCTACTGTAGTCTCCGATTATTAGACACTGGCGGAGCTTTCCTCTGTGGACTTGTGTCCAGGCGTGATATGTGCTGAATAGATTAAACATGAGCTCCCGTGTCTCTCCTGTAACCTTGCAATACAGGAAGAGAGCTATCAAATAATAAACCTTGTATCTGATATTGTGCCTTTCTTGTCAGGAGGGCATCCCAAAGGGTTGCACAGGATTTCTGTAAAGTGTAGTAAGTATATTTTGTAGGCAAACACAGCAGCATACAATAATGTCCAACAAACAGAAGTGAATGAGCAATTTTATCTGGTGAATTAGTGACCAAGACACAAGGAGAAACTCCTTTCCCTTTATGAATAGCGCCAGGGGATCTTTAATGTCCACCTGATCAGGCAGACAGGACCTCGATTTAACATCTCATCCAAAGCTACACTTAATATGAGAGCATTTTCCTCCTTTCCTCTATCCCTCATCCAGGGAAGACACTGGGAGACAACCTACTCCAGTCTTCAGTGATCACGCTCACAACACTTCTCCTATTAGACACTAGTCATTCACATCAGGAAATGACTGTGGGATGAGTAAGTGATACAATAATAATCTTTGTATTTGATATAGTACCTTATCGTGTCTTCGAGACGTCTCAAAGCCCTTCCCAGAATATACTGTAAAGTGAATTGACCGTATATTTTGTGGGTGAAATGCGGCAGCCAATTGCACACAGCAGCGTCCCACAAACACTCGTGGATTGAAGTGACCAATTTATTATATATCTTTTAAGGAATTATTACTGGAAAAGCGATCCGCCAATCAACTAACAACTGGGTTCTTACTTACTACTCGGTAAACAGAGTAAGGAAACTTGCTCAACATTTTGCCCTGCTGGGAATTGAATCCAAGTCTTTCGCTTGCGAGGCGAATGCTCTAATCACTGAGCTACAAGGTCCACGAGTGTCCCCTCACTTCACTGAACAGCAACCCTAGTTTGGTAGGAAATAGAATCAAAGACAGCACAGGAGGCTTTTCAGTATATCATGGCCGTTCCAGCTCTTTAGAGAGCTACTGTTTACTCTCACGCCCCCGCCCTTTCCTTACTTTATTTCCGTTTCAAATATTTCTGGCGGAGAAACTATTCCCACTGGCGGGTGGGTTGGTAAACCCGAGGACACCGATTTAAAATAGTTGTTAAAAGAAACAGAGGGGAGGTGAGAATTTTTTTTACATGGCGAGTTGTTTGGATCCAGAATGCGTTGCCTTAAACGCTGGTGCAAGCCGATTCAATAACAACTTTTAAGAGAGTAGATAATTATTTTGGGAGGACAATTTTGCAGGGCTATGGGAGAGCGCGGGGGAGTGAATTGGATAGCTCTTTTCAAAGAGCCGGCACAGACACGATTGGGCCGAATGCCTCCTTCTGTGCTGGATAATTCTATGATTCTATGACTCTGTTTCACTCAAATTCTGGAAACACAATAGAAGGGCAGGAACGTCATTCACTGTCCGTTCCAGGATGTTGCCTCTCAACAGTTTACTGAGCACTTACCAAAGGTCTACCTCAGTCAGGGTTAAACTGCACTAGCACTTCCTGACACTAGAGTGCATCTGTGACCAGGAGCCTATCCAAAGTGTAAGCATCCCGCTCCCTCTGGCGGCAGCTTTGATCCATCTCCTGGTTCCAGCTGGATCAGAAAGCATAAGCCACTGGAATGGTCTACTCTAGTCAGACAAATATAAAGAAAGATGTTGTTAAGTTCAGTGTGGTGGCTTGGTATATTGCAGCAATGTTGTGTATTGCAAGAGAGTGCTTAATCCAGCAATATGTCAGTTCCAGTCCTAGCCACACTCAGTTCATTTTTGTCTCAAGATTCTGGAGAGCCAAAACACGTTAAATTGGTGGCAAAGTGATACAATCACAGGATCGTTAGCTGAAGAAAATTGAAGATAGGTTGAGTGAACCTCTTCGTGAACTTTTTCACTCAGCGGCTTGCTAGGATGGA